CCTGTGGGGACCCGGGTCCTACTCAGTACCCACCAGACCCGGGTACCCGTGTTACCCGTCCCAGCCCTAATATCCATACCTCTGTCGCTCTATCTGTTTTCAAACCCATATAGGTGTACCGTCAGTTATACCGGGTTCAAAGGAAACCTAATTCTGCTCACGAGATAACTGCTTATACTCAGACAACTAACTTCTCCAGCACATGCTGTCTATGAATACGGGGCTTTCAGTTTGCTTCTAATATACGTCGACAATGCCATAAGCACTTTTCTTCACAGTGCCTGCCAACACTTGTTAAAGGAAATGGCTTCACGAATGACAACAGACCATATACACACTGACTGTCGACCTGAGCCTATTACCGCCACTCGTCAGAGAGCTGAAATAGCCTGTTGTTGACTGTTCTGTCTGTCAACACTACAATAAACACTGTTCAGGTCGATTCTCAAAGGTCATGCATTTATATGTCAACAGAGTAATTCCATGCCCTGGAGAAAGGGCGACTTCTAGGAGTGAGTGAGTATGGTTTTACGCCGCGTTTAGCAATGTTCTAGCAATATCACGACAGACGACACCAGAAATGATCTTCTAGGAAACGCATTGTCGTGAAGAAAAAAAGGTTCCCCTCAAATAAGAGAAAATATCTAGTACAGGGTACGGTTGTACAAAGCGATCTTAGCGCTAAGGTGATCGTAACTCACGTACCTTACCATAGACTTAAGACAGTCGTAGCGCTAAGGTTGTTTTGATCAACGGCACCCAGGGAAACAATGAAACAGCATTTCAAGCATTTTTTTTAAATGTTTACTTTTTAAATGCTGTAAAAATACCCAATAATCCATTGGAGTCAAAATGTATCGAAAAACCCCATAATCTATCAATACACAATTTGAATGATAACATGTGAGTAAATACTGAATGGCTTCTACAATTATGTGGAGCCCTGACGGTCTCTGTGATGTTGTCAACGTGATCCCGGCGACGTACTGCCATAAACGGATCACCGGTCTTGGTCAAATGCAGTTTGAAGCATCTGTTTCTTTAGTCCTCGGGGAGTCAGCTGTGACGTTGTGGTATGGTTTCCGCCATTAGATGAATGGGGTTATTTAGTACGTTAATTCTTTCTTGTGTCAAGGACTCGGTTATTGGGTGTGTGCTGATCTTGAAAATTTCATTACAATGATGAAATTGTTGTGTATTTGTTTTGTTTGTAGTAACAGTGAACTTGTCTTCTTGCAACATGCTTTTTTTCTTTGTTATTTAACGCCGCACTCAGCAATATTCCAGCTATATGACGGCGGTCTGTAAATAATCGAGTCTTGACCAGACAATCCAGTGAATGGCATCATGAGCATCGTTCCACGCAGTTGGGATACGATGACATGCATCAACATAGTCAGCGAGCCTGACCGTCCGATCCCGTTAGTCGTCTCTTCCGACAAACATAGTCACCTTTTACGGCAAGCATGGGTTGCTGAAGACCTATTCTACCCCGGATTTTCATGGGTCTTGCAACAGGCTGTAACAGTGTTTTCTTGAAGCATGTTTTGTCGATGATAACATTAACAAAGAAAACAAAACAAACCATAAATAGTAAGAAATTAACCTTGTTTTTGTAGCCTTCGAAATTCACGCTAGTCCTTCAGCCCGAGACGACTAAATAGTGCTGAGGACAAGGCAAATCTAATGACGGTAGTTTTTATGACTAGTAACGTTTGATGGCTAGAACACTAGAACGGTCCTCTGCAGTGTGACTTTGCTATAAGTCTGTCAACTGAACGAGCTACAAAATGTATTAGTGACGTTAGTTATAAAATAGTCCTTAGAGTTCGTCTTACAAACCAAATTGCTAAGGCTGGTTTTTTTACTCATGAAAAAACGGTAACGGAAAACTATGGATTGAGATTATTAGTCGAGTGTGTTCCGTGTGGTAAATATCATATTATATTTTTTCAATGTAAAGTTCACACGATATATCGCGTTTCCATGTTCACGTCCATACGTTTTTTCACGTGACTGTATTCTGGAAGTGACGTAACCACTGACGGACTTCTTCCACATTACTAGGGAACCAGATCATCTAGATCGCTTAATCTTGACCTAAGCGTTTCAGCATACATTGAAAAACGTCAGAGAATTTGATCGTTCACGAATATCCTCGATCCGACCAATCCTGATGAACAAAACTAAGAAATTCACATCACTATGGTAGTATCGACTCGACCAGTGTCTAGACCGACAATCTTTGCAATCACCTTTCAATGGTGAGTAACACATGTATCCGCCACAGCACATTACCAACTTCAGAAATATCTCCCGACGCGTTTATCGTGTGGGCCATTTTGACGTCTTGTACTTAATGTCAATGTAAAAGTATTACACCGCACTGTAATTGTGACTGACTTACTGAGGTAGTTCTTGGCGAATCTTTCTCATCTAAGGATAAAATTAACTGGTCAATTTGTTGTTAAGAAACTACAAAAGATGTTCCCGAAGAGCAAGTCGAGCAAACATGCGCTCATGTCAGATTGAAGGCCAAACTTTGTATGATCAAACAGTTTGGTCAGAACTCCGTGAAGATTGACATTTCAATGAACTCACACAAAGTGAAAGTCAATTCTCAATTAACATTTTTATTATGCGATCCTAATATTTGATATTACCGATACACAAACACGCGAGGGAAAGAATGTCTTTATCACATTGTCATTCTTCAAATATGGATGTTTAAGACATAACATCAATTAAATAGCTTTAGAAACCAACTATGTCTAAACAACGAGTTAACCGCCCAATGTATCATATAGCGCCTACTGTTCTCAAGAAACAGTTACGAAACATGTCATTAGATGATCTATTTCAGTTTCCAGATTTCATTATGAGTAAACGACATTGTGAAGAAGCAAATGTGTTTCGTCAGAGCATTAATACATTACACGATGATACAAAAGACTATTTTATGGTGAAATATATTGTATACCTTTCCAGGTGCGTATATGGTAAATGGGAACTGAAAACAAAACTAAGAAATTATTTATCAAGTCTGTTCTAAAAACCATACCTCTCCCACGTTAAGCTTTGTAATTATCTTCCCTTTCAACCAGGTTGGCGGGGAGTGAAGACGGGCTTGAATCGTGTGATACTTGGTTCAACTTGGTAAAAGTTCATTTTATTCCATTTAAAACATGACCTCAGAAACGACCTAGATCTATAGTCATTGTTCATATCGTCTCTTGATGCTTTCGGCATTTGAAATTTTCTAATTTTATTAATTTAGATTTAAAATAAATACAGTTCAAATACTATTGATAGGAAAATGGAGATATTTTCCGGAGCCCGACTCAAACCACATTATGTATGCTCAATTATTTTGCGTTTTGTGAATTTTGTTATTTTTTTCACTTTCTGCCAAGGTTACCATTTTCATCAACATGCTAGATCCTATACGTAATTCTATACTCCCAGCCAGTAAAAATATAACGAGCGTTCCTTTTTTTCAACAGCATTCGTTGATGATTAATGCACGTTTGGCTTTGTCAACAATACAAATGTTAACAGCAGCTCAGGGACAACTGTATTACGAGTGTTTTAATTGCTTGTTTCAATTGTCGGAAAGCTTTAAAAATAGTTTGTATTTATCAAATTAAAAGTCCAAATATCAAACGTATGTGGCATTACAGTATGTCTCACGTGGACACTGTGAAGTAAACATCCACCCCTCTCTTTAAATGTCACCATTACACAAATGTCATGTTATTTATGATGGTGAGTATATATGACGCCCAGCTTTGTCGTGCTCCAAGCTGTGTAACCTTCGTGAAAATGTGAAAGCTACAATACTCCAATTTTTTTCACAATGTTTGTAATTTGAGACTTTTGGTTCATTCGACTGTTATGTTGTTCTTATAAGTGTTTCACGGCCGACACGACCCCGTGGGGATTCCAGGTTAGAATACGTCCCCAGCAACCTATGCTGGTCGCAAGAGACCACAATTGGTCGGGTGGTCATGCTTCATAGACATTTTTACTTAAAGAGTGAGTGTGTGAAATAAATCAGCTTTATAACTGCTGGTTGCACTAAAAACTTGAGGGGGCACGGGTGGCCCAGTCGTCTAAGGCGCCGCGATTCGCTGTGCAGAGTTGCGTCCCTTGGGCATGCCAGAAACCTATGATTGTGGGTTCGAATCCCGGTTGGTCCCGATTATGTTTCTAGGTTTGTCAGCACCATACCCGTGCTCGTGGGTTTCCCCGAAGTGGTAAACATCTGAGACCTGCGTCACTTCGGTCTTCCCTCTCACGTTAAGCTGACGCCTCAATATTACTGGAATACTGTTAAAGCGGCGTTAAGCCCAACTCACTCACTAAAGTCTTAACAGGAAACCAGTGGTTAATGGCATGAGCAGCGATCCACGCCATCGAGTTACACAGTCGGCCAGGTCCCGGTGACAAACATCAGGTACCTTTCCTGCCCTTGGGACACCCCTGCGGGCAATGATACACTGAAGGTATGCGTTTGGGGGATATGCTTTCTTTATCAATACCCCAGGAGATATAATGTAAACAATGAACATGGTTCGAAATAAAAAGTAAAATTTATTATAAAAACAAAAAACAATAACATGAAAACAATTGCCAAAATATTTTTGGGCTATAGGCAGAGGATATACAAATACAAAACAATTATTTGGAAAGAGCAGGTTTGACTGAGATCCATCGTTTGTATAAAATCCGAGTTCCACAAAGCAGTGTCCAAAAACGTTCCATATTGAAAGCACCATGATGAAAAATATGATAAATCTGGCTTTTATATCAATAGCCATATCCGTATCCATTCTGAGCATATCCATAGTTGTCATTGCCATATCCGTATCCATTCAGAGCATATCCATAGTTGTCATTGCCATATCCGTATCCAATCTGAGCATATTCATAGCTGCCATTTCCATATCCGTATCCATTCTGAGCATATCCGTAGCTGCCATTTCCATATCCGTATCCATTCTGAGCATATCCATAGTTGTCAATGCCGTATCCATTCAGAGCATATGCATGGCTGTCACTGGCATATCCGCAACCAGTTTGGTGACATCCATTTTCGCTGATGTAGGTTGGGCTGTATCCATAGGGCAGAGCTACCTGTAAAACAATGGCGGCTTGTTAAAAAAACAATTGTTGGCTATGACATGACAGACCGCAAATATATTCTTTTTCCAACAGTACCCCATCTTCCCGAAGCAAGGGAGTTACTGACTATAAAAGTCCAGTTTCCACCCTTGCCGAACAAGTCCAATCAAAATCGCGTAACGAACTAGAAATCCGGTTCGTAAACAACAAGGATTTCAACGTGCAGATTACTGTCGACTGAAGGATTTACAAAGCATGTGTACCGGGAACTGGGCGTCGACATTTGCAAATCTTTTCATGTTTTTAATCAAGGTACTCAAGTTATCTAATGCACTTCGCGAGGTAAGGCTCGTTTTATTCTTGACGATCGATCAGATGGTTTTGACTGGGCACCGCCAATTAATTGCAAGTAAAAGAAGAGGTGGAATCTGATTTGTCAATAGGAGGGACATAGAAGGGACATAACTCGTAATAGTCACTGGTGGCGCTACGGTCTAGCCCAGAAATTCCAACATTGTTCGGCAAGGGTTGAAACCTGACTTTCATAGTCAGTTAACTCCCTTGCCTCGGGAAGATGACAATATCCAAGCCCACTAAGGATATTAAATGCTGGGTCCCTAAGTTAGATAAAGCGTTCATCAAATCAAACATTTCATTCTCTAGACTCGAGAAGCAAGTGGATAAACTGAAGGAATGATCTAACTCTGACATTACATTGTGCTGTCTGTGAACAGAACGGGGTTAAAGATATGTGGTCATAGACTCTAGAAGAAAGTGGATAAACTGAAGGAATGATCTAACTCTGACATTACATTGTGCTGTCTGTGAACAGAACGGGGTTAAAGATATGTGGTCATAGACTCTAGAAGAAAGTGGATAAACTGAAGGAATGATCTAACTCTGACATTACATTGTGCTGTCTGTGAACAGAACGGGGTTAAAGATATGTGGTCATAGACTCTAGAAGAAAGTGGATAAACTGAAGGAATGATCTAACTGACATTACATTGTGCTGTCTGTGAACAGAACGGGGTTAAAGATATGTGGTCATAGACTCTAGAAGAAAGTGGATAAACTGAAGGAATGATCTAACTCTGACATTACATTATGCTGTCTGTGAACAGAACGGGGTTAAAGATATGTGGTCATAGACTCTAGAAGAAAGTTGATAAACTGAAGGAATGATCTAACTCTGACATTACATTATGCTGTCTGTGAACAGAACGGGGTTAAAGATATGTGGTCATAGACTCTAGAAGAAAGTGGATTTACACAGACTAAAGGTATGATGTGACTGTGACATTACATTATGACGTCTGTCTACTGAACGGGGTTAGTGATATCTGGTCAGAGACTAGAAGCATGTGGATACTCTGAAGGAATGATGTAACTGTGACCAACCTGGTGCTGTGTGTATTCACATTGAGGAGTCTGTTCAGCGTGACCAGGTTGGCTGAAACAAGAGACGTACAAACATGGATACATGTGTCAGTAAAACATTCCTGGACCTGTACAGATAAACCTTGTCAGACCGGACACTGTCAGTATGGTAAGCCTGCTTCCCTGACGACTATTCTTTGGAATAGTTACATATATCCAAAGGACATTACACCGCAACAATGGTTCGTTCGTCCGGATTCTTACAAGTGTCCCGTCTTGGGTGGTTGGTTTTCACTGTATACAATTGTCAGCAAGTAATTTATAGCGGGAAAAGATACAGAGGCCTTCAATGTTGTTCCGTGCATTAAAAGCCTAGCTCTATGTGTTCAAGTACCCGTGAAGATCCGGGTTAGAATACTCTTTAGCAACCCATGTTTGCTGTCAAAGGCGACTATCGGGATCGGGTGATCAGGCTCGCTGGCTTGGTTGATGCATGTCATCGCATCCCATTTGCGCGGGTCGATGCTCATGATATCAATCACTGGATTGTCTGGTCCAGACTCGATTATTTACAGACCGCCGTCACAGAGCTGGAATATTGCTGAGAGCGGCGTTAAACAAAAACAAACAAAACAAAAACGATGTGTGTTCAAGCGTGCTGAACTTCATGTATGGTTAGCGATACGGGATCAACCGACAGTAAACAGACCTACGGCGAGTCTAGCATGTTTTTTTCTGGGCATTATTCTGTAGGCTTGTCCCATGTGTTCAACACAAAATCAACAATGTGCCTCGTTTTGTTTTGTTTGTTGTATAACGCCGCACTCAGCATATTCCAGTTGTATGACAAGAAAGGGCAGTGTTGAATCTATAATGCAGTCAGAAACCACATACCGATATGTTCTCAGAGGTAGCTAAACAAATTCAAATGATCCTACGTAAGATTTATTGGTCAGGAAAATGTCTCTACTATTGCCTATTTAAAGGAGAACGCGCGTTTGACAATACGGCTGTGTTGGCCTGACCTTGTTATCCAAGGAGATGTTTAATGGGTGTGTTTACATAAGTGATCGTCCATTTCGTCGTGTTTGAATAGAACGTATCGGCCGACCTACGTTAACAACCCTGTCGAGGTTGTTGTAGTTCCAGTTGACTATCACCTTGACAATACCAGTGTTTATGTCTGCGTACTAATTTGATTGATATAATCGTGCTCGGTTGCAGTCAGTTACATCACTGACCGACGATTTAATAGAAGGGAGCTGGAAATTTTGTCATAACACACATTACTACAAGAAATACAATGTTGTTTTCTGCGAAAAGGGAAGCCTAAAAAAATATTGTAATACGTGAATATAAATATGAATCTAATTGATCAAGAATCATGTACGGTGACGCGTTGTAACTCCGGACAGTTTCTTTACAAGTGACACCGTTCGGATTAACAAATACTGGATTAACCCCCGAGTCACATATGAGTGTGAGTGAGTGAGTTGGGTTTAACGCCGCTTTTAACAGTATTCCAGTTATATCGCGGCGTGTCAGCTGAATGTGGGAGGAAAGCCCGAAGTGATGCAGGTCTCAGACGTTTACCCCTTCGGTGAAACCAACCAGCACGGGTATGACGGTGACAAAGCTAGAAACATAATTGGGGCGAACCGGGATTCAAACCCACAAGCATAGGTTTCTGGCGTGCCCATGGGACGCAACTCTGCACAGCGAATTGCGGCGCCTAAGACGACTAGGCCACCCGTGCCCCCCGAGTCACATACGAAGTAATATCCCTTTGGATATATTAAAGCTACCTCAGTAATCGCCAAGGTTGGGTTGTCCGAAACAACAGCGTCCGACCCGGACAAACTGTTTCATCAATAATCTAGCATGTAAATCTACAGTCGGGTGAATCTAGATCAATCTAGTCAGATAACATAGGTTATGTGTTTGGTATAGGACAACGAAGACACCTTTCAGGGTAAAGATGTTGTTTGTTGCCATGACGATGACGCTTCTGGAATTCTTGAAGCAACATTCAATGACATAATGGGAAAACACAAGATCAAAAGTTGTCAAGGAGACGTCACAAGTGACTTTAGCATTGAAGAGACCAAGGCCAAAGGATCATTGTCAAGAGAATAACAGAATTAGAGAACCACAGCATTATGAGACATGGCCATGTGCCAGTCTGTATTACCTTGTGTGGACGGACGTGTTGGTCAGATGAGGCCCCGCCCCCTCACTGACGTCACTCAAAGAGGCCACGTGCAAGGCTAAGGAGAGGGGTAAAGGAAGTGATACAAAACAGAAGAAAATAAACAAACACAACATAAGTAGATGAGACGGAAATCAAGGCGATAGATAATGAAATAAAGATGAACAGATCGTGGAGGTATTAGAGAAGACAGTGGCTTCAATTTGGACAGACAGTGTAGTCCATGTGACAATGTCGACGTTACCTTCCACGCCTAGCCTGATGTCCCGGACTCGCTCATGCACCAGCGTCTCCAGGAACAGCTTCTCCTGCATCTGTAGCGGAAGGAACATCGTTAACAGGCTACACGTAGCAGTGACTAGGCCAAGACATACGTTATAACATTCATCGGGTCTACATTTTGAGATTATAAGGTTTATACGAAAAAATCGGTGTCCACAATTTGCGTAAATCCGAGTATATAAATGTAAAAAATAAATTAAAATAAGTCAACAATAACACAGAAACTATAGGCAACGACAAGAAATCAGTGACATCGTTAAACGCAAATATGCAACTCAAGTCCAATCTTGAAAAATATTCCGCCAGTTCCACCCACCTTTTTTCTGTGTCTCCGTCCCCCTTTCTTGCCCCGTCGGGTCTTCTTGCCCACAACCTTGGGCAGAGTCACGGGAGACTGCATCACGGAGAGAGAGAGAGTAGTGTTTGATTATACATAACAGTCAAAGTCTTATTGTGGTTTGTGATAAGATGTTTTATACCGTAGGTCCACAACTCATATTCTACGGGTTAATGTTATTCAGCGATAGAAACATTTTAGTCAACTAGTCCTTATAATGATAACATATAGCAAAACCCCTTAAAAATGGAAAATTTCTACTGGTCCTTATGATACCTTAACTATTTCTACCGCTGTTATTCTGTTTCATGTTTTATACACAACGAAGACCTTTTTCGGACCTGATTCTAGGATTATATGTATTTAATACAAACATTACAATTGAAGTTTTGGTTTGGGGGAAGAGCTTGAAACTTGTGTCGGAAAGTCAAATGTTTATGGATTGATTAAAGATCTCACCCCAGCAACAATGACTGTTTGTTCTGGCATCTCGATCACACAAGGAATCTAAAGATGGAGGAGAGATAAAAGGAATTACACATTCAGAATGCATCAGTTCATGTGAATATTGTCTAACTTTGTTTATAAAAGAGGAATTTTTATTGGGTAGGGTTTTATGCATCACTTAGCAAGTCTAGTTATCTAACAGCGAAGTATTTTTGTTGGGAATCGAACCCGGTTTAACCACTAGGCTAACCAAACGCCCCTTAACGTTTTCAGTATACATAGCATGACAAAAGCCAGGTGCAGGGATTTTGCTGGAGGCGATGAGCATTTTCCGTGATTTTATCAACTGTTGATAGGACAATCTTTTATAAATTTGAAACATATCTATAGGATATTTTCCATGACAATCAGTCAATGTCCTAAAAATGACCTGATCTGAAACCCTACAGGTGGCATTCCATAACGGATTCCACTGCAAACCAATCTGTGTTTTTGTGCATACAATAATTGTTTTAAAATGAATATTTTAATGAGTATTACAGTCTACTATTTCCTCTACAAACCAATCCGTGTTACTTATACACAATCGTTTTAAAATTAATGTTTCAATGGGTATTAGTTAGGGCTGGGACGAGTCCAAATTTACTACCCGAGTCCCCACCACGCTATTTCCCGACCCTACCCGGATACCCGCTATGTCTCAAGACTTGGGTGTAAAATGTCCGATTGGGAATTGTTTGACCGTAGGTCTGGTAAAATGTATTTAGATACACGTACAAAACGATCTGGTCATGCATACACTGAAGTTGACTGAATTTTTATCTTTATTCAAACCTATAAAGGTCAGAAGGAATGGGTGACTAACAACGGGTCCGGTTAGTCCTGTGGGTACCCGGGTCCTACTCAGTACCCACCCAGCCCTAGTATTAGTCATCTACTGTTTCCACTACAAACCCATCTGTGTTACTAACACACAATATTGTTTTAAAAATGAATATGTTTCAATGGGTATTACAGTCTGCAATTTCCACATCTCATCTTGTTACAATCATGAAAACATCGTCTGAAAATTACATTCATTGACAGTTAGAGACGAATGCTGGAAGAAATATCCGAAGGTACAGTCATCTATTTATCTGGCCGCAGTGATAATATACTTAGTGATTACCTTGGCCACATCCTTGGCAGACTGAATCGATCCAGACAATCGCCCACCGGACCTCCGACGAGAATCTGTAGAAATGCAGGATGATTATATTGACTGCAGAAGAAAATGCTTAATATACAATTAAAAGAAGGCCTTTTGTCGTGAAGCACGGGCATAATTTCAAATAATACGAGTGACAATTGTATCAGGCCAAACTTTCACTGGCCGACCCTTACAATCTGTCAGACCTGAATATCTTCAAAAAAATATATTTTTAGGCATGCTAAATTCGGTTTGACTGACCATACTTTCTACTTCTTGATATAATTTTAATGTTAATTTTAACACACACACACACACACACACACACACACACACACACACACACACCAAGCGATTTAAGTAAAGCTTCAATCGACCTTGGACCAACATGTATTCTGAGAACACACACACACATATGGAAAATAAAATACCCATCCCTATGAAGCTATCAGTGAAAGGAGTGGCTAATATAGTCGTTAAATCTTTACACTATGGGAAAATATACTCCATATAGATCTATACTCAATATCTATTTCTGACCCGTGAAGATTCCGGGGTAGAATAGGTCTTCAGCAACCCATGCTTGCCGTAAAAGGTGACTATGCTTGTCGTAAAAGGCGACTAACGGGATCGGGTGGTCAGGCTCGTTGACTTGGTTGAAACATGTCATCGATCCCAATTGCGTGGATCGATGCTCATGATATTGATCACTAGGTTGTCTGGTCCAGACTCGATTATTTACAGACCGCCGCCATATAGCTGGAATATTGCTGAGTGCGGCGTAAAACAACAAACTAACCAACCAACCATATCTATTTCTACAATGTGCGGATAACGTACTGTAACAACAACGAAAGCAAAACGACTAACATAATATATTTGCCAAAGTAAAGCTCTTCGGAATAAACATATTATGTGAATCAATAATAGATCCATTGCCCCAAACTAATTTTCCGAGTCCCGTGTTACACATGCATTTACTGTGGAACCCTGGAGAATCGCTAGCACTCGAACAATGTTCTATTACAACAAGGCCGGGATCCCAACCAACTGGAACAACGGGATGATATTTCTAGCTGTGTACACTTTCACGTTAAACATAATTGTTCCAGCTGTAGATAAGATACAGGCTATAAAGCAGGCTCTGAAGCATTTGTCGGAATCCATTTTACTTCCTCCAGTGCGTTAATAGGGAACTTTACCTGACCCTATCGGGTAGAATATAGTTTACCTGTCACTATCTTCAAGAACAGTTTAGATGTAGGAATACAACTTAATTTCTTACGTTTTAAGACATATCTCCCCGGCTAAAATTTAAACAATTTAAACAAGTAAATTGGGAACATGTTGACATAAAGCAAGTCTATGTAGTCCATATGATTTTTATGTATAAACGTTGCAAAACGTGTACATTGTGTAATACAAAAGTATGTATAAGCCACTTTCTTTTGAGGGTAATGATGTTTCATATTTTACCGATTTGACCTAAATTACATTCATCTGTAAACGTAAAATGAGGCATAATTGATTTTACATACTCATTTCGCTTATGATGTTTATAAAATTGAAACAGAAAAGAGAAAAAATAGAATACGTCTTTGGCTGTCTGATATATGACAAGTTGCAAGCTCATAGCTATACAGAAACACGGCAGAAACACTCAATTCTTTACTTGCCCCGCATTGTTTACCGGAAAGATGCAAAGGTCTCGTGATCGTAAAACTGTTTGAATGTGGTGAGAAAACGAAAATATGTCCACGAGTAAAATGACAGCTGCCAGTTACCATAATGGCATCGTGACAATAACGAAGGAGTCATGGCAACATGGGCAGCGCCACATAGCGACATTTGCTGTTATTATCTCCCCTTGCATTTTGTACTTGGCGCGCTGCAAAGTTTACACTATCTCTTTAGTATATTATTTATATGTCCCATCCAGTTATCTGATTGTGAAGATGGCAGCCCTGCTTTTCGATCCCCATGTTGTGATAAAATAAAAGAGACAAAACGACTACATCCCATGATTTTGACTAAATTTACGGCCGAAAACAACCAAGGCCGATTCTATATGCATTGCTAAAGTCATTGTGCTGGATCTATTATTTCGGGCCTCGGCGTGTTTTCTTTCGTGATCTTGTTTGTGCGTTGTTTAACTATTTTACTGCGCCTTTGATAAATAATCAAATACGGGCGAGACAATCCAGTGATTGATATTATGAAGAACGATCCACACCAGGCTATAAGGGGAATGAAACAAGCCACCGGGCCTCTTACAACCAGCACAGTTTGCTAGGGACCAATTCTAATCCGGAATCTCCACGTTCAGTGGGGTCAAACCTGCATCAATGTAAATGCCCAATGTAAATTTGTGAAGAATGTGATTTGATTTTTGGTCGTTGTGTAGGCCTCTGTATTGTGAACGTTTACATCTTCATACATTTCCAGAAACAAAAACTCAATACTTTAAACAGGTTCCCACTGTCTTACCGGAAAGATGCAAAGGTCTCATGATCGTTGAATTGTTAGAATGTGATGAGAAAACGAAAATATGCCGACGAGTAAAATGACAGCTGTCAGTAACCACAATATGGCGGCGTGACAATACACGGCGTCATGGCAACGTGAGCAGCGCCACATAACGTCATTTGTTGTAATTATCTCCCCTTGTGTTTTATACTTGGCACCACACAAACTTTACTTTCAATCGAGCACGTTAAGCTCCGTTCTTTTTCCGACCCATCCAAAACGACGTATCTTTATTAGTTACAATTAATAATCACAATTATCTGGTTATGACTTTGACGCCAGTCGCATATACTTGTATTTGTTTTTCAACTCTCGGCGTGTCAAAACGACACCAAAAGCTGTTTGCGAATTCAGTAATGAATAGTGATTTTTTCACAGACGCATCCATGGTCACCAGCATGGCTGCTATTGCTTATTGCTATTTATTTCTAAACACTTACATATCACATCGCTGATCAATTTGTAAGGAAAATCGATAGAGCAGTTCAGGTTTTGTTCTCAAGGCATTCTTCTTTTGTGTAATATCTTAGCAATAGATATTAATTTTCAACATGGGCCTCTGGGAATCGGGTGCTTGGTAGCAAGGCTCGTTTGACTTTTGTGTGAAGGAAGATGTTCATTATTTGCGTGTCGGATACTGCATTATACATGGACAGAGTCCGTGAAAAAACGAGTAGAGAATAGGTCGATCTGCAGCAACCTATGTTTGCCTTAAGAGGCAGCTATGATTAACGTAAGGGGCGACTAACGGGATCGGGTGGTCAGGCTGGAATATTGCGGTGTGCGGCGTTAAAAACAAATAAACGAACAAAAAATGGACGTCCGTAGTTTTCTGTATGTGACGATGGGTAAAGGCGTATTACCCTATGAATTAAGTAATCTAATTTGCGTTTATTCGCAGCGGAGAGTTTCGAAAGAGTGAGTGAGTTGGGTTTAACGCCGCTTTTAACAGTATTACAGTTATATCACGGCGTGTCAGCTTAATGTGGGAGGAAAGCCCGAAGTGATACAGGTCTCAGACGTTTACCACTTCGGTGAAATCCACGAGCACGGGTATGGTGCTGACAAACCTAGAAACATAATCGGGGCGAACCGGGATTCGAACCCACAATCTGGGTTTCTAGGTTTCTGGCGAGCCCAAGGGACGCGGCTCTGCACAGCGAATCGCGGCGCTTTAGACGACTGGGCCACCCGTACCCCCAGTTTCGGAAGAAAAGAAAAAATATTTTTATGTTATTACCACGTGGTACGTATGGCTGATAACAGATATTTAGAATACAGACCTAACGGCTTAGCCCATGCCACGGTTTTCGTTTGAACTTTTCCCATAACACGCTAACTTATGTTTTGTGCGTATTTGAGAGGGTAATTTTCACGGTAATGTACAGTGTGCATGTCTGGGTTTGAACAAAAAGACGGATTCTGTCACGAACAGTGAAAATATCACTCTGAATAAGACAATAATTGATACAGATCTTAACGTCGCTACAACCCCTCACCAAGACATATGATTTCGTCTCTCCCCGATTATGTTTGTAGGTTTTGTCAGCACCATACCCGTGCTCGTGGGTTTCACCGAAGTGGTAAACGTCTGAGACCTGCATCACTTCTGGCTTGCCCTTCACATCAGTATTATGGGTCGACATCAGTATTACGGGTCGACATCAGTATTATGGGTCGAGATCGCTGATAGAGGAAATCAGTTGGCGTTTGTAAACTCAAAAACTAGATCTATATTCATGGGGTACTCAGAAAATTTATGTTGGTCAACTTATAAAGGGGGAAATTGCGCCCGGATCGAGTTAGTCCAGGTTTATTAACAAACGTCATTTCGATACAGCGGCCATTGTTGATCATGCCGTGTAGCTTCGTAACATATGTGTTTTTTATTTAGATTAATTGCAGTGGAACTGCATCGGTGTATGTTGTGTATTTTGTCATTTCGTAATTTTGTTTTGATACGATTCTGGGGGCGGTCGGGTAGCCTAGTAGTTGAAGCGTTCGCTCGTCACGCCGAAGACCCGGGTTCGTTTTCCGACATGGGTACAATGTGTGAAGCTCATTTCTGGTGTCCCCCGCCGTGATATTGCTGGAATATTGCTAAAAGCGGCTGAACCCGTTGTCATGGGCAATTGTGTGAGGTTGTCTGTCCTTCATTGTTTACCATCAGAAGCGCGTGTAAAATAATCAGTACTATCAGATTCTAACGCCGACTATATTACAGGGAAATATCACTGACTGGACATTTTGTCAAGTTTTGTACATAAACCTATGGAATAAATTCAAAATGACAGGAATAAGGTTATGTCTTATTTTATAGTCACCAGAAATGCATCATGTGCAAAGTAGAAAAATGTTGCCAAAATTCACTAATTCTTTTAGGTACCTTACCATATATTTAAAGGCATTTTGCTTCTTACTACACTACCTCTAATTTCAAGTCATGACAAGAGCCATGCCCTGACTCACAAAGCAGTCTTAGTGTAAAGATGATCTTAACCCCATTCTTTAACATAGGCATACAGTAGTTGTAGAACAACACTGCTTTGTGGACATGTGATTGCAACACACATTCTTTAACATGGTTTTATGATGGTAATACAGCGAGGATCACTCCGTGGAATGGTCTTAAATACAAGATGGCAGGAATTGGAAATACGGTTATGTCAACATGTTTACCTTAACCTTGAAAAGATAACAAATTGAAGGTTTATGGCAAATTGGGAATTCCTGTTTCTGAATTATTTTAAAATTAATCCTGTATTTCTTTTCCAGCACACTCCACTCCGAAATAGCAGTAGGTTCAAGACAGGACAGAGTGCGGCCAGAAATACCAGACCAACACAGTGAGTCTTTCTACTATCACCTACACATGCATGCAGTTACCAGTGCAATTTTTATGGCAAGCAAGCGTTGCTGAAGACCTATTCTACCCCGGAATCTTCACGGGTCATATTGGATGTTTAAGAAAAGGGCATTCTCAGCGAAACTTTCAGCTTAAAATAGATTCATGAGAACAGATTGTGAAAAGAATCTGTCTCTACATAAAAGTGATGCAATGCAAATACAGCACGGAACTATCCTTCAGATTGGTTCACATCAGTCTGACACATTTGTCATTAAGCAGGGGGTACGTAAATTCGACACTTGAAGTATAACCAAAAATATACATTTTGTGGAACTGGGAATGGTTAATCTGATCCAATTTTTGACAGAATGTTCGCTGAAATGGGACACTTTCACTGGCAGTCAGAAAGCGCTCCGTTTCAAATTGAAATAAGTGGTATCTAATTTACAATTGGACTACCTCCAAGTTCAAAACACATTATGCTACCATGACGATAAGAGCGCTTTGAAAACGGTGCTCTCTTGGAATGGGTAGTTACACATGGGCAGATAAGCCAGCTATATTAGAACGTGCCAAAAGGGGTCAAAGGTTGTGAAAAACATAAAAATATTATTCAAGTTCAAAATCAGTTACGCATATTCTTGACTAGTTCCAAATAAAGGTTACAAAGTACATGGTTATTTTTCCAAATAATTGATGAAATAACCCCCAATAGATGTATATATATCTCATTTCTTCGCAACCTGTTTCATATTTACACTGATAAGACTAAATAAAATTATTTTCTTGGAAATCAACTCCCATTGGAGGGGTAGAAACCGTTTTGCAATATGGTCTCTGGTAGGGGTGACAGGTTGTAAAACTATTTAAAAAAAATTCTTAACAAATTTTTAATCCAATAAACTTGATTATATAACATGATTTTATCTATTTTAAAGTTATACTTACGTGCCAGTAAATTTGAAATAACTCCCAAACATTATACACATTTAGAATGACAATCTGGCCACCCCGAAATTCGACCTGGGCCCACTTGCACAAAGCAATCTTAGCGCTAAGACTATGGTAAGCCTATGTTGAAGTATGGGAGTTACGATCATCTTAGCGCTAAGATCGCTTTGTGCAAGTGGGCCCTGGTTGAACTTGACTGACTTCCGTTTAACCGGCATCACTGTCCATGGCTGCCACTCGTTGACGGTGACAGTACCATTTACAAATTGTATGAATCCAAGACAATTCCAGTGTGTGGTTTTGTTCAACATTAACCTGGTGATTTGCTGATTGAAATGAACCTATTGGCAAAGCCCCTGCCCCTAGCTGAAGACAGCGCAACACGAGAGACTGGTGATTTTTGTGACGCAGTTGTTAGGGTATGTTTTGATTAATTGTATGTATCCTGAACTAGATTTCATCATGTTTAGGGGCGGTCGGGTAGCCTAGTGGTTAAAGCGTTCGCTCGTCACGCCGAAGACCCGGGTTCGATTCCCGACATGGGTACAATGTGTGAAGCCTATTTCTGGTGTCCCCCGCCGTGATATTGCTGGAATATTGCTACTTATTCACTCACTCACTCATCATGTTTAATAACCTGTTGTGACCAAGTGCGTGTGCAGTGTACCGTTTAGTGACAAACACATATTATAATATTCCGATATCAATCGAAAATACAATGCTAATACTAATAGGTTATCCGCGATATCAAACGATGTACAAGTCTGATAGGTTATAGGCAGGTATTGTCATCTGCCTGGTTTTATGGATCAATATTTTCATGTGCAAGTTTTTGTGTGAAAGGCAACTTAGTTTTTAACCCAATTGCGTGGATCTATGCTCATGATGTCAATCACTGGTTTGTTTGATCCAGACTAAAAAAATTTCAGAGATGTTGAACAAGAAACAAACAACAAACATTTTCCATGTTACAGCAAAATTATGGAGCACGGGTTCAGACTTATAGTCCTCAAATGCTATTCACGCTAAAACTGGCCACTATAGAAGGTAGTTGAATAGCGCACCACATGAACTGATATATTCAACTGTTTCCTGAGAGTGACAGTAGTTAACACAAGGTATTGTTGTGTGTTATAGCCTTGAGATTGGAATGTTAACAGTATTCCCTGTATCGGATGTCTCTCTAATGACCTTCAAAGGCTGAAATCACATCAAACATCAGTGCTGACTAACTGCCAGGCATGCAACATGTGAATGGGACAACTGCAGGCTTGTCAGTTTACATGCGAGTCCTGGTTTGCCCTGATTTTTTTTCAAGATATATCAGCACCACACCTGAGCTCTTGAGTTTCACAAAGTGGTAAACGTCTAAGACCTGCACCGCGGTATTGTTATGTTGTTTAACATGCGAGTCCAGAATACATCTCAGCAACCCGAGGAAGATTTCAGTACAATACATTCATGTCTGTTAATCTTTCGTCCTTTCAAGTCTTTGTGTCTCAATTGTGGCCTATGAAATGTTCATGGTAAAACCACTGAAAAACTTCTCTGTTTAAAGGTATATAGGTAGAATATCTATTTTCTTTTTTGATTTCCCAATTGTAACATATAAAAATAAAGATAAACGAAGTTGGGTATGTGGCCTTATTTAAGAAATAAATGACTTGTGGTCCTTGTTTAGCATGCAATAAAACTGCAGGGAGAATAAACAATGAGGGGTGCAGGTTTATTCTCCCTGCTGTGTTTTATTGTACGATAAGCAACGACCACAAGTTGTTTATTTCTTATAGGAGATATCAACATCATGTACAGCCTCTTTCAGGATTTAGCGTTAAAGATATTTACCCACATTTTAATAATGATGACTCCCTGAATAGATACCGACCTCGGAAATGTTCATTTTACGACCAGGGTATAGTTTGGTATTTTCCGTATATTTTCACAATCCTCACGTTGATTATCTCCGTACCTTTTTTCTTGAGACTGATTGTCATGTCTCTCTATCTTTTGGGACCCGTGAAGATTCTGGGATAGAATAGGTCTTCAGCAACCCATGCTTGCCGTAAAAGGTGACTTGGCTTGTCGTAAAAGGCGACCAACGGGATCGGGTGGTCAGGCTCGCTGACTTGATGCATGTCATCGATCCCAATTGCGTGGATCGATGCTCATGATATTGATCACTGGATTGTCTGGTCTAGACTCGATTATTTAAAGACCGCCGTCATATAGCTGGAATATTGCTGAGTGTGGCGTTAAATAACAAACCAACAAACCAACCAACCATCTTTTGGATGTGATCGTTTGGCCACTGTGATTATCTGCGTATCCCAGCTACATCTATGGGGAACAACTTACAGGTGCTAGACACTTCCTTCTAAAAAATTACGTTGTCCATCATATGACATTTTCAAGTTGCAAACCAAATTCGAATCTCCAGAAATGACGTCATGATTAAACAATGTTTTATTGTGAAATAAACCACACTTCGTTCTGTGATTGTTCTTTGTGATTTATTGCGTAGCTATCGTATATCAGGAAATATGTCATGAATGGCATTTGGTCGTCAGAAGCAGTTGCATTAAATGGAATTTGGGAATTGAGAATTACTCTAGCTTTAAAGTAAGGAACCAGAATCAGATTTGTCTGCCCCCAAAAGACCAAAAAACCTTTGGGGTCAGAACCATTATTAGGGAGGTGAGTGACAAGCACCAAGAAACTGACCCATGTGGCCTAATGCTGCTGTCTTCATAGTGATTAACATGATTACACTGTTAAAGCACAGTGGCATACTTCCTTCATGACTTTAGACATGATAGGATCAAAGTCGGCCATTGTGAATGGTGTCTTCAGCAAGCATGTAAAGTGATCTAATGTCACAGGACTGCCTTGACTAACAGTCAGAAAATAGAACTGGTATTACCTGCGTATCAAGTTTATTTTTTATTTAAATAAGTTAAACTTCACGGTAATGTCAGTCTTTAACCTGCATTTATAAGATATGTCTGCAAAGTCAAGTTGTACTTTAGACCGCTTTTTTCTTATTGGTTAATCTGTTTTCTTGATTCCATCAAATGGGAATGCTGACCCAAACAAACTATATTTGACTGCAAGAACACTGAGACAAGTTTAACAAATAGGGCCTGATATTGAGATAACCTCTAGAAAAGCAGAAAAAATCTAAAATGTTGTTTTATGTCTTATTAAGATTTACCAACCTACCACCCAGAAGTTTTCACAATGCAATCAAGTCTTAATGGATATAGGTCTTAGGTATACCATTGTGCACATTCTAAAAATCAATACTTTTTGTTGATTCTATTTCATTAATTATGTTGATATACATGCATGAGGTCACAATAAATGAATTCTTTAAGAATTGACATGAATATTTTTGGGTGGTTTTGGAAGTATAAATGTTAGAACTCGTGTGCACACACATAGAACTGTAGACAACAGTATGAAACAGGTGACATTGTTCAGCGCAGTAATGCAACGATGATAACACCAGCTATTCCTTGTTTTGTTTCATTTCAGTCGTTGCTTTTGAAGTATGTGTTGCCAACAGATACAAATTAAACAAGAAGTACCGCAAACTTCGAACCAAGTCCGAGGAGGATCCAGAAAGCCTCTCCCTCAAAAACAATGTTGCACAGGCCAAGGTAGGTCCACACAAAGTTTATTACAAACAACTGCCCTATGCCAAACCCCAGGCAGCCCTCCTTCAAACACCCTGCCGCACAGGCCAAAGTATCCTTGCCCCATGCCCAGGCTGCCCCACCCTTAGCCTTGCTCCCACCCTTAGCCTTGGCCCCACCCCCACCCCCACCCTTAGCTTTTCCCCCACCCTTAGCTTTTCCCCCACCCTTAGCCTTGCTCCACCCTTAGCCTTGCTCCACCCTTAGCCTTGCCCCCACCCTTAGCCTTGCCTCCACCCTTAGCCTTGCCTCCACCCTTAGCCTTGCCTCCACCCTTAGCCTTGCCTCCACCCTTAGCCTTGCCTCCACCCTTAGCCTTGCTCCACCCTTAGCCTTGCCTCCACCCTTAGCCTTGCCCCCACCCTTAGCCTTTCCCCCACCCTTAGCCTTGCCCCCACCCTTAGCCTTGCCTCCACCCTTAGCCTTGCCCCAACCCTTAGCCTTGCCCCCACCCTTAGCCTTGCCTCCACCCTTAGCCTTGCCCCCACCCTTAGCCTTGCCCCCACCCTCAGCCTTGCTCCACCCTTAGCCTTGCCTCCACCCTTAGCCTTGCTCCACCCTTAGCTTTTCCCCCACCCTTAGCCTTTCCCCCACCCTTAGCCTTGCCCCCACCCTTAGCCTTGCCTCCACCCTTAGCCTTGCCTCCACCCTTAGCCTTGCCTCCACCCTTAGCCTTGCCTCCACCCTTAGCCTTGCCCCAACCCTTAGCCTTGCCCCCACCCTTAGCCTTGCCTCCACCCTTAGCCTTGCCCCCACCCTTAGCCTTGCCCCCACCCTCAGCCTTGGCCCCACCCTTAAGCCTTGCCCCCGCCCTTAGCCTTGGCCCCACCCCCACCCTTAGCCTTGCCCAAAACCTATGATTTATTATGGAGCTGCCTGGTGTCTGCCTCATGGCAAAACTTCTTCGATCACCATTTCCCCTTTTGAGCCCTTTAAAATTTTGGTTTCCAAAACTTTTGACAGTTGCATCTGAAGTCCAAAATATTGGTTTGGCTATCAGCAGAATAACATTGGGTGCCAGGTGGCTTCAGAAAAAGAAAATGAGATATGTTGCTTCACCTACCCTGTAACAACAAGTAGCCTCACCCCCTGGCTCCAAGAACCCACACTTCCTCCCACCCCCACCCCCTGCCCCCAAGAACCAACACTTCCTCCCCACACTTCCTCCCCACCCCACCCCACCCATTGCCCCCAAGAACCCACAATTCCTCCCCACCCCACCCCACCCCCTGCCCCCAAGAACCCACACTTTCTCCCCACCCCGCCACCTGCCCCCAAGAACCCACAATTCCTCCCCACCCCGTCCCCTGCCTCCAAGAACCCACACTTCCTCCCCACCACACCACCTGCCCCCAAGAACCCACACTTCCTCCCCATCCCACCACCTGCCCCCAAGAACCAACACTTCCTCCCCACCCCGTCCCCTGCCCCCAAGAACCCACACTTCCTCCCCACCCCGTCCCCTGCCCCCAAGAACCCACACTTCCTCCCCACCCCACCACCTGCCCCCAAGAACCAACACTTCCTCCCCACCCCGTCCCCTGCCTCCAAGAACCCACACTTCCTCCCCACCACCTGCCCCCAAGAACCCACACTTCCTCCCCACTCCACCACCTGCCCCCAAGAACCCACACTTCCTCCCCACCCTACCACCTGCCCCCAAGAACCCACACTTCCTCCCCACAAGAACCCACACTTCCTCCCCACCTCACAAACTACCCCCAAGAACCCACACTTCCTCCCCACCCCACCACCTGCCCCCAAGAACCCACACTTCCTCCCCACCCCACCACCTGCCCCCAAGAACCCACACTTCCTCCCCACCCCACCACCTGCCCCCAAGAACCCACACTTCCTCCCCACCCCACCACCTGCCCCCGAGAACCCACACTTCCTCCCCACCCTACCACCTGCCCCCAAGAACCCACACTTCCTCCCCACCTCACCACCTACCCCCAAGAACCCACACTTCCTCCCCACCCCACCACCTGTCCCCAAGAACCCACACTTCCTCCCCACCCCACCACCTGCCCCCAAGAACCCACACTTCCTACCCACCCCACCACCTGCCCCCAAGAACCCACACTTCCTACCCACCCCACCACCTGCCCCCAAGAACCCACACTTCCTCCCCACCCCACCACCTGCCCCCAAGAACCCACACTTCCTCCCCACCTCACCACCTACCCAGCCTCCATCTCAGAACAGACTGCTGTACCTACTTTACAAAAGCATGTCAAACTTCGGCAAAGCTTTGCTAAAGTCAATAGAGAAGTTATATGTCTATTTCCTATGTGGAGAGAGAAGTACCAAGAGATTAATTCAGACCAATATTTTGTCTGTGCTGAGATTACGCAGTGTCTGGTGCCTCTTGATGGCTGCCAGACATTGACACATCGACACATTGACACATCAGCAATATGTGGATTTCTCTGCATCATCGTGTGAAGACATCCCTGTTTACCCTTCAATTCTGATGATGCTTGAACAGTTAATGTTGTTTTATTAAATAGTGTTTTTAATCCATGATAATTTACATGTATGTTTTCACAAATGTGTCTTTATACAGCCATGTTGTATTAATATCAGTATTGCTATTAAAAATTCTGAATGTAATGCTTCAGATATTATTTGTAGTGATGTCTCATCTGAAATATTATCTATTATCACAAATTCCATTATGTTTCGTGATATTTAAATCATATCGATACCTGCCATTTATGTCATCAGTTTAAGAAAGATTTGTTGGATATCAATTACCACTCTGTGAATATATAATCACACAAATAAATAAGCTGAGACAGTGTCTGTGAGGAGGTTATCTCATACCTGGGTTCTATGTCTGATTCTGGAGGTAATTACAGGTGTAAATTATTGATGTGTTGACAGATAGCAGCTCAGGCAGAGGAGGAGGACAATGCACTGGAACAGAAGAGGCAGCTGGGCAAGAAGGTCCTGTATGGACAAGTGATACAGGTAATATACAGGTGTCATAGACTGGATTCAGTCTCTTGTAACAAGTTATACAGGTAATATACAGGTGTCACAGACTGGATTCAGTCTCTTGTAACAAGTTATACAGGTAATATACAGGTGTCATAGACTGGGTTCAGTCTCTTGTAACAAGTTATACAGGCAATATACAGGTGTCATAGACTGGGTTCAGTCTCTTATAGAAACATGTTATACAGGTAATATACAGGTGTTATAGACTGGATTCAGTCTCTTATAACAAGTTATATAGGTAATATACAGGTGTCATAGACTTGATTCAGTCTCTTATAGAAACATGTTTTACAGGTAATATACAGGTGTCATAGACTGGATTCAGTCTCTTATAGGAACAAGTGGTACAGGTAATATACAGGTGTCATAGACTGGATTCAGTCTCTTATAGGAACAAGTTATATAGGTAATATACAGGTGTTATAGACTGGATTCAGTCTCTTATAACAAGTTATATAGGTAATATACAGGTGTCATAGACTGGGTTCAGTCTCTTATAGAAACATGTTTTACAGGTAATATACAGGTGTCATAGACTGGATTCAGTCTCTTATAGGAACAAGTGGTACAGGTAATATACAGGTGTCATAGACTGGATTCAGTCTCTTATAGGAACAAGTGGTACAGGTAATATACAGGTGTCATGGACTGGATTCAGTCTCTTATAGGAACATGTTTTACAGGTAATATACAGGTGTCATAGACTGGATTCAGTCTCTTATAGGAACAAGTGGTACAGGTAATATACAGGTGTCATAGACTGGATTCAGTCTCTTATAGGAACAAGTGGTACAGGTAATATACAGGTGTCATAGACTGGGTTCAGTCTCTTATAGAAACATGTTTTACAGGTAATATACAGGTGTCATAGACTGGATTCAGTCTCTTATAGGAACAAGTGGTACAGGTAATATACAGGTGTCATGGACTGGATTCAGTCTCTTATAGGAACATGTTTTACAGGTAATATACAGGTGTCATAGACTGGATTCAGTCTCTTATAGGAACAAGTGGTACAGGTAATATACAGGTGTCATGGACTGGATTCAGTCTCTTATAGGAACATGTTATACAGGTAATATACAGGTGTCATAGACTGGATTCAGTCTCTTATAGGAACAAGTTATATAGGTAATATACAGGCCAACCACTGAGACCAAAGCTATTTTAACAGTTTTGGTTTATATCACACAACAAACACAATGTAAATATTTATCATCTTTTCAAATTCCATGTCTTGCCATCAGGCAATCAAAAGTGATGCATATAGTCAGCTATCAATTATAGACATTTTAGAACTACACAGCAAATCTTCTACTGGGCAATACGACAGTGGTTGTTGGCGGGAACGCAAAAGCCGATGCTGCAGCTAGAGCAGCCCTAGACAAGCCATTATCACCACTTTCTATCCTATTATCTTCCATCCCACACAGTGACCTGAAACCAACAATTAAAGTTTATATTCGGGATCTCATGCATCAAAGATTGGATGATGGGACTTGAGTTTATTAAAATGAATGTAAACTGGCTCTTCCTGAAACTTTTTGAACAATTGAGCCTTCCATATTCCTTACAACAACCAAGTGAAATAACTCTAAATTTCACTTACTTGCTGCCACTGACGGCAATTGACATTTTACTAGCACTTCAATCATTTGCGGTCGGTGACAGTCACAAACAAACTTACAACAGACTCTTCTGTCACATGACATGTCATGTTGTCATGCTACACACTCAGGATGTGACAGGCTTAGTTACCACAGGATCCATAGCGACAGTAGTTCATGTATGAGTGAGTGAGTTGTGTTTTAACCCGCTTTGACTCAGAACAGCATTATCAGTTATATCACAGTGTGTCAGGTTAATGTGGGAGAAAAGCTGGAAGAGATGCAGGTCTCAGACGATGACCAATTTGGTGATGACAAACCTAGAAACATATTCGGGGTGAATTGGGATTTGAACCCACCATCATAGGTTTCTGGCATGCCCGGGGCGATCGGGTAGCCCAGTGGTTAAAGCGTTCGCTCGTCACGCCGAAGACACGGGTTCGATTCCCAACAAGGGTATAATGTGTGAAGCCCATTTCTGGTCTCCCCCGCCGTGATATTGCTGGAATATTGCTAAAAGCAGCGTAAAACCATACTCACTCACTCACTTCTGGCGTGCCCAAGGGAGGCAACTGTGCACAGTGAATTGTGGTTCTTAGACGATTTGGACACCATGCCCCCTACTGATTTGATGGATAGTAAATGTTAGATTCACAAGCCCGCTGTAGAAATGAGCATCATGCTGACATATCATGTCCATGTATAATACATGTGCGGACTGATCATTTCATATATGGGGTGACAGCCTCTGTGGTCTAGTGGTAGAGCGTCCGCCCGGAGAGCGGAAGGTCCGGGGTTTGATCCCCGACCGCATCATATCAAAAGATGTTAAAAGATGGTACTTGTTGTTACCCTGTCTGGCGCTCGGCATTAAGGGGCTAAAACAAGGACTGGTCGGCTCGGAGTCAGTATACTGTGTCTGAGTGGGGTATTGGTGTTAAACTGCGGCATGGTATCTCAGTGTGCTAGGACTATAAATCGACATTAGTCCGGACTAGTACAAGCAGACACACACACACACACACACACACACACACACACACACACACACACACACACACACACACACACACACACACACACACACACACACACAAACACGGGGTGACGGAACCTGTTTTTTGTGTTAAAATAAAATGTGAATAAAATGTTTCATGATTCCACCTAAATTCAGAGCAAAAACTTGTAGACATACTTGTCTTTGAAGCTGTGGCCGAAAAATATACTCTTACAAAAATTCCCTCTATTAAACTAGTGACAGGTTGGCCCACTTATGCCGATATAGGGCATTAACTGCTGCCATTCAAGTTATACTTTCAAAAACAAAAGACAATGTGAGCTCCAGGAACTGATGACTGCTTAGTTGATTGGTTACAGAACATTGACCTATTTTCCTGTTTTGTTTACAAGCATCCCCAAGGTGAAACTGGGGTATTTTCAACATAGACATGTATTAGCAGATGACACAGCAACTATTGTCAGTGTTTAACATGGACAGTGATTGCTTGATTGATGACATCGTAGAGTGCATTGTGTGACTGGTGACCATGGTGACAAGGTGCTTTCAGAGTGTTGCTAGATGTATATGAGGAACAGAGAGGAGGGAGGACCATTTCAAAATCAATGACATAAAACTCAAACAGTTTTATATTGTTATTGACAATGTATTCACTATTCAGTTATTCCTTTTTATCTAAGACACACATATCTTGAAATTCCATTCTTCATAACATCAATTACTGTTCAAACACACGTTGTTATAACTGGACTTATGTGAGATTTCATAAAATAAAGCAGAGAAATATTTTGATATGGTCCCTGCAATGATTCCTGCAATGACAATGTATAGAGAAGTGGCCATGCTTGAAAACATTTATACAAAGTGCTTAAGGCACAAAGAGACTATTGATTTTGTTTAATTTGAAACACCAAAGAAATTCATTACTGAAGTAATCTTCATTATTTATATAGTGTAAGTGTTTGGACAGTAGAGGTGATCTGTTAAAGGGGAACTTGTTCACAAGGCTTTCGTGTCAGGAACCATCCTGGATTCAGGTCATTGATTGAATTTCAATTCAATCTCATTAAAGTCAGATCTTAGTTCTCGCTGCCGCTAAACAAAGATCTGAGGACATCCCATTACGGGTCACGTCAGACGGACCTTTCTCAAACTCTGACCGACCAATGGAATTACTGACAAGAAGTCAACAATAGCCAATCAGAAGGCAGCTTTCTCTTGCTTTACGGCACTAATTTCAAATTGGCGACTACGCTTCGAAACATATTTTGACATTCTTGCTTAAAAATTTGAAACCTGAACAAAAGAACGTTCGAGATTGGCTAATATTTGGTCTAGATTGTATAGATTTAGTCGTTGAGTCCATAACTATCGTTCGGAATACCCCGTTTTAACATTTTCGAGGCTGCATGATTAGAAATCACATTTCGACTGTCACTTTCATGATCTGGTAAACGACGCTCTGATTGGTCGGATGAAAGGTCGTTCTGACGTGACCCCTAATGGGATGTCCTCAGTTCTTTGTTTAGCGGTAGCGAGAACTAAGATCTGATTGTAATGAGATTGAATTTCAATTAGGACAATAAAACACCCTTTGAATAAATTTGAACTGATTTATTGTTGCAAGAAAGATTGTTTTTCTCTTGTTGATATTTTAGCTACTTATGATATTCACAGGGACCTTATTTAGTTATTCAGCCCTACTCTTGCGCTGCTTGTAATATACTCACTGTCAAAAGAAACGCTACCATAAACATTTATACAGAAGTATGTATGTTAAGAAGAGATGTTTCCAATGTGTACCACTTAATGACAAGACTGACAATCAGTCAAGTGTTACCACAGAGTGTCTTTATGCTGCAAATGATTGCCAAATTTTACAAGCTAATCCTGTATGAGACAAATGGTGCATCTCGAGTCATGGATCTATGACGTCACATGTGATGCGTTCATGAGTGTAGAGGCACACAACATACCAGTATATTCGTTTGTGCAACGAACCAATTTCTAATTTCTCTTGAATATGAGTAAGTCTTCATATATTAACCAACATGTATGGTGTTACGTTTCTTTTGTCGGTGAGTATAGTTTGTATCAGGTTTTTTTTCGTACGATGATGGACTTAGCTATTAACTCAAATGTTTACTTGTTACAGCTTATAATCATGGTTTGTTCTGAAGTCCCCAGCAATACAAATGGATCATTTAATATGCAAGGTATTTCCACCTGCCGTGCCATCAGAAGCAAAGGCCTGAAAAACAATATAGATTTTGCCTCCAGGAATTTTCCTAAAACTAATGTTTTAACCCTGAATGCATGGCTGTGTTTCTTGCAGTAAAATAATGTCTTTGATCATCCAAGACTGGCTTTCAATGCAGATCCTGCTTGGGTGACCTCAGTTTATGATGTTGCTACAATGAAATTGCTTCACTAATCTCTCTGGTCAGCTGTACTATTTACACTCAAGATACTGCTTATTTCTGTTTACAAACTGAAAAAGTTTGAAGAATGATTGTAGATGATAAAGAGAATCTCACCCTTGTATCTACCAAGGACTAATATGTCAACACTCTTTGATAAAAGTAGTTTGACTCTTTTCAAGAAAAGACAAACAACCGCGTTGGGGAATAGGTCAACATTTAATTGACAAAAAATTATTTATGTGTTTAAATAATGTAAAAATGCCTCCTTAACTAAAATGTACAACATGAAACAATAATTAAAAACTAACAAGCCCTGGGAGGGAGGGAGGGAGGGTGGGAGTCTTACTTTCTCGCCTGCAGGGACTGAGCATCATGGGTGAGGCGCAGCGCCCTCGTGGTAGCACGTGTGGAACGTGACCTAAGCAGCGGATCGGCTGCGTTGTGCTTACTGAGTTAAACCTAAATAAGGCTTTACTCATTATTTACCACAGTATCCTCAGCAAGACTCGGAGATTTGAAATTTGTCTTGATGTTGTTGATCTTGGAAGACACTTGGGTGAGCTTCGCTATTAGTCAGCATGTGAATCACTGGAGCACCTTGAAAAAAACATGATAGACAATGCTAATTAAGGGCATAGCCCTAGGAGAGACAGTGTCCATGCACCCCAATAGGAATAGTACATGCTGTGTTGCCATGGTTACCATGTGTTAGTCAGGAGGTCATGGCGTATAGTACATGACAATGGGAAACAACGTTATTTCAGTCTGATCGGCAGTATATTTTTATGAAACTGTAAAACAATAATTTAAGCATGTTATTGTTGTTTCAGCTGCGCCACCTGTTCACAGGGAAGTATATTCATGTCAGCACCACCAAGACTTCCCAGACTGAAAGCAACAACATGGCGGTAAGCAGCAACATCGTCGACAGAAATAGGAACTGAAAATATATATCTCATGACATTCATGCCACCTTGGACTGTAACGGTCAGCCTTGTATTTTTGTCCACAAACTGTTTTCTTAGAATGTATTTTATCGGATACCTTCCGACAGTTTTGTAAGGATGTAACAAACTCCTTCTTGTAATGGTTTCTTAGTCTTCAGCTGCCAGTTTTAGCCACCTCACTAAAATAATGGTGTTGGGGGCTTACCTCGCTGACTGCAATGTGGATATGGAACTTCTGGTTTCACGGATTTTTTCGAAACGGACATCCAATTTTTGATGTTTATTGTTTGCTTTGATATTTAATTTTGAGGTTGAATCATAGTGAAGACTACAAGGCCGAGTTTCATGTTTTGAATAGTCATGCCGCTTGCTGTCTGCTCTGTTGCATGCAGCCATAGTTACGTAGTGTGTGTGTTATCCTGTTTTCTATGATTCTGATTGGCTGACATGGATTCAAAATTGAATGTTATTTATTGATACGGATTTTCCATCACCTTGCATCAGTGCACCAACTTGCAGCATTTGAAATTACATGTAAAAATAGTATCGGGAACTTCCATTTATCAGACTTCCATGATTTGATACAGTTTGTGATGGTTGTCGATAAAAAGAATTTATGAATAATATTTAGCATCAAACAAACATGGTGGATAAGCATATTATATTATGCATGTGTACTGTTTGTTTTATTTTACACTGGAACCTGGGGAGTGGGGACTCTTCAGTGTTTATTATTAGGGTTATGATAAGGACCCTGGACTTCCATGGTTAGTTCGAGCACGGGATTTATTGTAGTCTATGGGTTAAGACTGCTTTGTGAAGTGAGGGCAGAGATTGTTCTTGAGAAGGAACATTTTCTTGATGTGTTCTATTAGGATAAAAATGTGTTTGACTTTTTACTTTCCCCAAAATATGATTTATTAAGTGTTGCAAAATATGTGGTTGATGTTCCAGGTCGACCTGTTGCATGGAAATGCCAAACATGCTCAGTTCCGGATCATGCCGAGATACAAGGTCAAGGCCGAGGGTGATGTGGTATGTATTGTGTCCTTGAACTCTGTCAGATAAAGCGGCTTATGCAGCAAAGGGTGTTTGGTACATGATGGTATGTTCTGAACCACCTCAGATTATTTAGCTCACCAGGTCACTGAAACAATCCAAGCATGATATTCTGTAGATTTGAAGATGCATTGGATTCAAGATGAAATGTAAATTGTTACATTAAATTGATTCAAGGTGGCTGCCAGTGATGCCAAAGGTTAACATGCTGTATGTATTTTCAGGTCCAAATTGATGATCAGATTGTGTTGGACAGCATCAAGTCTTCCGGCCAGTTCCTGCACGTCAGTCGCATTCTGCTAGGGTCCAGCTCTGTATATCACAACAGGTCAGTACCTTGGCCAATTGCTTCATGTATTAGGCTGTTGTAGCATTGGCGCCAACATTTGTGAAGTCTTTTGGAAAATAACACTAGAACTGAAGCAGCAGATATATTGTTTCAGTATGTTTCATTGGCCTTGAATTGGTTTGGCCTTGACTTGGTTTGGCCTTGCCACAGCCCCTGTTTCCAATATGAATGTAAAAAAATACCATGGAAATTCTGAAATATATATAAAAATACTTTTAATTAAATTTTTAAATACCTGGTACCGATTGCACTGGTTACAAAACCAGTTGTTTGTAGGTTAAAGTAGATCAAAGCAATGAAATGAAATATCACAGAAATTCTGCAAGTGATTCAATCTTAAAAATGTTTTGAAAATTTCTTAAATGGATGAGACAGTTGTCAATATTCAGTTGGTATTGTTTCCTTAAGGCTATTATATAATTAAGCTGAAATTATTATATTCTAGAATGATATATCGGATATATATCGGATAGCATGACGTGTATGTTACTAACAGTGGACCTCGATGCACAGTCTCGATGTTTTCTTTATGCCTGAATAATTCGGAGTTGGGGTTCAGAGGCATTTACTAACTGCTTGTGTAAATATTCTTTTTAAATATTCCCTTTAACTTCATTCATCCAGCTGTGTCTGCATTTGGAACTGTCTGGACCTTATTGTATATCCTTGTAGGCAATATTAACATTATTCCCAGGCTGCATCCATTGTTGCTCATAATATCAATCACTGGATTGTCTTGTCCGAACTCGACCGCTGTCATGTAGTTGTAATATTGCTGAGTGGCGTTGAACAACAAATGAATATAAAGTTTGAGTTTGATCAAGCTGGCTGGGACAGCCTACTGGCCCAAGCGTAGCCCCCCTTTAAGTTAATGAATTTAATGAAGTTAACAAGGTTAATAAGGCTTCATTGCATATTCCGGGATTATTGTTCACGAAAGTGTATTCATGAAAGCTCATACACAGATTTTCATCCAGGCACCTTACTTTAATAAAAATATCTTTTCACTACTATGTAATGAAAATATTCCTTGGAATGCGAGATCTCTTAACATTTAGTTCAAACTTATCTGCTTCATATAAAATACTGGATGATAACCTTGAATCTATTGTGGCCTACACTGGGAAATATGCACACAGATTTTAAAAACAGTCATTGTTAATACTTCATGTTTACTTCATGTTAGTACACATGGTAGTTTTCTAGCAGTAGGCCATCTGTTGTTGTGACATGAGTACCATTAATCTGATACACACATGTTGTTACTAGTGCATTGACCAAAGTGTCGGAGAGGTAGGTAGCGTGTATGTCTCCTGACTAGACTGTACATCTCTTACTGTTCGTGCCTTGTCCCTTCGTCCTGCTGTAAACATCTGCACACAGTGTCACCGACAGACACCTTGTACTGGCTCAGCACATCCATGGTGTCGTACCGCTAGAGGTTTGACCTGCATTAGATGTTGTTTGTACTGATATGAAAATACTGTGTGCTTTAATGATGTTAGTCTTTAAAAACCTGCTTGTCCATTGTTATCATTTTCCTTGATCAGAATCTTAAAAGATATATTGTCATTATTTCAAGCAGAATGACAATAGTGCCCTCTTTTAATATTATGTATTCTGTTTTGTCCTCTTAAAGTATCTTTTTGCTTTTGGGGCGCAAGAGCTCAATTTGTCTAGGAACTGCAATTTGTTATGTGGAGTTGCCTCCCTTACCAATGCCTGGATTAGCTAGTTATGCATTGAATATATCACCCCCTGATATGTTCTGAGATCTATCAACACCATTCCTACTTTCGTTGGTTTTGTCAAAGATGTAAATGTGTATTACCATGGCTACCAGTCTTGTTAGGTTTGCCAACACAATGTTGACACGCCTGGATGTAACGGGAATTCTGTTCAATTGGGAATTACATCACATTTATTTTCGTCCCTTTTCACTGTTCTTTTGTTTGTTTCTTGTCAACTGTCAACTTAGATAAGTGTTAGAGTTAGTTTCTTGTTGTCTTTGAACACATAGTTCAGCGTTAGTGTCTTCTTGACTTTCAACACATTATAAATCATTAGTCATTCTCTATTTTCTTAGAATCTTTCCCTCATTATATGTGTCTAAATATGCTTTGTTTAAAAAAATATTTTTTTACTTTTGTGAGGTTTCATTGAAAAGTAGATTGTTTTGCATTCGTCTTTACAGGAATTTACTGATCATAAAATTCATATCAGGGTAATAATTTAGTGCGGTCAAAATGTATCAAATGACAGAGCATCTTGCTTGACATTGTGACAGCGTGTGTGTTATGCTTCATGGTCCTGCTTCCATATAGTGCTTCCTTGTCAGGCCATGGTAAGGGTTGGACAAAGTTCGGACATGTTTAGGGTAGGGCTCATTTGACTGATGAACACTCACTTCTAAGTTGACCACTGATTTACCCCATGTGGTAGGGCTGGTACAGGTAACTCGGGTACCCAGGTCGGGTGGGTACTGAGGACCCGGGGACCCACAGGACTACCCGGACCCGTGGTTAGTCACGTGATCTATTGTTTAATAACAAAAATTATCTTGAACTCTATGATAACACTACAAGTTACTCATGTTCGAATTTCTTTCTGACTCTGCAGCCATTCCTTCTGATTTTTCATATGGTTGAATAAAGATATAACTTATTAAACTTCAGTGTATGAATGACCAGATTGTTTAATACATGTACCTAAATACGTATTGACAGTGTTATGCTAAAAATGTTCCCAATCGGACATTTTGAGACATCTCCTGAGACCTACAGTGGGTACCCGGGTAGGGTCGGGTTATAGGGGGGTGGGTACCCCGGTAGGGTCGGGTAATAGGGGATCGGTACCCGGGTAGTAAATTTGGACTTGTCCCAGCCCTACTACATGGTTTACAGTATAAGTTGTCAAGTTTTGCCGATACAGGTGGACTTGATGAACCATGACATAACTAACATTCATTCGTTCACTCACTGTTTAGCTCAGGATGTTTTTCTCAATCATTTTCTGCTGTGTTCCCATTCCTATGTTAGTCCTGCTATTGAGGGAGGGTGTGTATCATCAGTCAACATTACCATGACTGTTTTGTCTGGGGCAAGTGTACTTCCTTACAAGCAATCTTGATGTAGCTGTTATATTGCTGACTGTGGCATAAAACAACATTCACTCACCTACCTGGTGACCCATGAAGATCTGGAGTGGAATAGGTCTTCAGCAACTCATTTTTGCTGTAAAAGGCGACTGTGCTTGTCATAAGAGTCAACTAACGTGATTGAGTGGTCAGGTTCGCTCTCTTGGTTGATGCATGTCATCGTATCCCAATTGTGTAGTTTGATGCTCATGATGTCAATCACTGGATTGTCTGGTCCAGAATCGGTTATTTACAGACTGCCGTCATTTAGCTGGAGTATTGCTGACTGCGGCGTTAAACAAACAAACAAAACAAACAAACAACTACATACCTGTTTGTAATATATTTTCATGTCAGATGTAGAGTTTGGGATCAGAAGGCCCCAATACTTGCCGAAGAGCCAACTTGTAGTGAATGGTTGCTTGACTCAGTTATTTACAGGCCATCACAATTTGAATGAAGCTGGAACACAATGTATTTTATGGAATAGTTAATGCAAAACTAAGCTTCGATGTTTGTTTTGAAATATTTACTTCAGTTTGTCAATCACCATGTTGATGTTTCTCTAAGTGTTCTCGTAGTTGTAAAGTACATCAATGATGCATTTCTCCTGTGTTTGTGGCAGCTATGAGCTGAACCTGTCTGTGCGGCAGTCTGGCTTCACCGTCTACAGGAAACACAAGCCCTCCACGGAGGATGAGAACAAGGTCAAGGTAATAAGTCAACCCTCATTTCTCATGTTTCTAGGAGACAGCTGTATACTGTCATCAAAGAGTGTGTACACTCACATCCTTGTTTAAGGCTTCGCGGGGTTACGGGTGGCCCAGTCGTCTAAGGCGCCACGATTCGCTGTGCAGAGTTGCGTCCCTTGGGCACGCCAGAAACCTATGATTGTGGGTTCGAATCCTGGTTCGCCCCAATTATGTTTCTAGGTTTGTCAGCACCATACACGTGCTCGTGGGTTTCACTGAAGTGGTAACGTCAGAGACCTGCATCACTTCATGCTTTCCTCCCACATTAAACTGACACGCCGTGATATTAATGGAATACAGATCAACACAGCATTAAACCCAATTTACACACTCACTCTACCCATCTAAACTCATCTAAACCCCTGCAAATCCTTGCTTGAGTACTGGAGTACCCTTCAGAGCCTTATTCTTAGTAATGATAGTTGGAGATTTTAATCAGCCTTTTGAATATCAGCACACTGTCTGACCTGCCTCTTCATTTTTGAAAATTGCGTGAAATGTGTCACCATGCATGCATGATTGTGTTGTTTCAGGTGGGGGATCTCATCAGGTTCTATCACAAGGAGATGGAGGCCTACCTTGTCGCCGAGGGTCTGTTCAATGACGAACTCACAGAAGATGGTGAGTTACTACTGATTCATGGTGTAACTTACAGTATTGTCTCACTCAAGAACTGTTTCAAAAAAAAAAATTACAAAAAATACTAGTATCTGTACTTTACCAAGAAAGTGTTATCCCAAAGATACCATTTGTTGCATTTGACCACTTTCTAAATGGCATTGTGTGTTCAAAGCTTTCGGGCCATGGGAGCCATGAGTGGGTTAGATCGCTGACTTTGCGTGCTGGCGTTAAGGTGCCTCACTCTGGCAGTGTGGGTTCAAAATCCCATACGGGACTCAACCTAAAAAAGTATGAGAATCTGTACTTTACTAAGAAAGTGTTATCCCAAATAGGACATTTGTTAGATCTATTCCGATTGATGGGGCTACATGGGTCAAATGGGTCAGTGTTGTACTGAAACTACTCATGAAGATTGAGGTTAGAATAGGTCTTTAGCAACCCAATGGAGCCAAAAGCATATTGAATACCCAGTGAAAACTATCTATGCCCAATGTGAATGATACTTTTTAAGAACTCGCATATAGGACAGACCCAGGTAAATCCCTGGCAACATGTAATGGCTGCCCCAGGTATCGGAAGTTCTGGTCAAATGTGACATGTTGCTGAATTGTGGATGGCTGTGATATAATTCAGGGGTCAATCACCCATGACAATGAGATCTGAGGTCTGCGTGTTGTAGGTAAATGTATGTGACTCTGTTTTCTTGTTTTCCAGTTCATCTGAGGATGCGTCCGATTGACCAGGCCAACCCCAAGACTATGTTCCCTAGCAGCTCCGCAGTGACCTACTGGCAGATTGAACTCCAGGAGGGGCCAATCATAGGTTAGTTGCCATGGTGATTTGATCCTCGCTAGTTTGCCAGCAATCTACTGGCTGCACGAACTTCACAAAAAATCAATAAATACAGTGATCAAACTAGGACTTGTGAACCATGCAGAGTTGTGTCCCTTAAGCATGCCAGGATCCTGTGTGCATTGGTTTAAATCACAGTTTCTCTCACATGAGATACTTTGTTTGTCAGCACCATGCCTGTGTTAATGTTTCAAAACGACATTCACTTTTGGCCATTTTTTCATCATGCGACATGTGAAAATCCGGGTAGAATAGGTCTTCAGCAACCCATGCTTCCCGTAAGGGGCGACTATGCTTGTCGTAAGAGGTGACTAACGGGATCGGGCGGTCAGGCTCGCTGACTTGGTTGATGCATGTCATTGTTTCCCAAGTGCGTGGATCGATGCTCATGGTGTGAGTCACAAACAAACAAACAGACAAGATCTCATCTGGCAGAAATTTTGGATTTTATTTCCCACATTGGTGAATGAGGTGGAGTACTTCTCTTGTTAATGTGGCGGTCGGGTAGCCAAGTGGTTAAAGCATTCGCTCATCATGCCGAAGACCCAGGTTTGATTCCGACATGTGTACAATGTGTACATTGTGGTGTCCCCTGGCGTGATATTGCAGAAATATTGCTAAAAGCGGCGTAAAACCATACTCACTCACTCACTCTCTTGTTAATGTTGTCATTTCTTGCCACCAGGTGGGGTACTGAAATGGGAGCAGCAGTGTCGTATCATTCATATGTGCACACGGAAATACCTCACAGTGAACGAAAAGAGTCAAGTGACCTTGACCTCAGATTACCTTGACCCCAACACAGTTTTCAGGTTACATGCAGTGATCAGGGTGAGTTATACATTGTGAAGTTATACTTACTGTTTCCACAAAATATTAAATTTAAATAATTCTTTATAAAGCTTAAAAGAATAATAGTCTTTGTTCACAGGCACCGCCTGCGACATCACAGGTTTCGTTTTTATTTCCATTGTTCGAAAAAATAAATCTTTAAACATTCCATGTCATGAACATACGACCCCGGAGGTGAAATGCTACAATATTTAAGAATAACATGATTTTCTAAAAATTATTGTAAACAATATTTGCTTACATACTAGTTTCAACAACCAAAAAAAAACAAACCACTTCCCGCCCACACAATATTATCCAAAACCTTTGCCTGAGAACCAATTCTATTATATATTTACTGTATTCGACGTAATAAGCGCCTAGGGCGCACTCAAAAATAGAAATAGGGGGCTCTTATTAGAATATTATTTTGGTGAAAAAAAACAGATTTGAAAGATAAATTTTGTGGTTTATGCTGACAGCCTGAAATGTTTATGTACGACAGATATTTTTTTCTAGAATTTAATTGCCCATAATTAAGGGTGCATATAACACATGAGTGCATATTGTCCACGAATAAATAAGTCTTGTGAACATTGATCAATCGGAAGGGGTGCTAATTGCCAATATATTAGCAAATACCGCCGTGGGCGCATATTAGAGCGGGGCGCTTATTACGTCGAATACGGTAAGCCTAATAGAGTTTGTCATGCCCTGCAACAGAGAGGGAGGTGGCATCAGATGTGATGGAGTTGACGTGGGGCATGTCCCAATGGCTGGAGACCGTTTCCAGTCTAGATTCTGTGATATATGACTTGGGTCAAACTGAGACATTGTGTGTGTGTACTGAAAGTAAATGTTAGGACTAGATTGATATTCCTGGTAGAACTAAGTCAGTGTGTCTTGGATGACTTGGAAACCAGCTTGCTTGAGCTGCCAACTGACCAGAGCCTTGTCCCCCCTATACATGTTGAAGACACACACAGCTTTTGGCTTGGGCCATGATGAATTTATTGTTAGATTTTCATCCCTGTCCTCGTCACTGCCAACACCCTGCCTCGTCATGTTAGTGTCTTCCAGTACCTACAGTTGTGTTCCATTTTTCCATTACGTGACGAAATACACGTACATAGTCATGCCAACATTAATCCTTCGTGTGTACCACATCCAGTAACAGTTAGCAGTACTGATGTCTTGAGAGGTTTGTTGTTTTCTTATTTAAAATATAAGAACTTAAATACCTCTCATCTTTTAGAAATCTTGATGAGAATTTAATAATTAATTTATTGTCGCTTACAAAATTTGTTTAGAAACCAGTGTTTCCCAAACACTACATTCTTGTGGAAATATTTTTTGTATTTTTTAATAAATGTTAAATGTTTTAAGATAAATGCACTGGGAATTTGGCAACATTTTCATCATGAAGTCTGAATATATATATGAATATAAATATATATGAATATATATATTCAGACTTCATGATGAAAATGTTGCCAAATTACCAGTGCATTTATTTTAAAAATCTTAAAATTTATTAAAAAATACAAAAAGATATATATATATATATATTTCAATAAGGCTGTCAAAGTATTTGTCATGAAAATGAAATATTAATACTGCTTGTGAAAGAGCAAGAAATGGCTGTGATTCCTGGCTAGACAAGGTGGTTGTCCCTTACTCTGGGAATACATTCGCACTCTTCATTTGCTCATAGTTCTTAAAAAAGAAAATTCCATTAAATTTGAATGTGATTACAAATTGTATTAAGTGGAATAAATTGTTGGTTCCCGGCTAGATAAGTGGGTTGTCCCTCCCGACAGGATTTGTGGTTCAAGTAAGTACAGGGAGGGAACGCATGTCTGGCACTGAATGGTGTACGTGCTATTGTCTGCATCGTATCGAGAAAAGTGAATCTGGACATCCATCAGCATGACTGAATGAAACGATTGCTTGAAAGTTTTCAGTAACTTGCTAGCGAAATTAATCTTAGTGGTCTGGCTTGCCGTTGATGTTATGCGCTGTTGCAAGGTTGGATTTATTATTTTAAATTATTTTAAAATTAATTGATTCGATGGGAAAGAATTACTTAATAAATAATGCATGAAACATTGAATAATTCTTAACGTTCAGTGTAAAATCTTTTTGTGAATAGTATCTTGAGCATGTTTAATGTATGGCATTTGAGACAAAATGTTTAAGCGATACAATATGTCTGGGCGTCTGTAGTCTATTAGATAATGGTTAGGCCGAATTGTTATAACATTAGAGCACAAGTACTAATACCCGATTCATATAATGTTATAACAATTAGGGGCCCAACATTCATCTAGTCTACAGATACTGCTGATGTTATGTTATGATTGTATTATTGTATTGTCGTGTAGTTGACTTGATCAGACTTGAAGTGTAGGACTTATACATATCCACAAACAGGGCCATGCAACTGATGTAAGGCATGTATAGCAATGTAGAACAGCCAGTGGCTCTTACATTTAGTTTACTTACTGTCGGTAACACCGTCTTGTGTATCAAATAAGATCCAAGTTGAATAAAATAATATACAAAATACATCAGTGAAAGATATCTTATTAAATGTTATTTTGACACAAACAAAACATAAAGGAACAAGAATACACCCTGAAATGCCAAGGTTTCAAATGGTTATGTTCACATTGTGTCATTGTGTGACCTTGACCTTGACGGCAAATTGAGAATCAAGGTCACAGTCGAAGTTACTCTGCTGACATGAGAGGGAAATGTGAACTCTGTGACATCATGGAACCAGAGTGTAGTTAACCTTAGACTTTCCTAGAAACATCGAGTGACTGAGAGTAGTTCAGGCACAAAAGTAGCTGGCAGATCGACGGCCACAGGGCTAGGTTTTTCTAACGGGAGTGGCCTTGTATAATGTCCTTCAACTTGGATAATTTATGTGGCCAGTGACAGACATTATTTGTATTGTTGAGGTTACCCAGCCACTGCACAGTCTCTGACCAAAGGGACGGATATCCTGACAACATACAACCCAATCTGTTGTCTATTAAATGGTGGTTGTCGCTGCCAACCATGATAGTGGGGTTGTCGGGTAGCCTAGTGGTTAAAGCGTTCGCTCGTCATGCCGAAGACCTGGGTTCGATTCCCGACATGGGTACAATGTGTGAAGCCCATTTCTGGTGTCCCCTGCCGTGATATTGCTGGAATATTGCTAAAAGCGGCGTAAAACCATACTCACTCACTCCAACCATGATAGCATTTCAGATAAAATTGTGGATGAAATGTGTATGCATGGTCATTTTTCAGGATAGTTTCAAACAGTTCCTTATATGCATGAACATGTTGTTTTATATTATGCAGACAGTGGGTTTATGTAACAACAAAACAATTTTCAAATCAATGAAAATTTATAATAGGACCAGGTTTTGATGTGATTGAAAGTTGGGTTTAAACTTGTATGTGTGCTTATAAGTAAATTGCAGTTCTTGAATAAATTTAAAATCTTGGAATGGTATCATAGTAATAAAACACTACATAATAAATAGAACTATTGTAAGTGTTAGGTCAGTTTAGCCCTCGGCATGTGCATGTGATTGGCGTCGTCCAGCATGATTCCAAATTACCAACATACTCTATTTTTGCTGCTTTAATTCTCCTTCAAAGTTCATTTGTTTGTATTATGTCCATATTTAGCCAATATTTGAAAATAAAATAGATAAATACATATGTTAAAAAACAGAATCAACAAAAAAAGAAATCAATGAATAAAATATCAATTTAGCTGCTACGAGAAACTTGCATATATTGAATTGTTTAGTCATGGTGTTTGCCATTTACCAAATATCAGCACAACAGACAATGCGATATCACCATAATGTCCTGACATTCAATGCAAATTGTGATGTTAGTTTCCCTGTCAATCAATGTTGTCACATGATTATTGATGTGCTTGTCCATGTGTCGATATTGCCTGGCGTTATGTCTGGTTCCCAGAACGGTTCTTGATGAAGACCATGGTATTTGATTGCTCTACATGATTAATGACTAGTCACAATATCCAGATGCCATTGTGTGTTGTTTATGAATAGTTTTTAATGTTTATTCTGCTTGCCAATTTTACACTTAATGTACTTTTGTAATGATATTTTGGGCAGGACCAATATAATTTCGTAGGTTGCCCTAGAGTTTGCAAAGTAATAAAAAGAAAAAAAACAACATTACTGTTTATGATAAAACGTTATTGATAACAATATTTTGTTAGCATGGTATTGTTGTATTATTGTTCAAAGAATAATTTTAATTGAGTTTTCCACTCAAACCAGTCCGGAGAAATTACTTTTTGTGTTGTTTTTTTTTCCTTCTGCCTTTTGAAATGTTGAAGAAAATCTGAAAAAATAAGATGAAATTCCATTGGTCAGTTCTTACGACTGTTGTAAAGCTGTTTAAATGTGATATCTAATGGATCTGTGAAGATCTGGGGTAGACAAGGTCTTCAGTAATCCATGCTTGCCGTAAAAGGGGACTATGCTTGCTGTAAAGGGCGACTAACTGGATCGGGTGGTCAGGATCGCTGACTTGGTTGATGCATGTCATCGCATCCCAATTGATGCTCATGATGTCAATCGGGGGCACGGGTGGCCCAGTCGTCTAAGGCGCCGCGATTCGCTGTGCAGAGTCGCGTCCCTTGGGCACGCCAGAAACCTGTGATTGTGGGTTCGAATCCCGGTTCGCCCCGATTATGTTTCTAGGTTTGTCAGCACCATACCCGTGCTCGTGGGTTTCACCGAAGTGGTAAACGTCATAGACCTACATCACTTCGGGCTTTCCTCCCACATTAAGCTGACACGCCGTGATATAACTGGAATACTGTTAAAAGCGGCGTTAAACCAAACTCACTCACTCATGATGTCAATCACTGGATTGTCTGGTCCACACTCGATTATTTACAGACCGCAGTCATATAGCTGGAATATTGCTGAGTGCGGTGTTAAACAACAAACAAACAAACAAACAAACAAACAAACAATGATATCTAATGAGAATTTTCTTCCTGTTAGACCATGGTTACTTTTACTATTCTCAGTGATAGATAGATGGGGATAATTCATGTTAGTGTGGGTCGGTCGGGTAGCCTAGTGGTTGAAGCGTTTGCTCGTCACGCCGAAGACCCGGGTTCGATTCCCGACATTGGTACAATGTGTGAAGCCCATTTCTAGTGTTCCCCGCCGTGATATTGCTGGAATATTGCTTAAAGCGGCGTAAAACCATACTCACTCACTCATGTTAGTGTGAAACACATAGGTGAACAATGGACGCTGGAAATGTGTACCCGTGTTTATACTGTCTGTACATTCATCAGTTCCATGGGAATATCGAATACTATTTGTGTGACAACTTTTCCAAGCAATCAAACATTGCACTATTCCATCCTTTGTGTGTAGACATGTTGTCATTAACTCTTTCAACTATTTTATTCCCTCGATCGACAGCTTGTGGTAGGTGTCTCATCTGGGTCTTTTTCTTTTTTTTCTGGGAATGTCTGCTTTTTTTATCATAATGTATTTTGGTTTTCGCTGTGAGATTTTGTTGTTTTGTGTTGGTGGGTATATGTTTCTGAAACTTCATGTTGTTGTATTTTAACATTGCTTTGTTTTATCATTATTTCATCACATTAATTTATCATTGTTTTATTTTAAAATGTTTTTATTTTGTCATTGTTTTCTCATATTGGGGTAGCCTAGTGGTTAAAGCGTTCGCTCGTCACGTCGAAGACCGGGTTCGATTTCCGACATGGGTACAATATGTGAAGCCAATTTCTGGTGTCCCCCGCCATGATATTGCTGAAATATTGCTAAAAGCGGCGTAAAACCATACTCACTCACTCACTCACATGAGGATTTAAATTTTCTGATCAACTAACTGAGAGCTTTGGGGTTTAACTTGTTATTCAGAAAAGCAAACATCGCGTCATTACCTTACTTTTCACTGTGGCTTACATGTTGTTTTCTCAAACCGTTGTCCTTGGTTTCCCTTTCAATATGTTCCTTGAAGTGCTGCTGCTGTTGTGCTCTGTACCTGAATCTTTGCCATGTGTCTTACAATCCAGTGACTAATCATTGTAGTTACATCAGTGTGTATGTGGCGATGGGGAAGCTGACTTATGGGTTCATTTCTTCTTAAATGTTTAGATTTGAGACTTTTGTCTCTTTTTGTTTTCTCTGTTTTCGGTTAACTATGAGTATTTGATGACTGTCATTTATGCAAGGACTGAGAAAGACATCGTGTCTCCAAGAGGGGGGCGGTCGGGTAGCCTAGTGGTTAAAGCGTTCGCTCGTCACGTCGAAGACCCGGGTTCGAATCCCGACATGGGTACAATGTGTGAAGCCCATTTCTGGTGTACCCCGCCGTGATATTGCTGGAATATTGCTAAAAGCGGCGTAAAACCAAACTCACTCACTCATGTCTCCAAGATAATTAATTTATTTATTTTAAACTTCAATATGGAAACTCAGATTTATACATACTAAGCTGGAGTTGATCCGCGATGGTGGAAAGGGCTGCAGGGAGGGTCTACTCTTACATGTGAGCAATGACATGTTTAAACTCGGATGTATAAACTCGAGTAAGGCTTGGTCTCAGAAAATGCTGACGTTTCTTCAGTATGCCTGATATTAATCAAAACTCCCAAGAGTTGTCTCCTTTGTGCTGCCTTGGGAAGACTATTTGTCTTGTTAATTTTTCATCTTGCTAATCATGCTTACTGTGTGGTTTAAGCCAAGTCTGTTAATATTTTGTTTATTACAACTTCTGTTTTTCATCTCACACTTTTTTTTATGTCACATATGTTTTGCCTTCCTTGATACGATGTTGTTATTTTCACTTGTATTAAAAAAGTAAATGTCACAAACAATAAAATTGTAAGTAAAGATATTTTACTGCTGCTTTCTATTTTAACATTGGATATTAATGCTACAATGTATTTAGTAGTAGTAAAACATTTAACGGTTCATGCTTTATTCAAAATATAAAAACAACATGTCGTAAGAGGCGCCTAACGGGAACGGGAACGGGTGGTCAGGCTCGCTGACTTGGTTGATACATGTCATTGATCCCAATTGCATGGATCGATGCTCATGATGTTAATCACTGGATTGTCTGGTCCAGACTCGATTATTTTACAGACCACTGTCATATAGCTGGAATACTGCTGAGTGCGGCGTTAAACAACAAACAAACAAACAAACAAACAATGCTCATGATGTCAATCACTGGATTGTCTGGTCCAGACTTGATTATTCACAGACTGCCGTCATGTAGCTGGAATATTGCTGAGTACGGTGTTAAACAACAAACAACATAAAATGTTGTAAGAATATTGAATTAGTTCCAGTACCATGGCCATGTCTGTTACCTACTGGTACACGGGTACACAGTATATAAATGTGTGTTTGTGTATTGCAGGACAGTGATGATATTCCCTTTGAGAGCTATTGCCGCATCGAACATGTGGTCACCGGGCACTGGCTGCATGCTCTCACCGGTGAGTACAAGCATCATGACATGCCACACGTCTACAGGTTGTGTTGGCCCCTGTGTCTTGTCTTACAGAGGTACATATTGGCTGAGGGTTGAGGTGTCCAGAATAACAGGGTTATGTTAATAGCAGTGTTGTGTGTTCCCGAGTAATGTATGGGGGCTAATTGTAAGGTGTCTGGATTAACAAGGTTTTGTATTCAGCAGTGTGTGTGTGTGTGTGTGTTACATAGGAGTATGTTAAGTATAATGTGTCCACATTGACAAGGATGTGTAAACAGCAGTGGGTGTGTTACAGGGAAGTACGTGAGGGTTAAGTCTAATGTTTCCACATTGGTAAGGTTATGTATACAGCAGTGTGTGTGTTACGGAGGAGTACATGAGGGCTAAGTCTTATGTGTCCACATTGACAAGATTGTGTATACAGCAGTGTCTGTTACAGAGGGGTACATGAGATGTAGGTATGATGTGTCCACATTGACAAGATTGTGTATACAGCAGTGTCAGTGTTACAGAGAAGTACATGAGGAGTAAGTCTAATGTGCCCGCATTGACAATATTGTGTATACAGCAGTGTCAGTGTTACAGAGGAGTACATGAGATATAGGTATGATGTGCCCACAATGACAAGGTTGTGTATACAGCAGTGTCTGTGTTACAGAGGAGTACATGTGGAAGCAGCGTGCCAAGCTGAAGGAGGACAAGGATAACTCCATGGGGGCCCTCAAGTACAGCACGGCTCAGCTCAAGAAGGTAACAGTGGCAGATGAACATCATGAACTCTGTTCATGAAAACTGCTTGGATAAATCTATGAATATTGTATGAACCAGTGTTACAGAATAGGATGTAAACAGTTCATGAATACTATGTTAACAGTTCATGGTTGCTGCATAGATTGTTCATGAATACCATATCAACAGTTCATGGTTGCTGCATAGATTGTTCATGAATACTATATCAACAGTTCATGGTTGCTGCATAGATTGTTCATGAATACTATTTTAACAGTTCATGGTTGCTGCATAGATTGTTCATGAATACTATATTAACAGTTCATGGTTGCTGCATAGATTGTTCATGAATACTATATCAACAGTTCATGGTTGCTGCATAGATTGTTCATGAATACTATATCAACAGTTCATGGTTGCTGCATAGATTGTTCATGAATACTATGTCAACAGTTCATGGTTGCTGCATAGATTATTCATGAATACTATATTAACAGTTCAGGTCATACTACATAAAAACAGCTCCTCATGGCTCCATAGATAATTAATGAATGGTTGTTTTTTTCCACAAATAATTCATGATCAGTTAATGAAGTTCCAGTAATCTGTATATGGTATCTAACACTATGTGTGTGTACTAGTTAGATGAATTACACAAAGCATGTCATAGTATAGAGGAATGGATTGAGATCACATTTCACAGGTAATATAGTTGTCACTAAGTTTAAAAGATTAAATATTGGATGGAACACCCATCATATCTGACAATGCTGCCATTCAGAAGAGACTTTGATACTTCCAATATTCTTTGGTATTTCAGAATTAGATCAGGTTTATAAACTTTTTACACCTTAGAAACACAATACTTGTTATTGTAATACACCAGTTTGGCCTATTTATTACGTCTGTTAGTTTTAATGTTGATATTAGAACAAAGGTGGCTATTTTGAAGCATTCAAATCATGCAATGACAATTTTTTGAGAGCAGCTTCAGAGTGGAAAGAAGATGAAAGTAAGGGAGACAACTCCTGATGCTCGTTTTCATGTTCTCTCATGCTTGCTACATGTCCCCTTCGGTTCATCATTTTCCATCTTAACTTATTTTAGAATAAAACTTTTTCATCTTCATTCTTGCAAGTTTAACTTTGTATTTATTTATTTCATAACCAAAAGATGGTTTCGTAAAGTAGGTTGTCATAGAAACAAAGTAAGCAGTATTTTTAGCAGAGATGGCTTATGATAATGGAAATGGTTTTGTTGCTTATATTTACATATAGTCGTAACTGTAATTGGTGAGATTTGAGTGTTTGAATCTAGCATGGTTAAATTGCTCATGAGGCTGTTTCATAACGTTCCAAAACTTTTCATAATTTTCATACTCAATTTATGTTGTAAGATGCATGTGTAGCAACAATGTGTGTATTTATTGACAATTATAGGAAGTAAGGACAGGCTCAATAGAGTTTGTATTCTCATTTATGATAGAAACACAATACTTTAAATATTTGATTAACCTTGAGTAAGTACAATAATAAACTGACTTCTTAACATTGCTTTAATATCAGTTTCATTTTAAAAGCAAGACAACTTTTTCCCTCGGTCTCTCTGATGCAGTCATAAACACAAACACATCCTTCACTTTCACCCTTCTTTTAATCACACACGTCACTATCACAGGAAAAGAAAGTTGAGGCAAGTTTGTAGTTTGTCTTGTGTTATTTGTTGTTTGTGTACGTTGTTTGTATTTTCAAACCCTTTTTAATATTATTGTGCCAAATATGTCAGTTTGTATATCCCAGTAACAGTGCATCAACATTCTGTAGGGCCCAATCAGTATCAAGGCATCAGTATTCTGTTTGGCCCAATCAGTATCAAGGCATCAGTATTCTGTTTGGCCCAATCAGTATCAAGGCATCAGTATTCTGTAGGGCCCAATCAATATCAAGGCATCAGTATTCTGTAGGGCCCAATCAGTATCAATGCATCAATATTTTGCAGGGCCCAATTAGTATCAATGCATCAACTATCTGTAGGGCCCAATCAGTATCAAGGCATCAATATTTTGCTGGGCCCAATTAGTATCAATGCATCAACTATCTGTAGGGCCCAATCAGTATCAAGGCATCAGTATTCTGTAGGGCCCAATCAGTATCAATGCATCAATATTTTGCAGGGCCCAATTAGTATCAATGCATCAACTATCTGTAGGGCACAATCAGTATCAAGGCATCAGTATTCTGTTTGGCCCAATCAGTATCAATGCATCAATATTTTGCAGGGCCCAATTAGTATCAATGCATCAACTATCTGTAGGGCCCAATCAGTATCAAGGCATCAATATTTTGCAGGGCCCAATTAGTATCAATGCATCAACTATCTGTAGGGCCCAATCAGTATCAAGGCATCAGTATTCTGTAGGGCCCAATCAGTATCAAGGCATCAATATTTTGCAGGGCCCAATCAGTATCAATGCATCAACTATCTGTAGGGCCCAATCAGTATCAAGGCATCAATATTTTGCTGGGCCCAATTAGTATCAATGCATCAACTATCTGTAGGGCCCAATCAGTATCAAGGCATCAATATTTTGCTGGGCCCAATTAGTAGCAATGCATCAACTATCTGTAGGGCCCAATCAGAATCAAGGCATCAACATTCTGTAGGGCCCAATCAGAATCATGACAGAATCATATAATTTGAGAATAGTTTGATCTTTCTCCAGTTTATCTCACTTAAAAAAAACCATGAAAACATTGAAAGTAGATGACAACATTGGGATATTTCTGAAAACCATAGTATTTGTCTGATTTCGTCATTGTAATTAATCATTTTTGACAATGCTTTTGAATTTCTGCTCTGAATGTGTACCTTTGTATTTGTTTTGATGTTGTTTTGTTGATGTTGTCAGTCTGGACTATTATAGATTTACACATCACACTGTTCTTCATCATTGATGTTTCTTAGTGGAATAAATAATATCTGTTTGTTTGGAATGAGCTAGTTGAGAAAACTTAAGTAATTTCATCAGTCATTTCAAAATAATACATGTTCATATGGAATCGTTTTTTCTTCTGACCAACCTTCACATACTCAGGTCAGATTTAGCCAAACTTTTGATATGAAATATTTGCATATTGGCCTAAAAGATTTTCCAGAACAGCAAATAGAATTGGTTTTGTCTGATATTTTGTTACAGTTCTCAGTCTCCCTGTGTGTAGTTTCAGTGTCCCTAACGAAAGACCTTTACTCTGATTTGATACCTCTGTCAACATCTTAAGAAGCCTCTATTAGAGGTCATGGCAGGTGAACCCAGAGCAAACGTTGACCACCCAATCAAAATGAAGATTAAATGTTTTTTAGCCAATCAGATATCAGCTTTTTAAAACGATTCACAAAGTATTGATCTTCGCTAACTAGTACATTCTTTTCTATGTAGATGCCACAGCGCTCACAAATGACATATCTACAACATATTTTTCTCTATTTGGAATTACCTGTTTATATTTGTGAGCTTGAAGGTATTATATAGTCTACCATGAATTTGGGAATTACTCTATTCTGATTGGTCAATGAGAGGTTTCAACTCACAATAACCACCTCTGATTAACACAGCCTATTAGATTACTGCATCGCTGCAGAAGATCATGTTAGTAGAAAGAATTTCTTTCTCAGTCATTGTCTGTAGGCATTTTTGAATAATGATTTGTGAAATTTTTGGTTATAAGATGCAGATTTTATAGTGAGCAATAAGACAGCTGTTTTAGTAGTGACTACTCTGAATCAGGCAATTAACATTTGTGAGATACAGAAATCCGATATACTTCTCTGAATATTTTGCTCACTCCCAGAAGCTTACTCTGATTGGCTCTTTGGACAGTTCATTTGACGTAACCTCCATTTAAAGGTTTGACAGATCTTGATGGACAGAGGTATTAAATTGGAGAAATGACCTTTTTTGATGAGGTTGTTTGTTTGTACATTTGGTGATGAAAAGTCTACATTGCATTGATATCAACCATTTTGTATCAGTCAAGACCCAATGCCTTTGATTAATAGGGGCGGTGGGGTAGCCTAGTGGTAAGAGCTATTGCTCATCACACTGAAGCCCCCGTTTTCGACTCCCCACATGGGTACACTGTGTGAAGCCCATTTCTGGTGTCCCCCGCCGTGATCTGCTGGAATATTGCAAAAAGTGGCGTAAAACCATGCTCACTCACTTCAATTAATACTATTGCCGATTCCCCATAATTGTCAAGAAACACTCTGTCATCATGTTTGATGCTGTTTGATGTTTGATGTTTGATTTCATGACCAACATAATGAGAATGAGGCTTGTATCATGTGACTATGTCCAGGTCATGTGACTTGTGAAGTCAGTTATTTACTGAGTCTGTGTCACATAAGGATTCAGATACATGGTGCAGGTTGCGTTGGAATGGGAATGTTGATATCTCCTTGTCATGTGACTGTTCAGATCGAGGCTATACGAGAGAAGCAGTACGATGACGCCTTCACACTACAAGCAGTTGACCCTGATCTTGTGGACATCTTCCACTACATGGCGGGAATGGTGCCTTTCATCCAGAAACTAGTCAAAGATGTGAGTGCTTTTGGCGTTTTGTGCATTTCAGGAATTAAGCTGAAGAAAAGATTTGTTCTTGGACATGCAGCTTTCTTTTTTTAAAGCTAATAATATATTTAAAAAAAGATGGATTGAAGGTATTATGATATATTCTACCATGAATTTGGGGAATACTCGATTCTGAATAGTCAATGAGAGGTTTCAAATCACAGTAACCATCTCTGATTGGAATAGCTTATTAGATGACTGCATTAATAGAAAGAAGTTCTTTTTTGGTCATTGTCGGTAGGCATTTTAGAATAATTATATGTAATATTACAGTTTTTAAAATGCAAATTTATAGTGAGCAATCTGATAGCTGTTCCTGGATCAGGCAAATTAGTGTCGGATGGTGTGTGCATTGATTCACAGTTGGGGCACTGTTCACAGTTGATAACCCGCTGTGTTATCACACAGTTGAGTCATGATAACCCGCTGTGAAATCACAGACAGTTGAGACATGATGGTCCACTGTGTTATCACACACAGTTGCGACATGATGATCTACTGTTATCACACAGTTGAGACAAAATGGCCCACTGCGTTATCACACACAGTTGAGACACGATGATCTACTGTGTTATCACACACAGTTGAGACATGATGGCCCACTGCGTTATCACACACAGTTGAGACATGATGATCTACTGTGTTATCCCACACAGTTGAGACATGATGATCTACTGTGTTGTCACACACAGTTGAGACATGATGGCCCACTGCGTTATCACACACAGTTGAGACATGATGACCCACTGCGTTATCACACACAGTTGAGACATGATGATCTACTGTGTTGTCACACTGAGTTGAGACATGATGGCCCACTGCGTTATCACACACAGTTGAGACATGATGGCCCACCGCGTTATCACACAGTTGAGACATGATGGCCCACTGGGATTCACACACAGTTGAGACATGATGATCTACTGTGTTATCATCTGATAGCATGCACAGTATGGATGTGTTTCTATTATTGACTGGACTGTTGTTTGAATCAATTTTTCAGAAAAAAGATGATGTTATCCTGAATGCCAAGATGGCTCACACTGTTATCATGGTAAGTAGAGATTTCAGCCCTGGATCTCATGGGAGTCGTCTCAGTGCATCTGAGGAACCCAAGTTGTCTCATGTTTGTTTGTTTCTTGTTTAACGCTGCACTTAGCAATATTCCAGCTGTATGACAGTGGTCTGACCAGACAATCCAGTGATTACTATCACGAGCACTGATCCATGCAATTGGGATACGATGACATGCATCAATCAAGTCAGGGACAAGCACTCTCACAGATCTTCACTGGTCAGATCTGATTTGCAGATAATCGAGACTCATTATTCTCTGGTGTTGATGTTTTATATTTATGATTTATACAAATTGGGTTAGGCTTTTTATTCGTTTGTTCTTTATTTACAAAATATGTGCCTCAAAATTCAAAATGAATGCAATATAGCCAGAAAAGAATTTGGTTTTGGTAGTCAGAGTTGTCAGGACATTATATGCACCTTGTAACCGCCACAAATATTTGCCATAAAAGTCACCAGTTTGTTGATCAGCATTGTGATTGTTATTTTGGGTAGCCTTGTGGTTATAGCGTAAGCCCATTTCTGGTGTCCCCTGCCACGATATTGATGGAATTTTTTTAAAGCACTGTAAGACCATGTCATTTTTTAAATATTTTACATTGTATGTCAGTTTTGTAAACCATTGTTTGTAAGAAATAAAAGCCATTACACAACCATCATCCACAGATGCACCAACCTAGGCGGAGAAGGTGTTCATGATCCATTTGTTAATAAATTTGGTTAATTTCTCCTCTTGTAGGCGCTGTCGGAGATGAAGAAGTTTATGATTGTAGACAGTGTGCCGAACAAACGGCGCCAGAAGCTCATGAGAAATCTCAGGGTGAGTTGATGGGAATATTAGTCAGTTTGAGATACAGTTTGCAATATCTCTGCATTATTCCTTTAGCATGGCCTGATGTAAAAATAATTTGTCAACACACTCAATGGTTTTCAATGTGAAAAATCATATGTTCTTTCTTTGGCTTCAATGCTTTTAGCATCATCTTATGTAGAAATAATTGTCAACAGACTTAATAGGTTTTCAGATGGCAGAGTGTGGACATTCGAAAGTCCCTTGATCAGATTTGCACTTGTTTTCCATACATGGCCTGGGTGCTGACCTATGTGTGTGTGTTTATACCTATGTGTGTGTGCTGCTGCCTGTATGTGTGTGTTTATACCTATGTGTGTGTGCTGCTATCTGTGTGTGTGTGTTTATACCTATGTGTGTGTGCTGCTGCCTGTGTGTGTGTTTATACCTATGTGTGTGTGTTTATACCTATGTGTGTGTGCTGCTATCTGTGTATGTGTGTTTATACCTATGCGTGTGTGCTGCTGCCTGTGTGTGTGTTTATATCTATGCATGTGTGTTTATACCTATGTGTGTGTTTATACCTATGTGTGTGTTTATACCTATGTGTGTGTGCTGCTGCCTGTGTGTGTGTGTGTTTATACCTATGTGTGTGTTTATACCTATGTGTGTGTGCTGCTACCTGTATGTGTGTTTATATCTATGCATGTGTGTTTATACCTATGTGTGTGTTTATACCTATGTGTGTGTGCTGCTACCTGTATGTGTGTTTATATCTATGCATGTGTGTTTATACCTATGTGTGTGTTTATACCTATGTGTGTGTGCTGCTACCTGTGTGTGTGTGTTTATACCTATGTGTGTGTGCTGCTACCTGTGTGTGTGTTTATACCTATGTGTGTGTGCTGCTATCTGTGTGTGTGTGTTTATACCTATGTGTGTGTGCTGCTACCTGTGTGTGTGTTTATACCTATATGTGTGTGTGCTGCTACCTGTGTGTGTGTTTATACCTATGTGTGTGTGCTGCTACCTGTGTGTGTGTGTTTATACCTATGTGTGTGTGCTGCTGCCTGTGTGTGTGTGTGTTTATACCTATGTGTGTGTTTATACCTATGTGTGTGTGCTGCTACCTGTATGTGTGTTTATATCTATGCATGTGTGTTTATACCTATGTGTGTGTGCTGCTACCTGTGTGTGTGTTTATACCTATGCGTGTGTGCTGCTATCTGTGTGTGTGTTTATATCTATGCGTGTGTGCTGCTACCTGTATGTGTGTTTATATCTATGCATGTGTGTTTATACCTATGTGTGTGTGCTGCTACCTGTATGTGTGTTTGTATCTATGCATGTGTGTTTATACCTATGTGTGTGGGCTGCTACCTGTGTGTGTGTTTATACCTATGTGTGTGTGCTGCTACCTGTGTGTGTGTTTATACCTATGCGTGTGTGCTGCTGCCTGTGTGTGTGTGTTTATACCTATGCGTGTGTGCTGCTGCCTGTGTGTGTGTTTATATCTATGCGTGTGTGCTGCTATCTGTGTGTGTGTGTTTATACCTATGTGTGTGTGCTGCTGCCTGTGTGTGTGTTTATATCTATGCGTGTGTGCTGCTATCTGTGTGTGTGTGTTTATACCTATGTGTGTGTGCTGCTGCCTGTGTGTGTGTGTTTATACCTATGTGTGTGTGCTGCTGCCTGTGTGTGTGTTTATACCTATGTGTGTGTGCTGCTACCTGTGTGTGTGTTTATACCTATGTGTGTGTGCTGCTGCCTGTGTGTGTGTTTATACCTATGCGTGTGTGCTGCTACCTGTGTGTGTGTTTATACCTATGTGTGTGGGCTGCTACCTGTGTGTGTGTTTATACCTATGTGTGTGTGCTGCTACCTGTGTGTGTGTTTATACCTATGCGTGTGTGCTGCTGCCTGTGTGTGTGTGTTTATACCTATGTGTGTGTGCTGCTATCTGTGTGTGTGTGTTTATACCTATGTGTGTGTTTATACCTATGTGTGTGTGCTGCTACCTTTGTGTGTGTGTTTATACCTATGTGTGTGTTTATACCTATGTGTGTGTGCTGCTATCTGTGTGTGTGTGTTTATACCTATGTGTGTGTGCTGCTGCCTGTGTGTGTGTTTATACCTATGTGCGTGTGCTGCTACCTGTGTGTGTGTTTATACCTATGTGTGTGTGTTTATACCTATGCGTGTGTGCTGCTGCCTGTGTGTGTGTGTTTATACCTATGTGTGTGTGCTGCTACCTGTATGTGTGTTTATACCAATGTGTGTGTGCTGCTACCTGTATGTGTGTTTATACCTATGTGTGTGTGCTGCTACCTGTATGTGTGTTTATACCTATGTGTGTGTGCTGCTACCTGTATGTGTGTTTATACCAATGTGTGTGTGTTTATACCTATGTGTGTGTGTTTATACCTATGTGTGTGTTTATACCTATGTGTGTGTGCTACTGCCTGTGTGTGTGTTTATACCTATGTGTGTGTTTATACCTATGTGTGTGTGCTGCTGCCTGTGTGTGTGTTTATACCTATGTGTGTGTGTTTATACCTATGTGTGTGTGTTTATACCTGTGTGTGCTGCTGCCTGTGTGTGTGTTTATACCTATGTGTGTGTGTGTTTATACCTATGTGTGTGTGTTTATACCTATGTGTGTTTATACCTATGTGTGTGTGTTTATACCTATGTGTGTGTGCTGCTACCTGTATGTGTGTTTATACCTATGTGTGTGTGTTTATACCTATGTGTGTGTGCTGCTACCTGTATGTGTGTTTATACCTATGTGTGTGTGCTGCTACCTGTGTGTGTGTTTATACCTACCTGTGTGTGTTTATACCTATGTGTGTGTGCTGCTACCTGTGTGTGTGTTTATACCTGTGTGTGTGTGTTTATACCTTTGTGTGTGTGTTGCTACCTGTGTGTGTGTTTATACCTATGTGTGTGTGTTTATACCTACCTCTGTTGACAGATTGTGGAGCTGCTTGTGAGCCTCCTCCAGATTCCATACCGAGGCAAGGATGACCGAGGGTAAGTTATAACCTAAGAAATATATTCAACGTGATTACATGACACTTGATCGGCCAACAAAGGAATTTTGAGGCATTCATGTTCCCATAAACCAAAGACATAGGCCACGCCCACTAGCGGACTACTGTTTCCTGATTGGCTGTAAATAGGGTGGGCGGAGCTTCGTTTTCATTATTGCGCTGAATGATGTCAATGAATTCGTATTGTTGTCTACAGTTTTTTGTGTGTTAATGATTAAGTAAGCAGTCTGTGAAGTTACTGTGGTTGACTTATTTACTCATAAGAATTGACTCTTTTGTGTTTTTGCTGGTTTTTCTGTTGATGCCTCCATTAAAGTAAAAAAAGTCAATTCTTAAAAACACTTCACAGATGATTAGGGGAGGTAACTTGTGTTATTCCGGCCAGTAAACAACTGACCATATTCAACTGTGAGTCCAACATTCATGGAATTTCATGTATATTTTGGCAATACCTTTTTTATTAAAAATTGGTTAACACATGCACCAATCCTAAAACTGCAAGACCAGCTTGACAAAAATAGCAGAAATAGTAACAACATTTACTGTTTAACACTGAATGACGAATTTCAATTTTGGTGTGTGACAGTATGCATGGTATGAACCCCCTGGTATGCAACGCTCTGTTTTAATCCACCTGTGAAGATCCGGGGTAGAATAGGTCTTTAGTAACCCATGCTTGCCGTAAAAGGCGACTATGCTTGTCGTAAGAGGTGACTAACGGGATCAGGTGGTCAGGCTCGCTGTCTTGATTGATGCATGTCATTGATCCCAATTGCGTGGGTCGATGCTCATGATATCAATCACTGGATTGTCTGGTACAGCCTCGATTATTTACAGACCACCGTCATATATCTGGAATATTGCTCAGTGCGGCTTTAAACAACGAACCAACCAACCGTTATAATCCGTATTTCCCTGCAGGCATCTGACCAACATCTTCGTGGAGGCGTATGATGTGCTGTACACATACCTGATGGGTGACAGTCGCAAAAACGAGCTGTACATTGCCAAGTACATCGACTTCTTCCTCACACAGTTCGAGTATAAGGAGGTAGGTTTGTTTTCCATTATTCCCCAGTTCTGGTCTGGTTGCCATGGTTTCTTCTGTTATAACCGTGTTTTGGTTGATACACCTCTTCTTTTCACTAATAGCTGTACATTGCATTACATTTTTCTCATGTTGCAATTATTGGATTATTTATGTCCATAATTTGTAAGAGTTCCATTTGTGGAGATGTGAATTACAATTAAAATTAAGGGACATGTAGACATTCCCACAGAGGATTTGGACCCAGAACCTCCTGATTGTGAGAGCAGTGAGTGAACCTTTCTCGGAATGTGAGAAAGAAACCCCGAAAGATCTGGGGTAAATAGGTCTTCAGCAACCCATGCTTGTCGTAAGAGGCGACTACGCTTGTAAATGGCAACTAACAGGATCTGGTGGTCAGACTTGCTTGCTTGGTTGATGCATGTCTTCGTATTCCAATTGCCTAGATCAATGCTTTTGGAGTCAATCACAGGATTGTCTGGTCCAGACAGATTATTTACAGACTATCGTAATATAGCTGGATTATTGCCGAGTGTGGCGTTAAGCGAAAATGGAAACAAAAACAATGAGTGGAAGAAGTAATTCTGTTTTAATGTTTTGTGGGTGATTATTCTATTTCTTTTGAGGGAAAAAATCACATTAAGTGAAAATGTATACTTTCTGAGTGAGGTACAAAGTGATTATGTTTTTAGTTTCAAAGGATGTGAATCAATATGAGCTCAGATAGGGCTCATCAATTCATGTGTTGAATGTCTCTTCTTTAAAACAGCATTGTCCTGATAAAATGACAGTAAGTCCTTCACAATCAACAGTCAAATGCTCCCACAGTGACATCAGATTGATGTGAACACCAGGCACAGTGTTCTGTTTGTACGATACTACTCAAAAGAAGTTAAGGGCCACCTGATTCTTTCATATTACAAAACTTCATCTGTCATGTGATGAGAGATTAACTCTTGTTGTATGGAAGAATCGGGTGGCCCTTAACTTCTTTTGAGTAGTACATATATACTGCAGTAATATTGCAGTTAAACATTGGGATTAAACAGAGCATTGTGTGAGCATGTACTAGCTATTGCAGTAATATTACAGTTATAACATGGGGATTAAACAGAGCATTGTGTGAGCATGTACTAGCTATTGCAGTAATATTACAGTTATAACATGGGGATTAAACAGAGCATTATATGAGCATGTACCAGCTATTGCAGTAATATTACAGTTATAACATGGGACTAAACAGAGCATTGTGTGAGCATGTACTACCTAATGCAGTAATATCACAGTTATAACATGGGACTAAACAGAGCATTGTGTGAGCATGTACTACCTAATGCAGTAATATTACAGTTATAACATGGGATTCAACAGAGCATTGTGTGAGCATGCACTACCTATTGCAGTAATATTACAGCATAACATGGGATTAAACAGAGCATTGTGTGAGCATGCACTACCTAATGCAGTATTATCACAGTTATAACATGGGACTAAACAGAGCATTGCCTGAGCATGCACTACCTAATGCAGTAATATTACAGTTATAACATGGGGAAAAAACAGAAGATTGTGTGAGCATGCACTACCTAATGCAGTAATATTACAGTTATAACATGGGGATTAAACAGAGCATTGTGTGAGCATGCACTACCTAATGCAGTAATATTACAGTTATAACATGGGGATTAAACAGAGCATTGCCTGAGCATGTACTAGCTATTGCAGTAATATTACAGTTGTAAAATGGGATTAACCAGAGCATTGTGTGAGCATGTACTAGCTGATGCAGTTATATTACAGTTATAACATGGGATTAAACAGAGCATTGTGTGAGCATGTACCAGCTATTGCAGTAATATTACAGTATAACATGGGATTAAACAGAGCATTGTGTGAGCATGCACTACCTAATGCAGTATTATTACAGTTATAACATGGGACTAAACAGAGCATTGCCTGAGCATGCACTACCTAATGCAGTAATATTACAGTTATAACATGGGGAAAAAACAGAACATTGTGTGAGCATGCACTACCTAATGCAGTAATATTACAGTTATAACATGGGGATGAAACAGAGCATTGTGTGAGCATTCACTACCTAATGCAGTAATATTACAGTTATAACATGGGGAAAAAACAGATGACGCTATGATGCATGGCGTTGATGCAGTGTGCAGTGTGTTGCACTGACTTCACCTGTGTGGGAGTGCGAGAAACAATTCAGCAGCACATTTACATTATTTCCGCTTTATGGCGACCATGTGACAATGTACCAAGATGTCGTAGATGCTGACTGAATTCATGCTTTCTGATTAGCCAGTGCCTGTCTTAGAACTGTAAACCCTGGCTGGTATACACGTTTATTACAGGATGTCGGGACATTTGATGTGACGTCGTTGACTCTCCACATATGTTGACTCTGTATTTGTTGAATAGCTGAACCAAAGGGGAATCTGGCACAGAATTGGTGACCAGCACCATGTGCACGTTGTAAGGGGCGACTTGGTTGATATCCTGACGGCGTGGGACGTTGCTCATAATATTTAGTCATTGTTTCCCTGGTCCAGACTCGATGCATCTTCCCAAGGCAAGAGAGTTAACTGACTATAAAAGTCCAGTTTCCACCCTTGCCGAACTAGGCTGGTATTATGGAGTTATATTTTGGTTCGACTAACGAGTCTTTGCATAGTCCAATCAAAATCGCGCACCGAAATAGAAATCTGGTTCTTTAACTGTCGTGCAGATTTCGGTCGATTGCAGGATTTGCAAAACATGTGCACCGCCAACTCGTTGTCAGCAGATATTTTCCAAATCTTTTCATGTTTTTAATCAAGGTACTCACGTGATTTAATGCATTTCACGATGTAAGACACGTTTTATCACAATATATATCTTGATTATCGATCAGATCGTCCTGACCAGGCGCCACCATTTTGTGTGAAGCAAACACAAGTGATACGAGAGGTGGAATCTGATTGGTCCATAGGCGAGGCTTAGACGGGACAGAACTGGTAATAGCCACTGGTGGCGCTACGATTGAACCCAGTAATTCCAGCCTAATTCGGCAAGGGTGGAAACTGGACTTTTAAAGTCAGTTAACTCTCTTGCCTCAGGAAGATGGACTCGATGATATGCAGGCCGTCGTCGTATAGCTATAATATTGCTTCACTTTAAACAACAAACAAACTAACAAGCTGCTTGGGACTGGAGGGCACTATTTAAAATGTCTGTGTGGAAACAAGCAATGAAAAGAAAATTGTAAATGATAGATAAGGATGAGCTGATGGTTCATCGACCTCGGAATTTACGATATCATTCAATTCATAAGAAGCTATACACCTTGCTAATAAACAACAGCAGCTCATTCACACGTTCTGACAAACTCTCTGATTGGAATTTTGTTACTTTTGTTCCCCATTTGGAGAGATAAACAAATTGTAGATTAACGGAAAGGATAAATTAATTAAAATATATTTGTCAAAAAATATAATTAAAATTTTAAAAAGTAATGAATATTTTTTTTAAATGTGGCTCCAAGCATGGCAGCATTTGATGTTTTCATGGTTTCTGCAGGGCAAGATTGGCCTGAACGCAGCCCACATGGTGATGGAGCTAATCAGAGACAACCGGAAGATCGTGGACAGGATATCTCACGAACACATAGAGAAGTTCATCGACCTTCTACGCACGGACAAGGTTGGAGTCACTTTGTTTTGGATGGGAATCTCGGAACAAGCTGATCTATGTCTTTGTCTTGGAACAATGAAGGGAATGCTCCTTCATGATTTATTTCGTACTTGTAAATTCACTGATATATGTGTACTCTGTTGAAAAAAATGACATTTTTGTTACCTTTGTTTATCAAAATTGGACACAAGGGTGTTCGACTTCCGGTACCCTTGGCTGCACTGTTTGAAGTGTCTGATACATTTGGAACATTGCATTGTGTGTTCTGTTTCCCAGAACTACCGGTACCTGGATCTGCTGAGTGTTCTGTGTGTGTGTGACGGTGTCTCCATAGCAGACAACCAGAAGTACATCACGGAGGTGTGGCTCATGAGACAAGACAAGGTATGTGTGGTTGTCATGGAAACGGCACCAATTTTACCAATTTTGTGTGTTACATGAACCTTATTTTCTTAGAATAATGTTCATTTTTAGATGGATAAGAGTGACGGAAACATTATAAACAAACTTATTGTTTACAACTTGGGTTTACGGATCAGCTGATCCTAAATATCAGGAATGTGGATATTGGTTTATAAGTTCAACTTTGAAGTATTTTTTATTAATGCCAAGCCTGATGATCTTGCTTATGAATTAAAAAACACAAATGGTTTCCCTGCCTGACAAGAGGAAGATGCTGAATGCATGACCAGAACCGTATTCGATGTAATAGGCGTCCCGCTCTAATAAGCGCCCACAGTGGTATTTGCTAATATATTGGCTAGTGAACAATCCCAATTGACACCCCTTCTAACTGAGCAATGTTCACAAGACTTATTTATTCGCGTACAATACCCACTCGTGTGTTATATGCACCCTTAATTATGGGCAATTAAATTCTAGAAATTTATATCTGTCGTACATTAACATTTCAGGCTGTCAGCATAAACCACAAAATTTATCTTTCACCATTTTGTTTCACCAAAATAATATTCTAATAAGAGCCCCCTATTTCTAATTTTGAGAGCGCCCTGGGCGCTTATTACATCGAATACGGTAATTGTTTGCTCGACTATTCAAAGCTGCACTGAGACTCCATACTTAAGTGTCTCTGTTTCCCCTTGTAAATGCTATGAAAAAAATTCATGTCACATTTCCCATGCCAAAACTAAAATAGGAAGTTTGAAATTTTATTTTTTTCCCTCACCCTAATGACCTAATTTTCTTAAAAACACTGGGGGGGGGGGGGGGGGGCACGGGTGGCCCAGTCGTCTAAGGCGCCGCAATTCGCTGTGCAGAGTTGCGTCCCTTGGGCACACCAGAAAAGAAACCTATGATTGTGGGTTCGAATCCCGGTTCGCCCCGATTATGGTTCTAGGTTTGTCAGCACCATACCCGTGCTCGTAGGTTTCACCAAAGTGGTAAATGTCTGAGACCTGCATCACTTGGGGCTTTCCTCCCACACTAAGCTGACACGCCGTGATATAACTGAAATACTGTTAAAAGCGGCGTTAACCCAACTCACTCACTCACTCTAAGACTGTGGCTTTCGGATGACACCTGTTTTCTTTACCAACAAAATATAGGTAATTGACATGGAACAAAAATAAGGCGCATTTCTTCATTCTTGTTTCCTCGGTAACATAATAAACACTTTATGTACATGTTTTTTGTGTATTTTTGACAATCTTTCTGAGAGATATTTTTAAAATTTTAGCCAGACACTTTTGTAAAACCAGATGTAAGTTTTTGGCAGTATTTTGCAATATTTTGCAAATTGATCTAACATGTGTTACTTTGACCACATTGGAATTTGAAATTGCATCACTTTCTAACAATTGTGTGATTTCTCAACTCTTTGGTCAAATTTTCCTGTTATAAATAGCAGAATACAGAAGAAATGAGAGGAAAAGAGAAAAAAGATAGAAAAAAGGGACAGGTCAGTTTGGCTACTGCAGGAAACCAAATTTGGTGTCTTTTCATTGCTGTGGAAACCACTTTTTCCAAATTTGTGTGGTACACTTTTGTCTTGACGTTAAGAAGCACCTGTATGTTCTTCAATTAGAACTGGGTTAAACAACATATCATCCATTTTTTCTAACTCAACATTTGCACTGTTATCAAATGTGTCACTTTTTGAGTGCAAAATTCACGTTTCAAATTCCATTGGTTGAACCTTTCTCTTAATGTTGCCACATAGCATAAGCAGCAGTTATGAGTTCATGGATACAAAGCTGCTTGTTCTGGAGTGAGTGTACTTCATATTTAGATTGATGACCGCCTCCGTGGTCTAGTGGTAGAGCATCCTCCTGGAGAGCGGGAGGTCCGGGGTTTGATCCCCGCCAATAGTAATGATAAAATCGCCAACTTAACCTCCGATTATATGGTTATATGTCCATCCTGAATCAGTGATGTAAGTTTCTTTAAAATTCACAAAGACTTGGAACACTAGTGAACCCATGATAAAGTTATTCCGTAATTCCAGAAGGATGACCATGTGATATTCTGGGGTGCTGGGATGTGTTTACATAATTCAGTTTTTTCAAGACAAAAATAATTTAACCTCAGATGTAACAAAACAGCTTAACATGCTTGATCATTCGAATAAAAAGGTCTGGGAAAAAAAGTTTGTCACCTACTTTCACAGACCTAAATTGGGTGTTTTGAAGCACAGTGACTAAAAAATATACTGCCTCTAACAGAAATTGTAGTGGATCTCTTTATTGTAGCAGGTTTGTAATTTCCAATTTTGTCTGGAAAGAGAGTGTACTCGAGTGTTTTGTCATACCATAATCGACCCAATAAGCGCCCATGTCCCAATAAGCGCCCCCACCCCCCCAGTTCCGGAAATTGATATATAGTAATTATTTCGTTTTAAATGAAAATCGTCCGGGAACCGAGGTTTCCGGATATTTGAAGTCCGTATAAGCGGGGGTGACTGTATTCTGTTTAATTTAGATATTTGTGACTTTTGGAAAAAAAAGAAATTTGAATATTATGCGCAGAAACGTGCTCACAGTAATGTCTTTCCATGGGGGAAAAAACATCAAAACTTATTAATTCTTGTATAATGCGCACCCCCTTCTACACAGCTGTGTTTTTTGGAAAAAAAGTGTGCACTATACTCAAGAAAATACGGTAAGGCTTACTGATGAATTTACGCCAATTTGACTCTGAATTGGTCCCAATAAGCGCCCACCCCTTCTGTCTTTATTTTAAGCGCCCTGGGCGCTTATTGGGACGAATACCATATGTTGGTTTCAAGTGGAGGACATTGTCAGCCACAAAATATGTCACTTGTGTCCCAAGGCCAGAAGGGTTTATCCAGGTAATGGTGTTTTGTCTGTGTTTTCAGTCATATTCAAATTCCGCAAAGGGGGTAAGACTTGGAATTTTAAAGTTTTTTTGCAGAGTCTGCAGTTTTATGTCAAGCTTCTCAAGAACTCAAGGATATTGTGGTGTTACTCATTCTCATAGCAGCTAGAGCAATATTCTAGGAGTCATTTAATTCAACTAAAATTTTAAATTCAAATTATATTTGCAGAATTGTTGTAATTACTGCTTCTATTGATCTGTTTATATTTGAATATAATGAAATACTTGTTTATAGATTTACGGTTTCATCAAGTGAGTTGTCTCCACTCTTAATCATGTCTGAAGATATTTAATTTTCACTATATAGATGAAAATTACATGTATAACTAAACAGTGATACATTGTTAACATTTTGTGCTTGGAACCGTTGGAATTTTTTTTGCCTGATCACAACGGAGTGCTGATATTAGACCATTTTTCTGAGACCAAACTTTTTTCTAAAACATTAACTACGTTTGAGTTGATAATGTTTTACTGTTCAGAGCAATAAATATTTTTATCATCATATTGTTTCACTACCTGTTAACACATAAAAGTCAAATCTAACATTGATTTTCTGATGATAAATAACGTGTTAACTGAGGGTGCGCGGTATTACCGGTATATCGGTAAATTGAGGTTCATTCTTTCCTCCATACGTATCACAAAATATTTTTTTCATGGTCAGTATATCGGGGTATTTGAAATAGCGACATTTAACAGGTGTTTCATGTTATACACTTGCCAAATACCTTCGCTGCCCCGGAGCGAGCATCCAGGGCCCAAGATGGCTGCATATTTATTAAATGTGTAAACATTTTGTTGTACAATCATCCTTGTTGGTTCTATTTGTGAACTTCCATCCATACATTGATGTTTCAAATTTTTCGGAATTCAAAATTTAGAATTATACTATATATCGTGATATGTATATCAATACGGCCTTGTGCATTGTAAAATATTGTGATAGACATTAAACCTCCAATATCCTTCCCTAATGTTGACATGACAAGATTACACTATCTATACAGGAAGGTGAGCTTCTGTACCTGTGGTCTCAACACTGCTATGAGAATGACATGACACTTGAGTCCTGGAGATGTTTCTCAGCACACTCGACTCTCTTTAATGCTTCTGCCGTCTAATGTAGATGCTGTGTTCTCATATTGTGAATTTGTTTGTACTGGATACAGATATATTGTGTGATAACATGTCGCTACTTGTCGCTTTATTCACCGATTGGCGAAATTTTGAAGAATGTTTATCTTCAGGATACAGCTCTCTGTGAACCTCTATCCTCAAACTCAAAGACATGTGGTTACAAAATTGTTTTAGTAAATGAATGTAGCATACCATATTCGACGTAATAAGTGCCCCCTATTTCTTATTTTCAGAACACATTGGCACTTATGCCAAATTCGGTAATACTAACAGTATAGTTAGTTCAAATTTCATAGCTTGTAGTCAAATCAATTCTAAACCAAAATTCATTTAACAAAATCATGTTATGATAGAACTTTTACATTATGATTCTTGTGTATGCTGCTGGGGTACAGATCTTTTCATTCGATGTATAGAGCTTGTTAAAGTAGTGCTTGATAGGTGATCTCATTTGCATATTTATTGGATTGGTTTATTGAATAGATAACAATGTCCATTATGCGATGACATGTTATTTCACAGCTGTATCCAATATGATGCCAAACAACACAATGTGCGTCTGTACCAAAGATGCTGACGAAATAAAACCTTTCTTGTTTCAGCTACTGTAGATAGATCCGTGGCAGTTTGGCATGAAATGTTATAACGCTACACTTTAATTGTAGGGTATGGCAGATTGTTATTATCAAAATATTTTGGGTCAACACAAAAATTTGATGTAGCATTATATGATTGGATTGGTTGGTTTACGGGAGAAATTAAATTCAGAATTCTTTTAGAAGTGCAGTTTTGTTTTGTTTCCAGTTTTGAATATATACTTCAAAATCTATATGGGGCGGTCGGGTAGCCTAGTGGTTAAAGTGTTCGCTCGTCACGCCGAAGACCTTGGTTTGATTCCCGACATGGGTACATTGTGTGAAGCCCATTTCTGGTGTCCCCTGCCGTGATATTGCTGGAATATTGCTCACTCACTAATATCTACACACCAGCTTGCACCATCAGGTTGGAATCTCACATCTTCTCTGTGTACAAGTAAAGATTGTCACCTATGACCATCATCCTTATCCTTTACCAGGGTTGGTCTCAAGGAACTTGATTTAACTTATGCCAGGTGCATGTTGACATGGAAACCTTGTTGCAATAGTTGGTCCCATAAATGTTTCCAAGATGAAACAGTTGCATAAACTTGTCTAAGTGTATACAATCCAAGCTCTCTGATGACTGTGTCATGTGGTGAAGTCATGTAGTATGGTAAATAATGCACAGAGGTATTGAGTATGTTCAAAAATCATTGTTGTGTGGACATGGTCTGTGCATGTAAACATAAATAATAGGGTGCATTTTTCAATACACGGGGCATGTTTTATATAGCTAAGTCGACCCAGTAAACAGTAACGCAGATGTAATCATCCACTTTTTGCAATTATGTCAAAAATCAATATTTGCTGTAAACAATTCAGAATAGCGCAATGGTGGCTATATATAACTTTGGACAAGTATAGAAATTATGACATGTGTTACATAAAATAAGGTATTTGTTATCATTTTATGCCAAACATCATTTCGGTATTTTCAGATGTTTAGAAAATAATTTTTTGTAGAGCAATTTATTTATTATTTTGTTGCTGGCATGGTGATGGAGATATTTGCTTCCATTCTGTTTAGTGCATTCATTTCATTTTAACATCACCTCATTTCCAATTTTGCCCAAATATTAAAAATGGCTGACCAACAAAACAGTAACTTGTGAAATTAATATTATGTCATTACCTGAAATATGAAAGGGATTTATGTTTTATCAACTTACGTGACAGCCATACAATCGCTGTGCAGATCTAGAGTTGCTTCCCTTTGGTGTGACAGAAACCCATGATTGTGGGTTTGAATCCCGGTTCGCCAGGTTATGTTCTTGGTTTGTTAGCACCCTGATCATGCTTGTGGTAAACGTCTAAGACGTGCCTCACTTTGGGCTTTTCCTCCCAACTGTGTGTCGCCTTGACAACGTGGCTTGTTGCTCACACTATCAACCACTGGTTGGCGTGGTCACATCTGCTTATATCAGATACTGCAACATTGCTGACTTCAGCATTTAACGAGTTGGCTCACTTATACCACATCAATACTTGTGGCCAATGTCACTTATGAATGTATGAAAACACAATGGTCCAATCAAACATAAGACCTCTGTCTTTTCAAAACATTTCCTAGCTCAACATGCATTGAGTATATTTTTCAGTTTTGGTAGATTTTAGTGTTTATCAAGCAAATGACATGAACTATTGTGATAAATATGAGGTTATAGTTTTAGCCATCCGTAGCAGTTTATTTTTCTTTTTTTCTCCAAGTCTTAGCTGTCTACTTGTGTCTATGTTTCGAAGTGTAAGTTTGGTTTTCTTGTCAATTCCTACAAAAGTGAATACCTGTTACTCCAGGCAGTACCATTCCCAGCGAGATTATCCAAATGAATGAACCATGGATACAGAGTTATGTCCCCTTCTTATAGATATTCTCAGCAGAAACCATGGTAACTGTCTGGACTAACAGGGTTTCATTGTATCCAAGGTGGATGTTTTAGTTGCACATACATTAGTCATTACCTTCATCTAGATCCTTTTATCATTGATCCTCAATCAGGATTTCTTAAAACCATTGATTATAAATCACAATTTCCTGAAAGCATAGTAATCCTCAATCATGATTTCCTAAAAGTATTGATCCTCAATCATGATTTCCTGAAACCATTGATAATAAATCATGATTTCTTGAAAGCACAATAATACACAATCATGATTTCCTAAAAGCATTGACCCTCAATTATCATTTCCTACGAGCATTGATCCTCAATCATGATTTCTTTTGAGCATTGATCCTAAATCATTTTAAACTATTGATCCTCTGTGGAGATTCCAAGATAGAATCAGCACCCAACAACACATCCTGGTCGTAAGAGGGGACTAAATGGATCAGAGGGTCAGGCGCAATGTTTTCATTGTTATACACCTTGATGTGTTTGTTCTTACAGAACTGTTACCTGACTGACCTAGGTCAGAAGATCCAGAAGCAGGCTGGCATCGTGTACGTGTCCACGAATAATGGCCGGTTGTGGGAGAACCTGCGGGACTTTGCCAGTGTAAGTACCAAGATTGTTCTACAGACCATGGGTACTATTTATAAAGCTGAGATGGGACAGGAATCTGTGTCACCGGGATGTGGTTGGTTGTGGGAGAACCTGTGGGACTTTGCCAGTGTAAGTACCGAGATTGGTCTACAGACAATGGGTACTATTCATAAAATTGAGATGGGAAAGGAATCTATGTCTCCGGGACGTGGTCGGTTGTGGGAGAACCTGCGTGACTTTGCCAGTGTAAGTACCGAGATTGTTCTACAGACCATGGGTACTATTTATAAAGTTGAGATGGGAAAGGAATCTGTGTCACCGGGACGTGGTCGGTTGTGGGAGAACCTGCGGGACTTTGCCAGTGTAAGTACCGAGATTGTTCTACAGACCATGGGTACTATTTATAAAGTTGAGATGGGACAGGAATCTGTGTCAGTGGGACTCACAGAATGATCGTGATGTGTATGTCTTTGTTTTCAGGAATCTGCAGAGGAAAAGTACCTGTTTCTTGAACATCAGCTGGAGCTTTTTGGGATGCTGTGTCACGTGAGTGTTAACAAACTTGTGTCTCCTGTTTGTGTGAGTGAGTGAGTGAGTGAGAGAGTGAGAGAGAGTTAAAGTGAGTTAGAGTGAGTGAGTGAGTGTTCTGGAGCTCTGGGGGATGCTGTGTCACGAGAGTGTCAACACTAACTTTTGTCTGTTGATAGGGATATTTGTGAGTGAGTGAGTGATTGAGTGTTCTGGAGCTTTTCGGGATGCTGTGTCATGTGTGTGTCAACACTAACCTTTGTCTGTTGATAGGGATATTTGTGAGTGAGTGAGTGAATGGCAAGAGTGAGTGAGTACCAGGAACTTGTGAGCGAGGGAGGTGTGATGCTGCTTGTAGCAATATTCCAGGTTGAGTGCACCATAGATAGGCTTCACATGTTATTCCTATGTGGGGAATTGACCGTGCCTTTGCCATGGTGAGCGAACACATGACCCACTAGGCTCTCTGGGCGGAATAGAGGGTCATGGATAGCTGCAGAATGAATAGCTGCTGTCGTTGGAACAGGATAATTAGGATTCTTAAGTGTTCATCCAGAGCAAACAAAGCAGATTTGCCTCGACAACTATCACCTGTCTGCAGCAGATTGGGCACATTCATTCCAGAAGGCACCTAGTACAATAAAAAGTTAATTTGATGGTACATATTAATCACTGTGGGTTCAACCCTCTTTTGGGCTGAAAAGATTTGTCATTTTAGTTTTTGTTTATTGCAGGGTCAGAATGATTTTGCTATTGACGTGATCACAAATAAGCTGAACTATCTGACATGGGAGGAGGCGTTCACTTGTCTCTGTGATGAAAAACTCCCGGACAGACTCCGTGCCAAGTACTGCGAGCTTATCATCAGTAAGTTCTCATCTTGACTTGGGACGTTTTGTGTTTTGGGGTTCCAGCAGCCAATAGTTTAAAAAACTGGGAAGGAAGACCGGCTAGACATTGTTTTACAGTAAAGTTGGCAGTTCTTTTTACAGTAAATTTGGCAGTTCTTTTTAAGAGTAATTTGCTTCACTTTTATTGCAGTAATTATCTTTGTTTAAACGGATATTACTGTTAATTTTGTTTGATATTTGCCATAGTATATTTCAGGTTTGAGTTTCTGTCAAAGGATAAACAATTTTTTTTGTCTTTATTGTTTCTTCTGATTAGTTTATTTTCTCATAACGGGTGATAACTTTGTTTCGTTTTATGATTAACTAATTAATTTGTCTTATGATTGATAACTTTATATTTTTTCATGATTGATGGTCTTTCCTTGACTTATGATGGACCTATTTTTATTTGGTCTTATGATAGATGGCACTCTTTCATGCCGTTTGACAGACAACATTCATTCATGTCACCAGTTCATTTAATTTAAGCATGCCTTCCTTACAGCTCTGTTTGTTGACATCGGCGACAACGTCTCAGTGGTGGACCGCGTCAAGCTGTCCTACATCTACGACGACATTGACCAGACAGAGGTGAGTTATACAACACAGCATGGCATGGAGGGCATCATCTTTGTCAGTCACCATGACATGTTTCTGCTAAGAATATTCATGTTTCAGATCGCTGTACCAGATAGAATTCTCTCACAGTATATTTATAACTTTTCTGACATTTCATGACCAAGTGTTAGAGCTTTTTAAAAAATGCGAATTGAGCAAAATGAATGTAAATTTTGGATGAGAGTAAGTCTTCATTCCAGACAGATTGATTTCTGAATGGTGAGGATCTCCCCATACACAGGAACCTTTTATACCCATTGGGGTCATGGGGTGGCCCACTCATCTGAGGCATAGGAATTGGGGTTCGATCCCCGGCCGCGTCAGTTGAAGCGCTAAGGTTGTTTTGCACACCGGCACCCTGCATCACTTCGGGCTTTCCTCCCACACTAAGCTGACATGCCGTGATATAACTGGAATACTGTTCAAAACGGCGTTAAGCCCAACTCACTCACTCATGGAAAGACGTTCAAAGATGGTACTTGTTGTTACCCTGTCTGGCGCTCGGCATTAAGGGACTTAAACAAGGACTGGTCGGCTCGGAGTCAGTGTACTGTGTCTGAGTGGGGTATTCATGTGAAACTGCGGTATGGTATCTCAGTGGGCTATCACTATAAATCGGCATCAGTCGGGACTAGTACAAGCAGCAACAAACACACGTACATGCACGTCGCTATATAAGTGCAATAATCTTGGATGTGACGTTAAACCCAATTTCACCTCACTTATGAGTTGCTTCCCTTGGATGTGCCAGGCATTTGTGATCATGGGTTCGAATCCCGGATTTGCCCACCTTATGCTTCTAGGTTTGTCAGAGGTGGTCGGGTAGCCTAGTGGTTAAAGCGTTCGCTCGTCACGCCGAAGACCAGGGTTCGATTCCCGACATGGGTACAACGTGTGAAGCCCATTTCTGGTGTCCCCCGCCGTGATATTGCTGGAATATTGCTAAAAGCGGCGTAAAACTATAACACTCACTCATTCTAGGTTTGTCAACATTATAGCCGTGATTGTGGTTTTAATGGTAAACGTCAAGCACTGGTCACTTTGGCTTACCTCCTGCATGAAGGTGTATACTGAAATCTGTTCAAAGCAGTGTTAAACCCAACTCACTCACTCACTCACTCTCTGATACAGTCTCTGTACCCATGATTGTCCATCTGGACAGGTGTGGGAGCAGTACCCTCCAGACTATAAATATATAGTCTATATTTATGGAGTAATGATGGTGATTAATGTAATTCTGTTGGGGATTCCGAGGAAGAATCTTGGTCCCAAGCAACCTCTGCTTGTCAGTAGAGACGACAAAATGGATCGGGTGGTCCGGCTCTGTCACTGGATTGTCTGGTCCAGACTGCTGTCACCAATATATTATAGAGGTGGAATATTGTGAGGGCAATGTTGAACAAAAAAGAAAACAAAAAAGCTTAATGTAAAATGATAACCCAATTTCAATCATGTATGATTTTTGTTTAATAAATTGAAAATATGTTTGTCTCTTTGACTCGCCATTCAAATTCCAGGATGCATTTTTTGCTAACTCGGTAAAAAGTAGCATGCTGTAAAAACATAAATGTGGCTGAATGCAAAATACTTATATTGTGAAAAAGCTGCTGCTGAGGGCTATTGTATATGATGCATATAGTTTTATTTGGCCTATGTTGGTATGAGGCTGTTACAGTGAACTGCCTGTGTCTGACCAGAACTGCATGGCTTGGATATGATTGGTATTATTGCTTTACCCTAAGTGTTATTTAATGTGTTGCACCATTTTCACATTGAAAGGAAACACATGATCAGAAGGTAAGTGTCTCTCCTGCGTCAACACTGCTCTGTACCTAGTTCTCTGTCCAACACACCTGTGTTGTTCCTGATTCAAAGAAACGTCAAACACACCTGTGTTGTTCCTGATTCAAAGAAACGTCAAACACACCTGGGACATGAAGTCATCATGTAGAATAAGGTCTTCAGTTATTGGTCAACCTCAAAATTGAGTGTTTCAAATTAAATCATGGAACTACATCAACCAAAACTTTTTACTTTAAATTTAAGGCTAAAAGAATAATAGTCTTGGTTCTCAGGCACTGCCCGCATCATCATAAAGTCTGCCGCACGTTTTTTTGTTTTTTTCCATTTTAAAAGAAAATTAAAAAATCCTAATACTTTAGAACAATGCAATCCACTATCGCACACAGTTACTTCCCTTTACATGCACACTGCTCTACTGTGCATCTCGTGTTATGGTCATGGTGGCAATAGGAGTTTGTGTGCTTGTTTATGTAGGGAGGCCTTTTTCCCAGGTTGAGGATACACAACTGTTTATTTGGTCACATACTAGTTTGAACAAGCCAAAAAAAACCAAAACAACCTCCTGCATGCAATATTTTTTTAAAGTCATTGTCTGAGAACCAATTTTTAAATTTTTTTAAGCCTAATTATTTTCTTTTTAATTTTTCTCTGCACTTTTTTATGGATATCAAATGTACAACTGCTTAAGAGAACATCATGGTTTCCTTCATTGCCTTAACTACTACAAATATATTAGACTTTACTAGACAAGCATAAAACAATGTAATATTGTCATTCCCAATAGGTTTTTGATTGCCCAGATTTTAAGAATAATCATATACTAATGGTCTTCACCGTTTCAGAAAATGTTCCTTAAGTTGTTAAATTGGTTACAATTTTCAATAATTTAAAAAATGATTATAATGAAAACTGTTATTGTTTGCTTAACAGAATGGACCTGACATTAATAATTTGGAGATGAAAACAAAACACTTTGAACATTTGTATCACAACTGCAACCAAATTGTTTTGTGTGATGTGACATGACTGCAATACTGTTCAAAACGGCGTTAAGCCCAACTCACTCTCTCATGAAAAGATGTTCAAAGATGGTACTTGTTGTTACCCTGTCTGGCGCTCGGCATTAAGGGGCTAAAACAAGGACTGGTCGGCTCGGAGTCAGTATATTGTGTCTGAGTGGGGTATTCATGTTAAACTGCGGCATGGTATCTCAGTGAGCTAGCACTCTAAATCGGCATCAGTCCAGACTAGTACAAGCAGCCACACAAACACACACACGTACATGCACATCGCTGTATAAGTGCAATAATCTTGGACGCGACGTTTAACCCCATTTCACCTCACCCACCTTTCACCACTCTCTCATGAACAAGTAGATGTAGTCATTGTAGATGATACTATGCTCCTAAATACTAATCTTACTGAGTTTTAATTATTCTCTCATATAGACAAAGGGACCTAAAAAGGTAGGAGATAACAATACACAGAATGACAAGAGTAAGATGCATGTGCTCGCTTGCTGCTTGTTTCAAAATAGCATCAGTTGAACTAATACCCAAAAAGCATTGATAAACAAGAATTGGATGATTGTCATATCTGATATGTGTTCACTCCAGTATTAAAGAAAATTTCCTTTATCAGATAGTTTAACAATACCCAATCTCATTAAAATCAGATCTTAGTTCTTGCTACCGCTAAACAAAGAATTGAGGACATCCCATTACTGGTCACGTCAGACCGACCTTGCGCAACTTTGACCAACCAATAGAATGACTGACAAGAAGTCGACATTAGCCAATCAGAAAGAAGCTTCCTCATGCTTTACGGCACTAATTTCAAATTGGTGACTACACTTTGAACCAAATTTTGACAAATTCTTGATTAAAAATGTGAAACCTGAACAAAAGAACATTCTGGACTGGCTAATAGATGTTCTAGATTGTATGGATTCAGTCGTTAAGCCTGTAACTATTGTTCGGAATACCACGTGTTAAAGTTTTCTAGGTTGCATGATTAGAAATCACATTCTGACTGTAACTTTCATGATCTGGTAAGCGACGCTCTTATTGGTTGGATGAAAGGTCGTTCTGACGTGACCCCCAATGGGATGTCCTCAGATCTTTCTTTAGCGGTAGCGAGAACTAAGATCTGATTTTAATGAGATTGAACAATACCATAGTGAAATGATGTCAAAGGTTTCTAGCTCTGATTTTACTATCATTCTTGAAGAAATGATATTCTATAAGGATCTTTTTAAATGTGTGTTTTCCTTCTGCAGTATTCTAATATTTAAGAAAGAAATCTCTTGAAAAATGGTGCAGATTCTGTTGGCGCCAAAAGGCCCATATCCTACAGTGTCCTTACTTGATAAATGGTAAAATAATTAGTAGCACTAAACCTGTTTTGGGCGCCATCAATTTTTGAAATGCTTGCTGCAGAGACATTTGCAGTGCTACGTTGTCAATTTGATGAAAGAAAGTACTGGCTGTAGATAGTGGTTCGCTCTCTGCAGATTTGTCAAAGATTGTTGTCTGATAGTTGTATTGTCATAAATTGAACAAGGGTGGTTATAGTTTCTGTAGGGTTGATATCAGCAGCAGAACATCTAGGGTTTGTCACTTACATTTAAGCCTTTCATGTCAACACCAACCTAAATACAATTACAATTTGTAACTGATATTTACTTTGATCACACTTATAACACTTCTTTTCACTGCTATTAGCAAGTACACAAGATCCAGGTAGAGAATAGGCCTTCAGCAACCCATGCTTGTCATAGGAGGCGACTTTGCTTGTCGTAAGAGGTGACAAACGGGATCGGGTGGTCAGGCTTGCTGACTTGGTTAATGTAAGTCATCGTATCCCAATTGCGTAGATCACTGCTCGTGATGTCAATCACTGGATTGTCTGGTCTAGACTTGATTATTTAGAGACTGCCATCATATAGCTGGAATAATGCTGAAGTCGACATCCATAACATCTCTTCCTAAAAAATAAACTGGTCTGGGACCTGTTCCATAAAGTGATATAAACGCTACTGCAATCAAAAGTTGGATTTACCCTAGTCATACCCATGGCTTAATGGATAGGGCCCTGACCTCATAAAACATAAATGAAAATTTAACAAACTCTGAAATCCAGTGTTATTTGCATGAGCCTGTTTGCATGTACCGGTATATTTGTCTTGATGTTGTCCACACCATCTTTGAGGCTGTGTTGTTGTTGTTGTTGTTGTTGTTGTTGTTGTTGTTGTCAGTAATAGAAGGTGTGCCTGATGTTAGGGAACACTCTCTGGAACACTGTTGCTCATCACACATTGATTTTGTCCTTGTTCTTGAGACAATAAAGAAACACCTCCTTTATGTCAGACTGATCTTCAGGAAATTAGTTTTTGCTTCTTGGAAAGTTAGATTTAAGACTTCTAAGGAAGGTCATTTAACACAAATAGCTGTCTGACAAACTGTTGGTCAGCAATCTGGATGTTTTGCTGAGGTTATTGCCATTAATCATGAAAGATATTTTATGATGAGTCGTAATGAAATCCATCTGAATGCCCAGTGACTATTTTGGTAAAAGACAATACAAGTCGGTCAACCATCTTGTATGGACATGAGGGGGCACGGGTGGCCTAGTCATCTAAGGCGCCGCAATTCGCTGTGCAGAGTTGCATCCCTTGGGCACGCCAGAAACCTATGATTGTGGGTTCGAATCCTGGTTCGCCCCGATTATGTTTCTAGGTTTGTCAGCACCATACCCGTGCTCGTGGGTTTCACCGAAGTGGTAAACGTCTGAGACCTGCATCACTTTGGGCTTTCCTCCCACATTAAGCTGACACGCCGTGATATAACTGGAATACTGTTAAAAGCGGCGTTAAACTAAACTCACTCACTCACTTGTCAGTGGTATGACAGTGTCAGTTCTTGTCAAGTTGGACATTATTATGGTCTTGTCTTCTCACTCACTGTAGACATAGTGTTTTCATATGGCACCAACTGGTGCCGTTATAATTGACCAGTTCATATGTAGGTTGCCATACTGAACCCACTGGCTGACTACACAAACTTACCTCACTGAAATATTCATCCCATTCAGCTTGTAAAATCCTCGCTTGTGACACAAAATATGATCACAAAAAAATTTGATTATGATTCATGCTGTCTCTTAATGTTCTTGCAAAGAGGCACTGAACAAAATTCTTTAAGTGTTCTGGAACAATTGGACCATTGTCCATCCTAACCTCAGTCTGATATGACCGGGGGTTTCAAATCGTAATAATATACCTCTGATTGAAACAGCCAATGTAAAGAAAAAGTAGTCTATTAATAGAAAACTGTCGTTTACAGTCATGATCGGTGGACAGTTTGAAATAAACATAGTAGCACAGGAACTTTGCTGGTGCATAACAGTGCGTCATACTGTCTCAACTGGTATTTTAATATCCTATTGCTGCATGATAAGTCTAGTGCTTTTCATTATTTCTATTGTTTTCTTCTGTAGTAAATGTACTAACAGTGCTTCTTGGGTCTACACAGACTCCCTGGTTTCAGCATGGCAACCAGAGAAGTAGAAACTCTCTACTACCTGATCTCATTCTTGCTATAGTAATAATTTCAAGAATATGTTGGACGTTGATGTTCAACTCTATTGTATTTGCCAGATAGATATTAGGCATTATCTATGCTCAACTTGACTGTCCTTGCTAGATACATCTAGTCTGTTGTGAAAGAGGAATAACTTCATATATTTTTTGTCGTGTTGAATAAGATATGTATGTTTGTGTCTTGTTTATGTGGTCCTCTGTATGTGTTTTAATTATATTTAAAAAAAAAGAAAAAATACTTAACAAGCAAACACACCTAAAACAGCAGTATGTAGGACTAAAATATGGGCAATGTCCAAGCAAATAACAATTACACATAATAAATTGTCTGAAACAAAAGTAAGATAAAAACATTGCGACCTTGTTGACTCAAAGTCCATTTCAACTCAACATTTTTGAGACAATTTATTTTATTGGTCTTGAATCCTGCTCTAAAATTGTGTGACATTACAATTTGATATGTAATTTGAGACATATCTTGGTTCTGATAGAATCCATATTGGTACTTTGGACAAATATCCTCTTGTCTCAAAGTACAGATAACTTGCTGTATTTGTTATAATTCCCAGGACTTTGACTTGACAGGGTTTAGTTGTGTGTACACTGTTTCCAATGCTAGAGATGCATGGTTGTCTCATTATATAGTGTTGCCAAGAGACAGCATTTCCCATTGTGATAGTTTAACTGTAAATGTTAACCCCTTATGTTGTAGGACACATATGACAAGTCAGGTTCACCAACATACAAATATTTCCCCAAACTGAGAGACTGGATCTCCCACTTCCTGGGCACCAATGGCGACATGACGGCGTCCGAGGTGGGAAACAACCTGCTGGTGGAACAGGTGAGAATTCCTCTCTGTACATGTGAATGAACAGTCCCAACTCCTCTCTGTACATGTGAATGAACAGTCCCAACTCCTCTCTGTACATGTGAATGAACAGTCCCAACTCCTCTCTGTACATGTGAATGAACAGTCCCAACTCCTCTCTGTACATGTGAATGAACAGTCCCAACTCCTCTCTGTACATGTGAATGAACAGTCCCAACTCCTCTCTGTACATGTGAATGAACAGTCCCAACTCCTCTCTGTACATGTGAATGAACAGTCCCAACTCCTCTCTGTACATGTGAATGAACACAGTCCCAACTCCTCTCATAACAAACAATATCACAAATCTGATATATTTCAATGAATTTGTGGTGGAAAGGAAGGCTGCATTGTTTTTAGTTCTCTTGGCCAGAGAGGCAATATTTAAATTTTTAACTTTGATTTGACCTTTGCACATCGATGATACTGAAAGCTGAAATGTTTTATGGTCGTTAGCCATTTTGATATGTGTAGCTTTTAATGAGCTCAACACTTTCAGTGTTTAGCAATGTTTTAAATTTGGACCTTTAAGTACTTGACCTTTGCACATCGATGATACTGAAAGCTGAAATGTTTTATGGTCGTTAGCCATTTTGGTATGTGTAGCTTTTAACGAGCTCAACACTTTCAGTGTTTAGCAATATTTTACATTTGACCTTTAAGTACTTGACCTTTGCACTTAAATTCTCTCAGAATTATTTTGTAAACATCTCATCAGAAACCACTTAACCAATGAAGCTGAAACTTCACCTGCTTTTCCCACCATTGATGATGTAGCAGGGGGCACAGGTGTCCCAGTCGTCTAAGGCGCCGCGATTCGCTGTGCAGAGTTGCGTCCCTTGGGCACACCAGAAACCTATGATTGTGGGTTCGAATCCCGGTTCGCCCCGATTATGTTTCTAGGTTTGTCAGCACCATACCCATGCTCGTGGGTTTCACCGAAGTGGTAAATGTCTGAAACCTGCATCACTTTGGGCTTTCCTCCCACACACCGCGATATAACTGGAATACTGTTAAAAGCGGCGTTAAACCCAACTCACTCACTCACTCATGGATGATGTAGCTATTCATCGTGACTGATTTGTTCCAGGTGCTGTGTTTGGTGCACTTCCTGGTCAAGTACGGCTTCTACCACAAGTCAGTGGACATCGAGAAGCTCCTGGTGCCTCTCATGAGTCTGCTGGACGGACGCAACGACAAGCCGTACCCAAACATGAAAGGTGGGGCCCTGTTTCAGAAATAAACCACGAGTGGGAGTTGTTTATTGTACAATAAAACATGGGTGAATAAACCTTGAGGGGTGTAGTCGTTTATTTCTTATATGAGATATCAACATTTTTTACAGCCTCTTTTTCATGTTTAAGGATGTTGATCAAATGTACAAGCTTTACAAATATTTAACCAAATTTTTATAATGATGACTTCCTGAATAGAATCCGACCTCAGAAATATCTCACCAGTCCACTTTACGAACAGGTGCGTTAAGTTTGGAATTTCGCTCATATTCTCACAATCCTCACATCGATTATCTGTACCATTTCTCCTAATACCAAATGTCATATCTCCCCCACATTTGGATGCAATCGTTCGGCCATTGCGTTTATCTGTGTTGCCCAGTTACATCTATGGGGAATAACTCACTTGACACTTCCCTCTCAAAATAACTGTTGTCCATCATATGACCCTTTGTGTTGGTTTGGTTTGGTTTGTTGTTTAACGCCGCACTCAGCAATATTCCAGCTATATGACGGCGGTCTGTAAATAATCGAGTCTGGACCAGACAATCCAGTGATTAGTACCACGCAACTGGGATCGATGACATGCATCAACCAAGTCAGCGAGCCTGACCACCCGATCCCGTTAGTCGCCTTTTACGACAAGCATAGTCACCTTTTAGGGCAAGCATGGGAGACTTTGTGTCAGAACTGTGAAGATACTAACCTCTGTTGTTGTCTGGCCATTCATTGATAGATTTTTATCGTTCATAAAACTCTACTTGGCAGACAATTACGGGATATTGCATGTAATGGTTATATAGGCATATGTTAAAAGACTGTTGTTTGTTTTTAGGCAAAGAAGCAGACGAAGTTTTGAAGTATTTCAAGAAAATTGAACGATTCAAGAGAAGTCCAGAGACAAAGGCCATCGTTGATGCCAAAATACAGTAAGTTGCCTAGCAACAGTTGTAAGGCAGATTGCATCTTGCTACCAGTATGATGAGCCTGATCAGAATTTATCTTAAAAAACTAGCTATCTTCTCGAGGAGATATCGCTTGGCTGAGATCAAGCAATGTCTCATGGAATGAAGGGCCTTTTACAAATATTCTTTTGAATTAGGGTCATACAGGCAATAACAAGATGAATCCTTTGAAACAGGTGAAATTACTAGTTTCTAGTACGCAGTCACAGAGGTAAATCTCGAAGGATCTTAAAAGTGAATTTGGAACTTGGGAAAATGTTCTGCGCACACTTCGGCCAGCTTAAATGTATGAGTGTGGACATTTTTCACTCTTTGATCTTGAAGTATAAAGGGTTACTGATAGACAGTTAAAAATCACCAAAAAATTATATTTTTTCATAACTTCAAATGACTACAAAGTCGTTATTGGTGGTTTTGATTTATTTCAGTGATACTGTCAAATGCTGATTGAATTTGAAAGGAATGATTGAATATGAAGAAAATGATTGAATGGTGTTTGAAAAATGCCGAATCAGCACTATTGTCCTGATTGCAATAAAAACCATTTTCACTGGAACAAAACGTTTTTGATGGGGTACATGTAGTTTGAGCAAGCAGGTTATCTGTTGGACGAGACTCCTAGCGATGTTAAGAAATGAAGGGATACATTCGGTTATCTGTTGGACGACACTCCTAGCGATGTTAAGAAATGAATGGCTGATGTTTCAGAGCTCTGGAGGTGTTGAACCTGTTCTTCAACTTCATCTTCAACCTGAGAATGGAGGTACGTAGTTGTGTTCATCAATTGGCCGCAGTGCACGATGCAGGCAATCGTAAGTCTGTGCTCCGTGATTTCAAAACCCTGGACGACCCTCGTGAACTCGCATTGACCAAAGAATATGTCAGTTAACTTTGGTTGACCTATGTTAACACATGTTAAGTGAATAAGTCATGTTAAGTTGACCGGAGTTGACAATACCTAGTGAACCCCGGGGGTGCAGTACTCTCGGTACCAAGTTATGTCATTGTTAAAACTAAGTTTTGTTAATTGTGTCAATCATGAATAAAAGCATTTAATGAATATATTTCACAAGGCATTTATAGTATATATGTATCCTGATATGCGATTGTTGAGTGTGGTTCTCTATTTGGTGTCATATCAACCAGGTCGTATCCTCAGTTGACTCTCAGTTGACTCTAATGATCAGTCAACTCTCAGTTGACTCTCAGTTGACTCTCAGGTGACTCTCAGGTGACTCTCAGTTGACTCAAACTTTGATAATCAAAGACTGTGTTAAGTATAGGAGTTCTGACTTACATACCGTATTCGACGTAATAAGCGCCCAGGGCGTTCTAAAAATTAGAATACTATTTTGGTGAAAAAAAAGTTGAGTTGAAAGATAAATTTCGTGGTTTATGCTGACAGCCTGAAATGTTTATGTACGACAGATATATATTTCCCGAATTTAATTGCCCAAAATTAAGTGTGCATATAACGCACGAGTGCGTATTATACGTGAATAAAAAAGTCTTGTGTACATTAATCAATCGGAAGGGGTGCTAACTGGGATTGTTCACTAGCCAATATATTAGCAAATATCGCTGTGGGCGTTTATTAGAGCGAGACGCTTATTACGTCGAATACGGTAACTGATATTTGATCAAAGCAGTGTTAAATCCAACACTCACTCACTCACTCACTGAATGACACTTGTTTTCAGAAATTCATGAACATGTTCAAAGTGACTCACCATCAGGCAGTGCACCCGAACATGCCCCAGCCAGAGTTATGGCCCTTGTTGAATGAGACGTTTCAAATCGATGGCAATCACAGGTGAGTCATTGCTGTGTGGTACAGACGAAGGCAAATGTTGATGTCATGGACTAACCTGTTCCTTGTATGTTGTAGAAGCAAACTTTGTGCTATGACTGCCATAAGTCTATGTTAAGGTAGTATGGAAAATAGGGTAGTAGCCTGTAGGGCTGGGACGAGTCCACATTTACTACCCGGATATCCGACACCCTATACCCGGGCCCTACCCGGATACCCGCTATAGGTCTCAGAGATGGCTGCAAAGTGTCCGAATGGGAATTGTTTTACCGCAGCCCTGGCACAAACTATTTAGATACATGTATAAAACAGTTGATCATGCATACACTGCAGTTGATAGAGGCTTTATACTTACTCGAACATATAAAAGTCAGAACGAATGCTTGAGTGAGAAAGAAATGTGAACATTAGCTATACTTGTAGTGTAACCATTGAGTTTTATTGTTAATGTCACGTGACTAACCAGGGTCCTACTCAGGACCCACCCGACCGAGTATCTGAGTACCCGAGTTACCCGACACAGTCCTAGTAGCTGGCTTCTGAAAAATTCAATTTTAGATGTATGGAACAATTTGACCAGACACTGTAGGGACTTCCTGTGCTATATGTATTTCGATTGCGAAAATGTCATGTTGACATATAATAGGCATATATGACTTTATATGTCATACAAATATGACTTTTAATGAGTCAATTATGGAATTTATGATATATATATCCATTCTCTGGCAACTAGGGCGGTCGGGTAGCCTAGAGGTTAAAGCGTTTGCTCGTCACGCCGAAGACCCGGGTTCGATTCCCGACATGGGTACAATGTGTGAAGCTCATTTCTGGTGTCCCCCGCCGTGATATTGCTAAAAGCAGCGTAAAACCATACTCACTCACTCACTCTGGCAACTAAGGTTTGTTTTGAGGCGTCAATAGCAGTAATCTGACCATGGCTGCTGTAAATAACAGTGAGTTGTGTGATCTACAGATCACTTCACACACGATTTCGACAAAATTAATGTAAACAGTTTTAAATGGGATTTAATAAAATTAATAAAATATGTTACAAACATACGTCCAGATATACAATGAACATGTTTTATAACCAGATAGTTTAATAATGGGATTAATTTGGGCACTTCAGTTTGTATTCGGATTTGAAGTCACATGTACTAGTGAAATTGTGTATAGATCTTGGCCTATATCCTTTGAGGTAAGAAATTGTGATAAAAATGATAAGAATTGACTTTCACTTTGTATAACGTCGCAAGCTCCGATGTTCATACAGTTTGGCCCTCACTCTATGAAGGTTCATACTCAAAAAAAGTGAAAGTCAATTCTTAAATCAATGATCAGCGTAAATTGAAGATAAGATATGCATCTCACTGATGAGACCAGCCATTGTTGATTTGTGATGATGGAAATAATTTTCATTTTTCACAAATGTTAAAACTATTACTGAAATATTATTAATAGAATTTAAAACTGCTGATCATTGACTTTTATTATCATATCTGCGTTGTGTTTCAAACAGCACCATGCCAGTCAGGTAACGTATGAATATCTCGAGAGACGCACGCTGCCTGGTAGCTTCAGTTCCCATGATGCATTCACAGATCTTCCTTTTTGAAAATTTACTATTTTCTACAGCATTCTTTTTCAGACTGTCACCATTTTCTGTTATATGCTACTCAAAAGAAGTTAAGGATCACCCGATTCTTTCATAATGGTAAAGTTAATCTGTCATGACATGAGAGATTAACTATAGTAATATGAAAGAATCAGGTGATCCTTAACTTCTTTTGAGTAGTATATGTCATCTGTTAATTCTATTCTGTTATTCATGTATCGTGCAGTGAAGTTTTGTTCAAAACTTGCAGTTTGATGCCATCTTTATGTTTTTTCAGTCATACTATTATCAGTCATATTTTTTGCAAGACAATGCAGTTCGTTGATCTTTTTACAAACACTGGTTGTGAATGTCACTACATGGCCTTTCTGTTTCTTTATTTCTTAGCATGTGAATAATCTACTACAAACAATGTATTTGTTATTTACCCTTGCTACCGTAAACTAGACTATTACTGTATTTCTGCCCAGCCATTTAATTACATGAACACACAAGGCCATTTAGAAAGTGGTCAAATAAACAAATGTTATATAACACTTTCTCAGTAAAGTAAAGATATAATATTTGTTACATTTGCCCACTTTCTAAATGGCATTGTGTGTTAATAGCTTTCGGCCATGGGAGCCGTGCCAATTTACACTTGTCAGAGGGGTACTCAAAGTACGTGATCTAGACTACCAGTTGTCGGACTTTCATGTTTGGGGAAGCCTTGGTGGCTGACTTTGTGTGCTGGAGATTAGGCGCCTCACTCTGGCAGTGTGGGTTGGAATCCCGGATGGGACTCAACCCTAAAAAAAGTACTAGAATCTGTACTTAACAAAGAAAGTGTTATCCTAAGTATAACATTGGTTACATTTAATTATACTCACGGGAAATAAAATCCCAAATGTTTTCCTTGCCATACCCAGACTAAAGAAACATGCTCCTACAGCCAGCACAAATGGTGTATTAAGCAGTGTTTGGCTTTTTCCCATTTAAGACTTTAAAATGGTATCATTCCTGTCGCCTTTCACAAAAATTTTAAATAAAAAATATAGAAACTTTGAAATTTTATGTTTTTCTCAATCTAATGACAGTGTTTATTACATATATGAAAATGAAATATTTATTACATAATTGGAAAAGAAATATTTATATTTATTTTTATTTCGACCACTGATCCCAAATTAATAAACAAAAATTGTAAACAAACTTTAAAAGTACTACCATATACCATATTTGACGTAATAAGCGCCCCGCTCTAATAAGCACCCACGGCGGTAGTTGCATATATATTGGCTTGTGAACAATTCAAATTAGCACCCCTTCCGATTGATCAATGTATACAAGACTATACAATTAATCTTTCAACTTTTCACCAAAATAATATTCTTAAAAGAGCCCCCTATTTCTAATTTTGAGAGCGCCATGGGTGCTTATTACATCAAATACGGTATATGAAAATGAAATATTTATTATGTTAATGGAAAAGAAATATTTGTGTCACATTTATTTTCATTCAACCACTGATCCCAAATTTATAGAAAAAATCTGTAAACCAACTTTTAAAGTACTATAATTCTTTCTGTCTGGACTGGAATGCCAGTAGTTATCATAAAGAATTATGAATCTGTAAACCCTTGGTGTTGCAATACGCATTTCTCCTGTTTCCTGAATTGTTGAAACACTAAGGATGCAAATTAAGTCCTTCATTGTAATTAACTTGTGAACGTGTATCAGCGTCCAAGTGGTTTGTGAAGTGAGTCTTGGACAGGAAAATAGGGAATACTTATTGTGGCTCTTAGTTAAGAGTGTGTCTTTTCAGGACATTTTTAAATATATGTATTACCATACATATTTACATCATAAAGGACCAGCAAGGTGAGATTCTTTTTAAGACTGATACTGGAGAGAGTTATGTCTTGTATGTTTAAGGTGACTCTGTATGGGATGACTGGTGTCCCCCGCCGTGATATTGCTGGAATATTGCTAAAAGCGGCGTAAAACCATACTCACTCACTCACTGTATTGGATGAGTTCATCGAGAATATGTTGATATATTATTGCGGTCTTGAATCTTTTATCTGTATCTTTTTTCTTTTTTTTCAGTGTATCAAAATCGTCTCTGAAGAAGCTGAAAGAAATTTTTGATGAAACAGCTTTCTTCAAGAATTATGAAATGACAGAGATTTTATTGGTAAGATGGAAACATGTTTTCACCAGGGTTGATGGTAGCACAGTGGATCATGTCCTCACACAGTAGGTCTGTGTTTGAATCTGTATAGAGCCTGTTACTGGTGCTTGTTGGGTAATTGTTGGCATGGATCATACTATCATGTCCACAGTATTCTCAAATATACTAACATAGGGACCTGGGTACGGTCTAATATACTCAAATATACTAACACAAGGACCTGGGTACGGTCTAATATACTCAAATATACTAACACAAGGACCTAGGTACAGTCTAATATACTCTTATATACTAACACAAGGACCTGGGTACTGTCTAATATACTCAAATATACTAATACAAGGACCTGGGTACGGTCTAATATACTCAAATATACTAACACAAGGACCTGGGAGTAAGTGTTTACGCCGGTCTATCTGCAACTGTGTTTCGAGGGCATTTCCTAATTGAATCTGTGGTGATTCCGAGTTATAATAATAATAATAATAATAATAATAATGATGATGCCGATGATGATGATGATGTGTTCTGTGTTATAGTCCATCCGTTGAAGCATGTTTAAAGTGCTAAGACCTGGTTAGAATAGGTCCTAAACAGCATATGCTGGTCGTAAGAGGCGACTAAATGGATCAGGTGGTCAAGCACGGTGACCTCATAGGTTGTGCGTCACCATGTCCCGACGGCATCGATCAATGTTCTTAATGTCAATCACTGGATTCACTTGACCAGATTTGATTATTTACATGTCAGTGTCATATAGTTGAGTGCAGTATATCTTTGAGGTGTGGTGTTAAGCAACAATCAAACAATTAATGCCACTTACAGACTGCACTTCATGTTGTTTGCAGGACCTGTCTCACTACGAGTACGATGAGATTGTCAGGAAATCCATGCACCTCGTCAACCGGTACTTCTCAGCCCATCACAATCTGTTCAGTCGCGCTGTGCAGGCACAGGTAGGAACAACACTTCCCTGATGTCGTTTATTATCATATAATGGATATTGATGCAGTAAACCATTCAATAAATGTGATAACACGATCCGATAAATATGCAAATGAGTTCACAAAGCAGGAACTACATTAAACATACTCACATAATACAATTGCCATTTCTAACATATATTTGTGACAAATAATTTGCTTTTCATATTCCATTTAGGAGATAAAATAGGGTACCTGGGTTGACCTTGTAGCAGGGCGTGTAGTCATCCCACAGATGACATCTTACTTTGTCAGCTTGCTGACGGGAGTTAACCTGTTTGGTCATGTGGACAAGGCGTCCGACCTCTGATCAGAAGGTCCGTGGTTCAAATCCCATCACGGGACTCGGAATTTTTATGGCCGCAACAAAGGCACCCAACGTGGGTCTGAGCATGTTCATATTAAATTTGAGCCAAATAAGCCTCAGTACCCTACTATGCGGCCCGGGACGTGCCTTCTGTTGACGGGGGAGTATGTAGCAGGGCGTGGAGTCATCCCACAGATGACATCCTTACCTTGTCAGCTTGCGGGGTTAACCTCTTTGGTCATGTGGACAAGGCCCTGGTTTGCCCTGTTTATGTTTCTTAGTGTGTCAGCACCATGCCCATGTTTCTTTGTTTCCTCAAAGTGGTAAACGTCTGCGACCTGCATCACTTCGGGCTTTCCTGCCACATTAAGCTGACACGCCGCGATATAACTGGAATACTGTTCAAAAAGGCGTAAAACCAAACTCACTCACCATAATGTCGGTGGTACATTACATATGATATTGTGTGATGTGACCGTCGATGCAGGTGTTGATCACGGACAAGTCGGTGGACATCGTGAGACAGCTGGAGAAGTTGCTGCCCACGCTGCGCCGTCTCGCCACGGCCAAACTGTCCATGGAGCAGACGGAGGAACTGTCAGCTTACATCGACATCCTAACTGGGTAACAACATTCACTCTATTTTTATCTCAATAATGAAGGCCACTCCATTATTGATCTCCATTAGAGAAGGCCCTTCTGTTATTTATCTCAAAAAGGCCCCTCTATTAATTATCTCAAAAAGGCCCCTCTATTATTTATCTAAAAAGCCTCTGTTATTGATCTCAACAACGCCTCTCTGAACACCAAAATGTCAGTTTTTCTTTCATTATCCACCTAATGACCAAGAGTAAGAGAAAATCTGTAAATTGAGTGGTAATATATGAGGAGAATTAACTTATAAGTACACAATACAAGGACTAACTATATAATACAATGCCTGTGTGAGTGTGTGTGCATGTGTCTCTCATGTGTGTCTGACTTGTGTCTCATGTGTCTGACTTGTGTCTCCTGTGTCTGACTTGTGTCTCATGTGTCTGACTTGTGTCTCTCATGTGTGTCTGACTTGTATCTCATGTGTCTCATGTGTGTCTCGTGTGTCTGACTTGTGTCTCATGTGTCTGACTTGTGTCTCCTGTGTCTGACTTGTGTCTCATGTCTCTGACTTGTGTCTGACTTGTTTCATGTGTGTCTCATGTGTCTGACTTGTGTCTCATGTGTGTCCCATGTGTGTCTCATGTGTCTGAATTGTGTCTGACTTATGTCTCATGTGTCTCATGTATGTCCCACTTGTGTCTCATGTGTCTGACTTGTGTCTGATGTGTCTAATGTGTCTGACTTGTGTCTCATGTGTGTCTCATGTGTCTGCTTTGTGTGTGCAGTATGTGCCACCTGGACGGCGAGACAGAGGAGAATCACATGATGAACCAGAACGTCCTCTACAACCACGGTCAGTAGCCTCACTCAGTCATACAGCATGGTCTAGGAACTAGAGACATCATTGTTGAGGGTTTTAAGTGAAACAAACAGACCTTGACATGTGTGCCCACAGCATTGAACTGTTCATATGTCTTTCTATATCACAACTTAGCTTCAATTCTGAACACTTTCTCATGGTTTATTTTTGAAACTAAAAACAATCATTGTCACAGTTTGAAAAACAAATGTTTTGGTCTCATTTGAAGTGTTTAAGTAACAACCTTTTTATTTGAATGTATTATTGTTTGTTATTTTCAAAGTGTAATAAATCTTGTGATCTCTTGCAGGAGTGCTGGAAGATTGTCTTACTATTCTGTCCCAGGAGATTGACGTCAAACTGCTGGTAATTTAACACTAACTGAGCACACGCCTGAGACCTTGTTGTCGGTGTATTGTAAATCAGGAAATTAATGCGTCTCCAAAAGAATGCGATCACTGGTCCCTAGCAAAAAATGTGAAATGAATGCGACACCCCCCTCCTTTTACAGGAGGTTTACAGGAGAATCCTCACCTTAATCCAACCTTACATTAATCTAATCACACACCAAATAGCACCGTCTATTAGCACTGAGTAGGGTACTTCCGCTAAAACATTACATGCGCGCTGGTTCGTGTTGTCCTTTGACGCAGTCGCAAAGAACAAAGACACCGTGTTGCGTGAGTGGCGTCTGTCTGGACTTGCAGGTGTGATCAGTGATGACATAAGTCAGTAGAACTCTTGTCTTGACCCCAGCAGTGACAATTCACAGGATGTAATTAGTGTTGGAATGACATTGTTTATATACTTGTTACAAGTGCTGCTTAATAAACAGTGATGTGGAATACATAGTTGTTTGTTTTCAGCGTATTTCTAAGTTGGTATTTCTGCTATCCAAAAGATAGTTAATACAAGTGCGATATTTAATAATGTGAACAAAGACCACTTGCATTTTTCGCATTTAATTCACACTCGCATTAATTTCAAGATTTACAGTATATGGCACTAGGGGATTCTGTGATAGACTACACACATTTCCTTCACAATGTCTGTTTGGAACAATATACCTAACAAAGGGTCATAACTCTGCACCAATCAATTTGTTAACCTGGAAAAAATGCATGTCAAACTTAAAGTTTAGGATATAAGTTCATCTTGTGTGGTATTTGAGTCCTATTACATTCCGCCCTGTCGGAGTCAGGGAAAAAATAGGACTCTTGTGTCAAGCATGCAGTGGTTTCTTGTAAGAGGTCGCTCATCAGGTTCAGGTGGTCAGGCTAAGTGACCAGGGCCTCTGTTCCTCAAAGCGATCTTAGCGCTAAGATCATCGTAAGCCTATGTTAAAGTATGGTACTTACAATCACCTTAGCGCTAAGATGGGGCCCTGGTCATTTGTGTGTGGTCGTACCCTGACAGCATGGGATGTAGCTCAGGACATCAACCTGCTGCTGTGATATCGATGGAATAGTGTGGACTGACAACAATCACTCACTCACTCACTCCTTCATTTTCCATGTTCCATGTTTCACATCATTCCATCATCTCAATCCGTGCTTTACAGGAACAGTATGGCGGATTGAGGCTGGTCTTCAAGAAGACGTTCACGCTCCTCAAGTTCATGGCTCGCAACAACAAGCAGGTTCAAGGTCGGTTGTTTGACCGTCTGGAGATGTTGTTGTCGAAGGAAGGTGCCCCGGCCGAACTCGCGGATTGCATCACGGAGGTGAGTAGGAGATGGCTCATTAGACCTCATCATAATAGCGCTTTCAGCATGCCCCTGTGTGGTGTCGAAATATGAGCAGTACACCTATGTATACAATGTAGAGTATAGTTCACAATGTACATGATTCACTAGATTGTCTGGATTATATACAGGCCAAGGTCATATACATGGAATATTGAGTTCCCACCTCATTACGATCAGATCCTTACTCCGATGCAATACTTCCCTCTGAACAACTTGCCAGGAGATGACGTCAGCAATTCAGCGTTTGGAGAAACATATCTGATCTGATCTGATCACAAAACTGAATGTAAACAGGCTGTTCCGAATGGATAATAATAATGGCTGTACTATTTTGTGGATATTTTGCAGCCTGTTGTTTCTGAGCACCATATTTGTCCAGACCGAGACCATGCAAGCTGCATCACTTCAGGTTTTCCTCCCACGTCATGGCGGCATGCCATCATATCATTGAGATACTGTTGAAGCAGCTCTACTCACTCACTCACTCACTCACTCACTCGCTTCATGTCTTTTCTCCCCAGGTGTTTACAGGTAACTCGAACACCTGTATGAAAATCTTCAGTCATCAGGTGCAGAAAGTCATGAGTCTTGTCGCCAGGCACCGATCTAGTGTGCCACAGTTCCTCGATCTCCTCAATGCCATTGTCAAGGTCGAGGAGCTTGACCTTCCTCTCAAACGGAACCAGAGTTACGTGATGACTTACTTCATGCAGCACAGATCTGACATTGCCACCGTCATCGACCAGTCAGAGGCTGAGAGGTAAGAGTTGTCTACCTTGACCATTTACTTATTTGAATAACTAGAGTGTTTCTAAGTTTAGTATAATTTGTTTATACATGGAGAGTGTTACCCGTGTGTATCTTACTATTGTAAATATCATACAATAGGAATAAATATTGTATTATGCTGGCCTTTTTTATTTCTAATGTATGGGAGGGGAATGATGCAGTAATCTAAGCCATAATTTGCTTTCACTAAAATATGTTTAGAAACTATGTAAGAAAACAATGCCTGACCTATTTGTCAAATAGTGCAGGAAACATCTTTCTTATCTTTTGGGGAATATTAGGCAATTATATTTTGAGCATTTAGAGATTCATTAATGTATAGATAATACTGTGCAAGCAGAGTCACCTAGTTCCTGCTAGGTGACTCTGCTTGCATATTTATCAGATTGGTGTTCAATGTCATTTTTGTTTGTTTGTTTGTTTGTTTGTTGTTTAACGCCACACTCAGCAATAGTCAAGCTATATGATGGCTGTCTGTAAATAATCAAGTCTGGACCAGACAATCCAGTAATTTGCATCATGAGTATCGATGTTACAATTGGGATACGATGACATGCATCAACCAAGTCAGCGAGCCTGACCACCTGATCCTGTAAGTGGCCTCTTAGGCCAAGCATAGTTGCCTTTTACGGCAAACAACGGTTGCTGAAGACCTGTTCCACCCCGGATCTCCACGGCTGTGGTCCACATCAGTAACACAACCCTTTGTCTTTGTCTAAGTTCTTTTACTTACTCAAACATATCGGATTGTGTTCATGTTAGCTCCTTTCCCCAAAGCGATCTTAGTGCTGCGATTGTTGTTGGTTGTATGTTTAAGTATGGGTCAGTTCTGATCGTCTTGGTTCTGCGATTGTTGTTAGTTGTATGTTAAGTATGGGTCAGTTCTGATCGTCTTGGTTCTGCGATTGTTGTTAGTTGTATGTTTAAGTATGGGTCAGTTCTGATCGTCTTGGTTCTGCGATTGTTGTTAGTTGTATGTTTAAGTATGGGTCAGTTCTGATCGTCTTGGTTCTGCAATTGTTGTTAGTTGTATGTTTAAGTATAAGAGCGCTGATTGTCTCAGTGCTGCGATTGTTGTTAGTTGTATGTTTTAGTATGGGAGTTCTGATCATCTTAGCTCTGCAATTGTTGTAAGTTGTGTGTTTAAGTGAAGGAGATCTGAAAGATTTGAGAGTTGAAATATTAGAAGTATAAAATCATAATTTATTTATAATTATTTGTCATTTTGTTCCAGAGAAAAGATCCTGGTGTCATCTGGTTCACAGGAACTGAACTACCTGATCGCCATGGTGGACCTACTGGCAACCTGTGCGGAGGTGAGATGTAGTTTTCTCTTGTTTTTCACAACATATTTTTTCAGGACGTCCGCCATGCCAAGCAAACAGTTTGTCTGGGGGGTAACACCTAAAGACAAAGTACTTTTTCCTGAATTTTTTCCCCAATAATATCCCAGCCCCACCCAGAATATCAAATGCCACTGATTTATCCATGGTCAAACTTTATTAAATTGATGTTAATTTATCAACTCACCTGAATGAAGGCAGACATATGAAACATGTCATTTGTGACAATTTCCGGTTGTATTTTTATGAAATTTGATATCTAGGAAAACTGTGATATGCCTAGTACTCATTTTAGATTTGGGGGATCAGTAAAGGTCACCAGCGATTTTGCCTTTCAAAAGAAGTGATAAACATGATTGTGGGGTCAGGGTTTGGGACTTGCGTATCATTGTGTTCTGATGGCTTTACTCTTCGACTTCTTCTTCCTCCAGGGCGAGAACCGCTTCATTGAGTCCATCTGTCAGACCATCTTCAAGATCCCGGACCTATTGAAGGTGCTCAACAACGACATGATCAACAACAACCTCAAGAGGCCGTTCCTCCGCTTCCTCTTGTGGGTGTACATGAACACAGCCAGCGGCATGATAGAGAGCGGGGCAGGGGACTTGCCCCACGACAGGTCAGTGGCTAGAGAGCGGGGCCGGGGACTTGCCCCACGACAGGTCAGTGGCTAGAGAGCGGGGCGGGGGACTTGCCCCACGACAGGTCAGTTGATAGAGAGCGGGCCGGGGACTTGCCCCATGACAGGTTAGTTGATAGAGAGCAGGGCCGGGGACTTGCCCCACGACAGGTCAGTTAATAGAGAGTGGGGCGGGGGACTTGCCCCACGACAGGTCAGTTGATAGAGAGCGGGCGGGGGACTTGCCCCACGACAGGTCAGTTGATAGAGAGCGGGGCGGGGGACTTGCCCCACGACAGGTCAGTTGATAGAGAGCGGGGCGGGGGACTTGCCCCACGACAGGTCAGTTGATAGAGAGCGGGGCGGGGGACTTGCCCCACGACAGGTCAGTTGATAGAGAGCGGGGCCGGGGACTTGCCCCACGACAGGTCAGTTAATAGAGAGTGGGGCGGGGGACATGCCCACGAACGGTGAGTAGATAGAGAGCGGGGCGGGGGACTTGCCCCATGACAGGTCAGTTGATAGAGAGCGGGTGTGCTAGGGTAGGGCTGAGTGTGGCAAGGCAGATTTGGGTGTGGCAGGGCAGGGTGTGGCAAGGCAGATTTGGGCGTAGCAGGGCGTGGCAGGGTGTGGCAAGGCAGATTTGGGTGTGGCAGGGTGTGGCAAGGCAGATTTGGGTGTGGCATGGCATGGCAGGGTGTGGCAAGGCAGATTTGGGTGTGGCAAGGCTGATTTGGGTGTGGCAGGGTGGCAAGGAAGATTTGGCTGTGGCAGGGTGTGGCAAGGCTGATTTGGGTGTGGCAGAGCAGGATGGGCAGGGCAGGGCAGGGTTTGTTGTGGTGATAGTTGGGTTGCTAATGCCTAGTTCACAGTTTTGATGCTTGGTTTAACAGCATACCAATGCTCTTGTGCTTCAATGTCTGAGACCTGCATCACTTTGGGATTTCTTCCAGACTCAACTATTTACAGGCCGCCATCATGTATGTGGATTATTGCTTAGAGAGGCGTTAACCAACAAACAGGCAGATAGTTAGTACCAGTGTTACTGTGGGTTTCCCTCCATGTTGAGAGGTCGTGCTCTAAGAGCAACATTACATCCTCTCACTTCTTTCACCTTACAGGAGTCTGTGGACCTACCTGGTCAGTTTGAATGGAGTGCTGAAAAAGGCGACAGATTACGCAACCGCTAACCCAGACCTGGTCAAGCAGCTGCTCAAACGTCCGCCAGCCAAGAGGTATGCACCCCCCACACACTCACCAGCTTCTCACAATGCAAGGCAGAATGAAGGAACATCCGGGACATCCGGGACATCTTGTTAACCCGTTTGCTTACATATTAATATACAGAGATGTCAGCCGAGATCATTACCATATTTGGAACTAAAAGCAAAAATATCTGTCCTTCCAAACTCCACTTGCCTTGAGTTGCAGGTCACTGAACTTACATTTGATCCCTTGTGAAGATCGGGTTAGACTTCAGCAACCTTAATAATGCGTGTCCCAAGGGGCGACTAACAGATTCGGGGAGACAGGCTTGTTGACATGGTTGATTTATGTCATCGTATATCAATTGCGTAGGACAATGCTCATGATGTCAATCACTGGATTGTCTGGTCAAGACTCGATTATTTACAGTCCGCTGGAATATTACTGAGTGTGGCATTAAACAGGACATGAGTTGACATGCTCTCACTGTACATGTAAATATATTGCATGCTTGCTGTAAAAGGTGACTATGTTTGTCATACGAGGCGACTAACGGGATTGGGTGGTCAGGCTCACTGACTTGTTTGATGCATGTCATCGTATCCCATTTGCATGGATTGATGCTCATGAATTGTCTGGCCCAGACTCGATTTTTTGTAGACCGCCATCATATAGCTAGAATATTGTTGAGTGTGGCGTTAAACAACAAACAAACAAACAAGCATATATCGTACACATATTCATACTGATACTGAATACTTCTTGTTGCTTCATATATCATCATCATCGTCATCATCAACATCATCATCATCATCATCTCAATATTTTATTTTTGTTACTCATTGTTCACATTATCTATGCACGTCTCTTCTGAAGCATACAAATTAATGAACACATCACATTTTATTTTGTATGTTTTGTTCTACTTTCATGTGATTTTATTACAGCACCACTGCTAGAATACAAACAGCCAGAGGGTAATTTAGAGTTAGAAGGATTGAAGTGAAAGCTAGATAGTTTTAGCTTGAGTACATTGTCTGTAACTGTCAACCCCATCCCCAAGTTAACCCCTCCAAGATAACCCACCAAGATCACCCACCAAGATAACCCTCCATAGTAACCCGCTCCTCCCTCTCATGCATCATGATAACACATCCAGAATAACAATGTTGTCAAAATACTGGAAGTGACCTGATGTGGAATATGTGTCATTATCTGTAATCCTGTTTCTTGAAAATATTGTTTTTGATAAAATAAAGTTTACCATATTCAACGTAATAAGCACCCTGCTCTAATAAGCGCCCATGGCGATATTTGCTAATATATTGGCTAGTGAACAAACCCAATTAGTACCCCTTCCGATTGAACAGTGTACACAAGACTAATTTATTTCGCGTATAATACGCACTCGTGTGATATATGCACCCTTAATTATGGGCAAATACATTCTGGAAGAATATATCTGTCGTATATATAAACATTTCAGGCTGTCAGCTTAAACCACGAAATTTATCTTTTAACTCTTCTAACTCTTTTTCACCAAAATAATATTCTAAAAAGAGCCCCCAATTTGTAATTTTGAGAGCGCCCTGGGCGCTTATTACGTCGAATACGGTAAATGAAGTCCAAACTTCAAATTCATTTAAAAATATCATGAAAATATGGTCCCATATTTTAGGGGTCCAAGCAATTTCCAAAATGATTCAAATTTGAATTAAAGTGCCAGCCATGACAGATTAACTACAGCCATAGGGAAAGGGTGTTCTTTAATTTCTTTAGTATATGCCATCAGGGTACCGTTCCACAAAGCGATCGTGGCCCTAAGACGACTGCAACTCCCCTTAGCTTTAATATAGACTTATAACAATCGTAGTGCTAACTTCACTATGTAGATCAGGACACAGTTCAGCATTTTAAGAAATTCAGAAGAGTCCTTGAGTTTTTTCTAACACAGGACTACATGAATATCCCAATCAGATGTTGAGTAGTATAGACTCTAATTTAGTTGTTTCTTTGCTCTTCCAGGGATGCAACTTGGCACTAGTTCTCTAGCCAGTCAGACAGTGTAATGTTGAAGGTATCCATGGCCAGTTTGCACAAAGCAATCTTAGCACTAAGATGATCGTAACTCCCATACTTTAACATAGGCTTACAATAGTCGTAGGGCTAAGATCGACTTGTGCAAGTGGGCCCAGGGGGCTAGTAGAATTGTAGGCATTATGGGGATGTTCTTGTGTTCTTACTATTCAGAACCCCTTGAGGATTCCGTATGAGAATAGGTCCCCTTGGATTTGGTGGTCAGCTCAGTGACTCGATTGATAGAGTGTCCATGTACCCAGACAGTGTGGATCTATGTTCACAATATCAATCACTGGATTTGTGTGGTCCAGGTTATTTGCAGGCTGCTGTCATATTGTTGGAGTGAGTGAGTGAGTTGGGTTTAACCCTGCTTTTAACAGTATTCCAGTCATATCGCGGCATGTCAGCTTAATGTGGGAAGAAAGCCCGAAGAGATTCAGGTCTAAGACATTTACCACTTTGGTGTAACCCACGAGCACAGGTATGGTGCTGACAAACCTAGAAACATAATCGGGGCGAACCAGGATTTAAACCCACAATCATAGGTTTCTGGTATGCCCAAGGGACACAACTCTGAACAGCGAATTGCAGCATTTAGTTGGAATATTGCTGAGTGTGGCATTAAGCAACAAACAAATTATTCAGGCCAGTGAAAGTCAAGTTGCATCCCTGTGTTCCTTCTGTTCTGCAAGATTGCTTCTTTTATTCTGCACTTTCTTTGATTCAGTGATGGGAATGGAGGTGATGGGATTTTTGAGGATTTAAGCAGACGGTAACAATGACCATGTATTGTGTGACGTGTGTTAACAGCCTAACCAATGTTGATTAAACAAGTTATTCCCTGTGTGTGTTGTAAAAAACAACTAAATTGAGATTTAGGCTCAGAATGAGAACATTGTTTTTGGATTGGGCCCACTTGCAGCTTATGCCATGGCCTAGCTGGCTGCCCTTGTGTACAATCATACTTGGTGCTGATGCCATGGTCTAGCTGGCTGCCCTTGTGTACAATCATACTTGCAGCTGATGCCATGTCCTGGCTGGCTGCCCTTGTGTACAATCATACTTGCCACTGATGCCATGACCTGGCTGGCTGTCCTTGTGTACAATCATACTTGCCGCTGATGCCACGGCCTGGCTGGCTGCCCTTGTGTACAATCATACTTGCAGCTGATGCCACGGCCTGGCTGGCTGCCCTTGTGTACAATCATACTTGCAGCTGATGCCACGGCCTGGCTGGCTGCCCTTGTGTACAATCACACTTGCAGCTGATGCCACGGCCTGGCTGGCTGTCCTTGTGTACAATCATACTTGCAGCTGATGCCACGGCCTGGCTGGCTGCCCTTGTGTACAATCATACTTGCAGCTGATGCCACGGCCTGGCTGGCTGCCCTTGTGTACAATCATACTTGCAGCTGATGCAACGGCCAGGCTGGCTGCCCTTGTGTACAATTATTCCAAAAACCAGGTTTTAACACTCACACTATTTACTGCATGTTTCTCTGCACTGGTCAGAAATACATATAATGCCTCACTTTTGATTGCTTGAGGCCTCAGTCTTGAGGGCTAAGGCCTCGTTCAATGGCCAAATAGCTCTAACAAATATATTCAAACTGTATGAAACTGACAAAATATTGCTTGCTTGCACAATAAAGGTCACATGACATTGATTGTTTATTTTTTAAAATTTGAGAAATCAAAAGTGTTGATTTTTTTTTTCATTTTTACTGTTCCAGACTGAAAGAGTGCATAACTTCAGCATTCATACAGAAAATGTTTTGTAGCTTTTTGTTGCTTTAGTTTGGGGGCCTTTTCTTACAAAAAAAACCCAATTGTCTAGCCTGATACTGTAACCGCCAAAAACTATTAATTCCAATAAATTATCCATTTTTTTAACCTAATAAGCTGTTATTCGTGACTGGCCTCCCCTGTAAACAGTTCACTTGCTGTGGTGGAAGCACTGCATGACAACCCACTGTGTGAGATGTAGATATTGCAGATGGCTGCTAGTGATGGCCTGGGCTAGAATAAGTCTGTGGCACTTGTTTGCTTGTAAGAGGGCACTGACCTAACTGGTTTGGGTGGTCAGACTCGGTCACTTGGTTGATTTTGTGTCATTATACCCCAGTGGTGTGGGGTGTTGCTCATAATATCAACCAATTGTTTGTCTGGCCCATATTTGCAAGCTGCCATGCGATAGCTGAAATATTGCTGATTAGGCATAAACCAACATCTATGTGTTTTCGGGTCATCACAATGTTTACAAAACCTGTGAAATATTGAAAATGTATGTGATCGCTTATATCATAGTTTGAAAAATGTTTTACAGTGATGTGAAGACAGCTGTTAAGTGGAATGTTTATTTGTTGTCCTGTAATTGTTTTGAGATGTTACAAATTGAAGGGGGCATGGGTGCCCCAGTCGTCTAAGGCACTTAAATCAATGATCAGCGTAATTTGAAGATAGATATGCATCTCACTGATGAGACAAGCAATTCATAAATTCATAAATTGACTTATTTTAAGAATTATATTAGACTTATTAGCATTGTATTATTTTGTAACACATGCTCAACTTGTAAAGAAAATGTTTATATTCTGAATATTTGTATTTTCGCAGAGAACGCAGCCGCAGTGATGCTGAGGAAATGAGAGGAACTCTTCACTATCTGTTTGATGCTGTCATGCCGTTTCTGCAGGTGAGCTTCAGTACCTGGTTCAGTTCTGTAGATGATGTAAAACACCCATGGATGGGATTGATGCTTGGGATGATGAACATGATCACCTCTTGCTTTTCAATCATAAACAGAAGAATGTTGCTGCAATATTGACCCCCTACTCTCTGACCCTACCCGGGGAACAAATTGACCAGGAACACATTTCCCTGTTGAATATTGACCAGGCATGCATTTCCCTGTTGAATATTGACCAGGCATTGCATTTCCCTGTTGAATATTGACCAGGCATGCATTTCCCTGTTGAATATTGACCAGGCATGTATTTCCCTGTTGAATATTGACCAGGCATTGCATTTCCCTGTTGAATATTGACCAGGCATGCATTTCCCTGTTGAATATTGACCAGGCATTGCATTTCCCTGTTGAATATTGACCATGCATGCATTTACCTGTTTAATATTGACCAGGCATGCATTTCCCTGTTGAAAGGATTCATGTGTTTCGGCCTGGGTTACTTCCAGTCTGACACCTGCCCATCCTGAATCATGTATTCCATTATTAAAGACACTTAACTTTTACAGGTGTTCTGCCGGAGCTACTTCCAGCCCGACACCTGCCTGTATTAAAGACACCCTCTGTTACAGGTGTTCTGCCGGAGCTTCTTCCTGCCCGACCCCTGCCTATATTAAAGACACCCTCTGTTACAGGTGTTCTGCCGGAGCTACTACCAGCCCGACACCTGCCTGTATTAAAGACACCCTCTGTTACAGGTGTTCTGCCGGAGCTACTTCCAGCCCGACACCTGCCTGTATTAAAGACACCCTCTGTTACAGGTGTTCTACCGGAGCTACTACCAGCCCGACACCTGCCTGTATTAAAGGCACCCTCTGTTACAGGTGTTCTGCCCCAGCTACTTCCTGCCGGACACCTGCCTGTATTAAAGACACCCTCTGTTAAAGGTGTTCTGCCGGAGCTACTTCCAGCCCGACACCTGCCTGTATTAAAGGCACCCTCTGTTACAGGTGTTCTGCCGGAGCTACTTCCTGCCCGACACCTGCCTATATTAAAGACACCCTCTGTTACAGGTGTTCTGCCGGAGCTACTTCCAGCCCGACACCTGCCTATATTAAAGACACCCTCTGTTACAGGTGTTCTGCCAGAGCTACTACCAGCCCGACACCTGCCTGTATTAAAGACACCCTCTGTTACAGGTGTTCTGCCAGAGCTACTTCCAGCCCAACACCTGCCTATATTAAAGACGCCCTCTGTTACAGCTGTTCTGCCGGAGCTACTTCCAGCCCGACACCTGCCTGTATTAAAGACACCCTCTGTTACAGGTGTTCTGCCGGAGCTACTTCCAGCCCGACACCTGCCTGTATTAAAGACACCCTCTGTTACAGGTGTTCTGCCTGAGCTACTACCAGCCCGACACCTGCCTGTATTAAAGACACCCTCTGTTACAGGTGTTCTGCCGGAGCTACTTCCAGCCCGACACCTGCCTGTATTAAAGGCACCCTCTGTTACAGGTGTTTTGCCCGAGCTACTTCCAGCCCGACCCCTGCCTGTATTAAAGACACCCTCTGTTACAGGTGTTCTGCCGGAGCTACTACCAGCCCGACACCTGCCTGTATTAAAGACACCCTCTGTTACAGGTGTTCTGCCGGAGCTACTTCCAGCCCGACACCTGCACTTTCCCTGAGGAAGCCAAGGAGCCAGAAAAGCTGTCAACGCTTACCCTCTCCTTGGAGGCATTCTTGGAAGCCGTGGCGCCGCACATCAGCATTCAAAGACAGATGAAACTTCTCATCAACGCCGTGACTGCAATCATCACAGCATCTGGTGCCGTCTCAGTCAATGTGAGAGATGCAATACATCAAACTCAAGTATAGTCGTTCCCAAAACACAATTCTTTTAAATTCCACACTCTCTGCAGCCAGATTACTAAACATTTCTGCCATAAATTCTAATTCTAATGAGGCTAATGTTTTTGTGTTAAGATAGAATATTACAATATTTTGTTTAAATATTCCAAAGACTGTGCACAAAGTCACTCATTTGGCTTTGAATAAGTTTTTATATTTATTTTTTGATTAACGTGTAAAAAATTTGTTTGCTTGAATCAAGTCACTGCCTCACGAGAACCAATCATGTTTGTTATTGTTAAGTGAGACGTATATTTATTTTAACGTAGAAAATGGAGGAGTTCCACGCGAAGTACGGAGGTGGCTTGGGATCTCAGGATGTCCGCAGTGACGCCAGGAAGGTGAGATGTTGGAACTAGCAGTCTCAGGGAGAAGAAACTCTCTGACGCACAATACTGAGGGAACTTGAGCTGAAGATCTGGGTTCGATTCCCCAACAGGGGCACAATGTGTGAAGACCATTTCTAGTGTCCCACCATGACATTGCTTAAATGATATTGCTTAAAACATAAAGAGCCGACTTTAATTGTTGTAAGAGGTGACTCACAGGATCGGATGGTCAGGCTCACTGACTTGGTTGAAGCATGTCATCCATCCCAATTGTGTAGATCGATGCTCGTGATTTCAATCACTTAATTGTCTGATCTAGACTCAATTATTTACAGACTGCCATCATATAGCTGGAATATTGCTGAGTGCGGCGAAAACAAACAAAGAAAAAATTCCAACAGTTTATGAACAGTTTGTGTTTCCTGTTTTGCTGTGACCACATTGTTCTGTATGCACAGAGGTATGAGGACTACTTTGATGGTGAGGAAGACATCAACTTGAAGCTGAACGTGTTCGCTGTCAACATGCACCTGGCCTACGGTGGTATCAATGATGTCCAGACACAGGTCGGCTTTCCCAGTAGAGAAGGTAGGTGGCTATAGAACGAAGGGATGACAGAAGGGCGGAGGGTGGGGATGTCAAGGATGTCCTGACACAGATCGGCTTTCCCAGTAGAGAAGGTAGGTGGCTATAGAACGAAGGGATGACAGAAGGATGGAGGGTGGGGATGTCAAGGATGTCCTGGATGTCCAGACACAGATCAGCTTTCCCAGTAGAGAAGGTAGGTGGCTATAGAAGGAAGGGATGACAGAAGGATGGAGGGTGGGGATGTCAAGGATGTCCTGACACAGATCGGCTTTCCCAGTAGAGAAGGTAGGTGGCTATAGAAGGAAGGGATGACAGGACGGACGGATGGAATGACAGATTGCTGATATCCACACAAGATCAATGAATAATCAACAAATTATATTGAAAGACACTAGCTTTACAAGCAAACAAGGCAATAGAATAGGTCAAATACCTGTCAGCGGCAAAAATAATAGGCCCCAGAATTAATGTAAGTGCACTCATCAATTTTCAGAATTTTGTGACTTTTGAATGTCTTAAATTGGCCTGTCTCAGTTCTTGAATGTGAATAGTATTGGAAGCTGACAGAAGTCACACACCAGTTTGTAAAAAGCCTTCAATCGCTCTCTTGTCATACTTACAGCCGTACTGTCGTACTGGTGCAGCCAGCCTTCTAGAAACTGTCCCATCCTGAAACTCCTTTAACAATCAAGCCTACCATGTTGATGTTTACAAGTGGTAACTCTATTTCAATCACTGCCGCCCTCGATATTTTACATGTACTTCAATCATTCGGTGCCACTGTCTTTTACAACATACACATTTACAGCATTTACTTCTGCATAACACTTATTGACTGCTTTCTCTCACATCCAGAATACTCTGAGATTGGGGGAGACGAGGAACTCCCCCTAGGGGCGGAGTTCCAGGAGCACCTGCGCTGCTTCATCGACCCCCACGGAAGGACCCCCGAGGCCAAGTACAGCATGGCAGAGAAACTTGTCAAACAGCTGTTGTAAGTAGCCAACAAACAAAACATCACCAGATCCTGCCACTTCAAAGGGATGCAACTCTGCCCATGGTTATCAGAGGTGTTTCAGCACATGTCAGAAACGGGGGACTGTGACATTAGATGATCGCTAGGATCCCTAATCTGGTTAATGTCCTTCACTCAACAGTGAAGTTTAACAATGTAGAATGACAATAACAACATCACTTGATAGAATGAACAGGCATAGCCTTAGACTGCTGAGTCAAGTAAGTTCTGCTACAACCTTTTTGCTTACAGCATCTCGGCGACGTTAAACAACCTGAGCGAGAAGGAGAAGATCGAGCAGACGGAGCTGGATGAGAAGTGTCTGCAGCTGCTGCGCGGCCTCATCCACAACGAGATCATCAAGCTGCCCCTCGACTGGGAGCTCCACGTCAAGAGCAATAGGAAGTAAGGGGAGATAACTGCACTTTCACTGTATCCTGCATCTTTGTCAGAGCCGAGACTTAACTATGATGTAATCATGAACAAATTGTAAATGGTTGCAAATAATTTATTAAAGAGTCCAGGGCCCACTTGCACAAAGCGATCTTAGCGCTAAGATGATCGTAACTCCCATACTTTAACATAGGCTTACGATAGTCTTAGCTCTAAGATGATCGTAACTCCCATACATTAACATAGGCTTATGATAGTCTTAGCTCTAAGATAGCTTTGTGCAAGTGGGCCCTGGAGGATACGAAAATTATGGCAGTTTGAATCATGAAAACCAATCCAAGTCGTAATCTGCATGTTACACATGACTCGTATGAAACACACTTAAAGAGTGTCAGTGGTTCAGTCTAGCATTGAAATCCCCATCTGTAGTAGGCTTTAGGCTTGTGTGTGTTACATGACATGATGATTGCATCAGACAATATTGGTAAGTCTTGTTGACATTCTGCTACTATTGCATAGGCAGCTGAAGGTGATCGAGTCGGTCCAGTTCGCTCTCAACTCCTACAATGTGATTGAGAGCACACTCAACCATCTGTCTCGGCCCCAGGACAATATCATACGGGAGTTACTGGCCTTCATGGCAGCGCTACTGTTCGGGGGGAACTACGCAGTGCAGGTGAGCTAACTTGACAAGCCTCTTTCTGACATGGGGCACTGTGGCTGAGATGCCACAATTTGCTGTGCAATGATAATTTGTTTTGTTTGTTGTTTAATGCCTCACTCAGCGTATATGACGTAATAAGCGCCCACGGCGATATTTGCTAATATATTGGCTAGTGAACAATCCCAATTAGCACCCCTTCTGATTGATCAATGTACACAAGATTGATTTATTCGTGCATAATACGTGTGTAATATGAATCCTTAAATATGGGAAATTAAATTCTGGAAAAGTATATCTGTCGTATATAAACATTTCAGGCTGTCAGCATAAACCACGAAATTTACGATCTTTCAACTCCGTTGTTTTTCACCAAAATAATATTCTAATAAGAGCCTCCTGTTTCTCATTTTGAGAGCACCCTGGGTGCTTATTATGTTGAATACAGTATATGATGGCGGTCTGTAAATAATAGATTAGGGACCAGACAATCCAGTGATTGACATCATGAGCATTGATCCACGCAATTGGAATACGATGAAATCTTGTTTCTCAAACTCATATACTAGATGTTCTTCAACTGGTAATAAGCACCAAGGGCGCTTTCAAAATTAGAAATAGGAGGCTCTAATTATAATGTCATTTTGGTGACAGCCTGAAATGTTTATATACGACACATATATTTTTCCAGAATTTAATTGCCCATAATTAAGGGTGCATATAACACACAAGTGCGTATTATACGCGAATAAATAAGTGTTGTGTACATTGATCAATCGGAAGGGGTGCTAATTGGGATCGTTAACATTTGCAAATATCGCCGTGGGCACTTATTAGAGCGGGGCGTTTATTACGTCGAAGACCGTATCCAGAGTCTTTATTTTAGATACAAGTTGTTCCTAATGTCATGAAATCTGTTGTGACATGAAGCAATGTGTTGTGATGACTAAGCCTGTTTTTTGAGAGGTTGGTCTCTGTTGTTTCAGATGAGTTTGATCGCCTACTTCACCGGCACTCGAGAGGAAACTTTCTTCTTCGCCATCAAGACCCGGATGCAGCTATCCAGCGTAGCAACACGGGAGAAGTAAGTTTGTTTATATTTAAGAATTACTTCATGAAAAAAATATTTTTCTCTTGACGAAGTATAGGCAGTAAATACAGGGAAGACCACGAGGGATATGACCTGTGATCTCTCCCCTGCTCCAAACCTTCCCCTCCCAACAGGAAAGTATATGTAAGTGTAGAACTCCCTTGGGAATGGCAGCAACCCACCAACTACTCTCACACTGATCACTTCTGTTGTAGAGCTGGGACAGGGTACTTGGGTACTCGGGTACTCGGGTCGGATGGGTACTAGGGCTGTTATGATTCACTCGCGTATTCGGTGAATCGAACCGTATCCATTCATGAATTGAATTTGTTATTCGTGCCCACTAGAATCGAATATTTATGAATATGCAAGCATATGCATTTACATAAAAAAATACCCATAGGAACATATTTTATGCATAGATTTCTTCAAAAGACAACACTCTTATACTATTTAATTTGACAGTATCGTGGTCACTGGTCATTGTCATTTGAGCAGATACTAGTACCTCGATAAGTGCAGTATATAAATGAATAATATATTAATAATATGTTAATAATTAACAAACCATGTCAAATAATTTATGTTGTTGTTGCCTCACTGAACATGCTGAATATGACAAATAATACAACTGCTGACTTGTTATTGTATTCGTGAATTAATATTCGTATTCGCTACCCTATATTCATGATACGAATCGTATTCACCTCATTGTGTATTTGTTGCAGCCCAAATGGGTACTATGTAGGACCTGGGTACCTATGGTTAGTCACGTGATATATTGGTTAATGACAAAAGTTATCTAGTCACTAATGTTTCTTTCTGACAACGCACCCATTCGTTCTGACTTTCATATGTTTGAATAAAGATAAAGCTTCAGTCAAATTCAGTGTATGCATGACCAGATCGTTTTATACGTGTCTCTGAATACATTTTGCCAGGGCTACGGTCAATCTTTTCCTAATCGTACAGTTTGTACCTATCACTTGAGACCTACAGCGGGTACCCGGGTAGGGTTGGGTAATAGGAGAGTGGGTACCCAGGTAGTAAATTTGGACAGCCCTATTCTGTTGTGTAATGGATAGAGAGTCTTCCCAGAGAGTGGAAGGTCGGTGATTTCATCCCCTGGCCACGTCACACCAAAAGACCATAGTAACTACTGTCAGAGGACATCTTTCTTGTGCTTTAGGGCACTAGTTTCAAACTGGCGACTATGCTTCGTAACATATTTTACGAATCTTTGATTCTATATTTGAAAACTGAACAAAAAAGCCATTCTGGAATGGCTAATAGACGGCCTAGATTGTATAGATTCCGTCTAAAGCCTGTAACTGTCGTTCGAAAAACCCTGTGTTAAATTTTTTAAGGTTACACGATAAGAAAGAACATTCTGGTTGTCACTTTACTGATCTGGTAAGCAACGCCCTGATTGGTCAGATGAAAAGTCGTTTTTACGTGTCCCATAATGGGATGTCCTCAGGTCTTTGTTTTAGTCATTGTGAGAACTGATATCTGATTTTAATAAGATTGCCTCACAGATAGAAATATGCAGGTAAATCCGTGTTCTCTGATTCTTCCTAGTTAAATTTTTATGTGGATCTGCGTTTTCTGATCCTTCCTTGTTGTTTCAGACGCCTCCTTCACGCGATGCACACCGCGAAGGTTGAGGAGATGGTGGCCCAGACTAAGGCCCTTCAGAAGGCCATGAAGGCCGGCAATGTCCAGGGCATGGTAGGTACTGATGTCGACAGGGATGCTCATTTGTTTATTAATTAGAGGTGGATGGCCCAGTCGTCTGAGGTGTTGCAGTTCAGTGAGTTGTGTCCCTTGGATGTGCCAGAAACCTGTGACCTGGGTTTGAATCCTGGTTTGTCCACATTAGGTTTGTCAGCACGAAGGTCGTGAGTTTCACCGAAGTGGTGAACAGTTAGGGTTATCATCACCTTACACCTTCCTTCTACATGAAGCTGACGCGCCATGATATAACTGAAAAACTTTTCAAAGCAGCGTTAAGTCCAACTTTCTCTTTATAAGAGGTTTTTGGCATGGATGAACCTTCTTTTACCTTCAAAATATTGATAAACTTCACTTAAATAAAATTGATATTTTACTTGTGTGGTCAAACTAATTATAATGTACTGGTAACTGTGACTTAATGATAATTAATCATTTTTACTTTCCTCTAATATCTTTCACCATTCATATTCATAATGATTATGCATGTTGCAATAGTATATGCTACTTTTCTATTTCTTCAAGTAAAATAATATAATAATGTCTGTGTGTATGTCATAATATTTGGTCATTTGTCTGATCAGCGTCTTATGTATACTTATACTTATGTATCTGTTCTACATGTCCTAAGTTTATGTATCTGTGTTCTATATGTCCCAGGTTTATGTATCTGTGTTCTATATGTCCTAGGTTTATGTATCTGTGTTCTATATGTCCTAGGCTTATATATCTGTGTTCTATATCTCCGAGGTTTATGTATCTGTGTTCTATATGTCCTAGGTTTATGTATCTGTGTTCTATATGTCCCAGGTTTATGTATCTGTGTTCTATATGTCCCAGGTTTATGTATCTGTGTTCTATATGTCCTAGGTTTATGTATCTGTGTTCTATATGTCCTAGGTTTATGTATCTGTGTTCTATATGTCCCAGGTTTATGTATCTGTGTTCTATATGTTCCAGGTTTATGTATCTGTGTTCTATATGTCCTAGGTTTATGTATCTGTGTTCTATATGTCCTAGGTTTATGTATCTGTGTTCTATATGTCCTAGGTTTATGTATCTGTGTTCTATATGTCCTAGGTTTATGTATCTGTGTTCTATATGTCCCAGGTTTATGTATCTGTGTTCTATATGTCCTAGGTTCATGTATCTGTGTTCTTTATGTCCTAGGTTTATGTATCTGTGTTCTATATGTCCTAGGTTTATGTATCTGTGTTCTATATGTCCCAGGTTTATGTATCTGTGTTCTATATGTCCTAGGTTTATGTATCTGTGTTCTATATGTCCCAGGTTTATGTATCTGTGTTCTATATGTCCTAGGTTTATGTATCTGTGTTCTATATGTCCTAGGTTTATGTATCTGTGTTCTATATGTCCTAGGTTTATGTATCTGTGTTCTATATGTCCTAGGTTTATGTATCTGTGTTCTATATGTCCTAGGTTTATGTATCTGTGTTCTATACGTCCTAGGTTTATGTATCTGTGTTCTATATGTCCTAGGTTTATGTATCTGTGTTCTATATGTCCCAGGTTTATGTATCTGTGTTCTATATGTCCTAGGTTCATGTATCTGTGTTCTTTATGTCCTAGGTTTATGTATCTGTGTTCTATATGTCCTAGGTTTATGTATCTGTGTTCTATATGTCCTAGGTTTATGTATCTGTGTTCTATATGTCCCAGGTTTATGTATCTGTGTTCTATATGTCCTAGGTTTATGTATCTGTGTTCTATATGTCCCAGGTTTATGTATCTGTGTTCTATATGTCCTAGGTTTATGTATCTGTGTTCTATATGTCCTAGGTTTATGTATCTGTGTTCTATATGTCCTAGGTTTATGTATCTGTGTTCTATATGTCCTAGGTTTATGTATCTGTGTTCTATATGTCCTAGGTTTATGTATCTGTGTTCTATATGTCCCAGGTTTATGTATCTGTGTTCTATATGTCCTAGGTTTATGTATCTGTGTTCTATATGTCCCAGGTTTATGTATCTGTGTTCTATATGTCCTAGGTTTATGTATCTGTGTTCTATATGTTCCAGGTTTATGTATCTGTGTTCTATATGTCCTAGGTTTATGTATCTGTGTTCTATATGTCCTAGGTTTGTGTATCTGTGTTCTACATGTCCTAGGTTTATGTATCTGTGTTCTATATGTCCCAGGTTTATGTATCTGTGTTCTACATGTCCTAGGTTTATGTATCTGTGTTCTATATGTCCTAGGTTTATGTATCTGTGTTCTATATCTCCGAGGTTTATGTATCTGTGATCTATATCTCCGAGGCTTATGTATCTACATGTCCCTTTGTGCACAATCTTTGCTTACCGTGTGTTCTATATCTCCGAGGCTTATGTATCTACATGTCCCTGTGTGCACAATCTTTGCTTACCATGTGTTCTATATCTCCGAGGCTTATGTATCTGTATGTCCCTGTGTGCACAATGTTTGCTTACCGTGTGTTTTGTAGGACCTGATGATGGCCAACCAGCTTGGATCTATGTTATCTCTTGCCAAACATTCCATGGTCAACATGCGCAATCCGGTACAAACTTAAACCTTTCTCTTTACATTTCTTCCTTGGATTGTCTCTAAAGCCATGTGTCATGAAAACATGTGTGTTGTGATCCTTATTCACAGGTGCCATCATATAGCTGGAATATTGCTGAGTGTGGCATTAAACAAGCAAACAAATGTTTCAGAGCTCCAGATAAGCTTTTGGTGTTGTGGGTATTTTACCCATGCATTTTAAAATCATTGGGTATCAGTAATTCTATCTGGGTATTCAAATTTATGTTACCCACTTGTTTTTACACATGTGGGTATTTAAGTTAAATATTTAAAAACAGTATTCATCTAGTCCCTACAAACTGGTGATATGTGGGTTTGAGAGCTTTATAGGACTCAAAAATACCACGATACTTAGACAAGAAAGTGTGATGGCAAATGATCATGATGTAACTGTCATCGTGGAGTTTGGCAAGGTTGACAGCATGCCCGTTTATAATTTCGAAATAAGTTGCTGATTTGCTAATCGAATACGCGGGGTTGCTTCACAATATTTTGATGATACGCACAAGTTTTATTTTTGTAGCGTATCTGTAATGTTCGTTGCATATTTGATACGCTTGGATTTTATTTTACTGCATATTTCTGCATTTCTGATGCGTATTTTACGCAGATACGCAGCTTATCTGGAGCTCCGTGGTTTTTTTCACAATAACGCATTTACTGGGTATGAAACTGTTTATAACTTCAGAGACAATCCATGACTTTGTTTGTGAGCTTCTAGATCTGTATTTAATATTAATTTAAATCTTCTATGTGTTAATATTTTAAGAAACTCCAGCTTTATAAGTCTGAAATGATACAAGCTTGTATGACTGTTGTCGATTCTACAGATGGGGTCTCGCGGCTCCATGAAGCGGCCAATCAGCCGAGCCAGTAGGATGAATGGGGGGATGGGAGGACACACCCTGATGATCCCCCAGGGACTGGGGCCCCCCAAGGTCGCTGTCAACGGCAGCTCCATGAATGGGCTCGGTGGTCCACCGCCCAAGATGGAGATCAGCAAGATTAAGTCTAAGAAGAAGTCAGAGGTGGCCCCGCTCGAAGAGGTGGACATCAAAATAGAGGTAGAGTCACTTGTTGCTTCAGGAGTTCTTGGGACCCGTGAAGATTACGGGGTAGAATAAGTCTTCAGCAACCCATGCTTGTCGTAAAAGGCGACTAATGGGATCGGGTGGTCAGGCTCGCTGACTTGGTTGATACATGTCATCGATCCCAATAGCGTGGATAGATGCTCATGATGTCAATCACTGGATTGTCTGGTCCAGACTCGATTATTTACAGACCGCCATCATATAGCTGGAATATTGAATATTGCGGCATTAAACAACAAACAAACAAACATTCAGGAGTACTTGGAGGTAGCATTATTCATCCAGATGTCACAAAAAAATAACTTGGACCTGAGAAATGTAATAAGTCAATGGCAAAAGTCAATACATCAATGATAGAACTAAAAAAAAGTGGACAAGGCATAACAACAAACCAAACGATACTGTTCGTGATTGGATGGATATGTATGATCTGGCCAATGAACATCGCGATAAGAAAAGCGCTTGACTTACAGCTCTATACAGCTGTAGCTATAGCTCCCTATGATTTTCCTATACAGAAAGTATGAAGCAAAGACACGCCCTGTTTTGAATTTCAATTACGATTTTTGATGGCTGTCTAGTGTTTTATTAAATCGATACTGTAAGTAGAACTTATCCTTACTATTTACTTTTTAATTAAGAAGTTATGAAACATGTGAAATGTGTGACCACTTCAGAGTTCATGCATCTAAATTTTGCGAGTTAAATCAAGTTCCTTTAATGGCGACCTGGCTGTAATAGAAGTGTTTGATTGTGGTTTGAATCCTGCCTTGATTATGTTCAAGGGCGGATCGAGCATTATTTGAAAGGGATGCGTCCTCTCTCAGATAATTATACAGCCAACAACATACTACATTTGAATCTGCCTAGGATGTTTGTAGGTTTGTCTGGACTGTGGTCGTGGGTTTTACCTGCGTAACTTTGGGCTTTCCTCCCAAAGCAGCATTAAATCCAACTCACTCACTCTATCACTTACTCTATCACTCACTCTATCACTCACTCACTCACTCACTCACTCACTCACTCTATCACTCTATCACTCTATCACTCACTCACATCACTCCACTCACTCACTCACTCACTCACTCACTCACTCACTCACTCACTCACTCACTCGGGGCATCGGTGGCCCAGTTGTCTAAGGTGCCACGATTTGCTGCGCAGAGATGCCTATGATTTCGCCCCGATTAAGTTTCTAGGTTTATCAGCACCATACCTGTGCTCGGGGGTTTCACTGAAGTGGTAAACATCTGTGATCTGCATCACTTTGTACTTTCCTCCCACAATAAGCTGACACGCCGTGATATAACTGGAATACTGTTAAAAGTGGCGTTAAACCCCACTCACTCACTCACTCACTCACTCACTCACTCACTCACTCACTCTCCCCAGGACATGGACGAGGAGGAGCTGCAGGAGCTGACTAATGCTGCCATCTCCATGTCAGATGACCTGGACTTCAAGGACGATGGTTTCATTGAGCTGGTGCTGCGTGTGCTCGGACTCATGTGTGACAATCAACACAAGGGACTCCAGAACTACCTCAGGGAACAACCAGACAATATCAAGTCAGTGAATCTGGTTGCCGAGACAACAAGGTTCCTCAATATATTGTATTCAAGTATTTCGGACAAAACGGCGCCACTTATAGTGCAGTTGTTTGACACTCTTGTGGAATACACTTCGGTGAGTTGATGATGGAGGAAGTTTACAGAGATCTACATATAAAGGCAGATCTACGTCTTGCAATGCTTTTTTAAAATTTGACTTTAACTTTAAATCATAATTGTCCTAAGGTCCTTTTTAAAAGGCTGATAAATTAAGATACCGGTTTCTTTGAGGACAAAAGGAATAGTAAGAAAAACAAGGTTCTCTTTAAGTCATCATGATGTTTTTAGGTAACAGTAGGTGGTATTATTCTTCATTATTCCAACAGTTAAGAATGTGAAAGAAAAATCAAGGTCACATTTAAAAAAATGCAAATTGTATACCCCACAACATGTTTTAACTGGTCCATATTTGCGGGAAGATAATTTGTTTACATAGGGAAGTAGAAATTCTTTCTAAAATTATGGTGTTTTTCTTTATTCAACTAAAGAGATGCCATTTATGAATATTCAAAATGGTGAGTCATATGATTTATGTCAAATATGTAACTTGTTTCCAGGGTGACTAATCGTTTACATTGTTATATTTTAATTTGCCATGGTAACTGGTCATGTGATGTGTTTCCAGGGTAACTTCCAGAACCAGTCTATAGTGTTTGACAACAAGATCTGCGATTACATCAACCACATACTCAGAGTAGGAGTCTACAAGAACTGCTCATTGGAACAGGTGATATAATCTTGAATGAGACGTTTCAAATACCATTTTTACCTCACCTTAAATTGCGCAAGTAGAATGTGTAGCCCAGTGGTCCCAGGTCTTGTATTGCACTGCAGAGTTGCTTCCCTTTGGAAGTGCCAATTGTGGGTTCAAATCCAGTTCCATCCTGCATTTGTGTAAATGTTTAATATTTCTATTTCTGTTGGCCAGGTCTACACCGTAAAGAAGTCAATCGCGACTCTGATCAAATCTTTGACGGAGGAAAACCCACCCGAGAGGGAGGACGATGAAGATGCGTTGGCAAATGTAGGTCACATGATGTTGCTCAGCCAATCAGGGCCTGCTACAGGACAGATATCCTGTTGCAGCATCGTAATCAAAGACTAAATCTATGCTAGATATTTCCCTGAATCTGTAACAATTAGAGTTGGCATCTCTGTTCCATATAATTATCATTTGATTAAATTTCAAGTGAGAACAATGTCAACCTTATTCACCATTCATATTAAGTGTTCCGCGCCATTAAGCTCCCCTGACCAAGTTCCAGACCAATCTGTAAATAATCTTTATAAACCCCAGAGCTCCAGATAATTTTTGAGCAATTGAGTTTTTACTCGAAGGTTTCTATTTTATTTGGGTTATTACATTTTTCATTGGGTAACCAATATTTTTTCCCTCATTTATTCATCACTCTATTGGGTTTTCCCCCAAATGATTACACATTATAAGATTTAAAAAAATGAATAATGTTTCAGATGTATGTAAGGGTTCTAACTATTATATGCTTGCCTCGGAAAGTAAATTAGCCCGTAATTGTGTTCAGGAAATTATCTCCATTGGGTATTGACACATGCTGTTTTTGAGTTTTTAATTTAATGCATGCATTTCTGTGCGTGAATTAATTGAAAGTTATTGGGTTTAGAATATTTTGGAGGGGTACTTTATGCAAATATGCAGCTTATCTTTTAGCTCTGAGCCCCCAGCAAAAAACATGAAAATTTACATGACATTCCTTATGTTCTTGTGCTCTAAGTTATAACTACAGTTATATTTGCTAAGTACGTAGCTTTGAAAAAAGTTTAGTTCATCGATGTTCAACTAGGTTTGTTAACTACAGTTCGATCTCTGAAAACATATTTTACCCATGCCTTTAATAAGAGCTCCCCCTCCTGTCAAGTTTTTTTAGTTCTAATTTCCCTAAGTTTCTACGGTATTTAATATCTGTAAAATGTTACCAAATGAATGAGATTGATATTTAAATTTTTTTAGATGTTACTTTTTCTGCTTGAAAGTAAGAAAAAAGTTATTGACTGTGTACAAGTGTTTTTAGTACTAACCAAAGTTGTTGTTAAGAGAGTATGATGCGTCTAGCCAAACAGAGATTGTCGATGACTTCATAATATGGGTTTGTATGAGTGTACTTGAATTGGCATTCAACCAGAAGATTTTTCTGGAAAACATTATGTGGATAACTTTTGTTTATGTCACTTTTGTGTACACGTGTAGTTAAGATTACTTTGTTCGTTTAGTTTCTTGCTTTTAGTGTGATCTATAGTGTGATATTTAGTGTGATCTTTAGTGTGATCTTTAGTGCGATCTTTAGTGTGATCTATAGTGAGATCTATAGTGTGATCTATAGTTTGATCTTTAGTGTGATCTTTAGTGTGATCTATAGTGTGATCTTTGGTGTGATCTATAGTGTGATCTATAGTGTGATCTTTAGTGTGATCTTTAGTGTGATCTTTAGTGTAAACTTTAGTGTGATTTTTAGTGCTTCACATGACCAAGACTATGTTATTTGGAATTAGAACTGTAATGTAACATCAGTTCAACAACTGAAGCCATTCTATTAACTAAACCAGTATTATTCATAGTTTAGATGTAGCTGTTAGAGTCAGTTCAATGTAATGACAATAATACTCCCAATACTCTAACATCTGTGAAGATCAGGTTTAGAATTGGTCTTCAGCAACCCATGCTTGTTGTTCGAGGCGACTGACGGAATCGGGTGGTCAGGCTCGGTGACTAGTTTATGCATGTCATTGTATCCTAATTGTGTCAATCAATGCTCATGATCCATATCAATCTCTGGATTGTCTGGTTCAGACTTGATTATTTACAGACCACCATCATATAGCTGGAATATTGCTGAGTGTGACGTTAAACAACAAACACAAACCAAACTTGATGTCCAGACTACTTGAAGAATGAGGAGATCTGATGCATGATCCTGGACTTGTGACAAGAAAGGGTTTAAGATTTATGGTCACGATAGTTTGCCAAGATGGGAAAATTACATGTTGTAAATACAGGAAAAACCCCGAGATCAATAGATGCCATGCCTGTCCTTGAATTCTCACTTGTATATCCCGTTACAAGTGTTCCGACCTGTATAATGTCATGTTCAATGTTTAAACTGTGAGTGTTTGGTTTACTGTTTCCGTGATGAGTTGATGATTGGTTTACTGTTTCCTTGATGAGTTGATGATTGGTTTACTGTTTCCGTGGTGAGTTGATGATTGGTTTACTGTTTCCTTGATGAGTTGATGATTGGTTTACTGTTTCCGTGGTGAGTTGATGATTGGTTTACTGTTACCGTGATGTGTTGATGATTGGTTTACTGTTTCTGTGATGAGTTGATGATTGGTTTTCTGTTTCTGTGATGAGTTGATGATTGGTTTACTGTTTCCGTGATGAGTTGATGATTGGTTTACTGTTTCCCTGATGAGTTGATGATTGGTTTACTATTACTGTGATGAGTTTTTGTGTGGTTTACTGTTTCTGTGATGTGTTGATGATTGGTTTACTGTTTCCTTGATGAGTTGATGATTGGTTTACTGTTTCCGTGGTGAGTTGATGATTGGTTTACTGTTTCCTTGATGAGTTGATGATTGGTTTACTGTTTCCGTGGTGAGTTGATGATTGGTTTACTGTTACCGTGATGTGTTGATGATTGGTTTACTGTTTCTGTGATGAGTTGATGATTGGTTTTCTGTTTCTGTGATGAGTTGATGATTGGTTTACTGTTTCCGTGATGAGTTGATGATTGGTTTACTGTTTCCCTGATGAGTTGATGATTGGTTTACTATTACTGTGATGAGTTTTTGTGTGGTTTACTGTTTCTGTGATGTGTTGATGATTGGTTTACTGTTACCGCGATGAGTTTTTGTGTGGCTTACTGTTTCTGTGATGAGCTGATTATTGGTTCACTGTTTCTGTGATGTGTTGATAATTGGTTTTCTGTTTCTGTGATGAGTTGATGATTGGTTTACTGTTTCCGTGATGAGTTGATGATTGGTTAACTGTTTCTGAGATGAGTTGATGATTGGTTTTCAGTTTGTGTGATGAGTTGATGATTGGTTTACTGTTTCCGTGATGAGTTGATGATTTGTTTACTGTTTCCTTGATGAGTTGTTGTTTGGTTTACTGTTTCTGTGATGAGTTGATGATTGATTTACTGTTTCTGTGATGAGTTGATGATTGGTTTTTAGTTTGTGTGATGAGTTGATAATTTGTTTACTGTTTCTGTGACGAGTTGATGATTGGTTTACTGTTACCGCGATGAGTTTTTGTGTGGTTTACTGTTTCTGTGATGAGCTGATGATTGGTTTACTGTTTCTGTGATGAGCTGATGATTGGTTTACTGTTTCCTTGATGAGTTGTTGTTTTGTTTACTGTTTCTGTGATGAGTTGATGATTGGTTCACTTTTTTCATGATGAGTTGATAATTGGTTTACTGTTTCCATGATGAGTTGATGAGATGTTTACTGTTTCTGTGATGAGTTGATAATTGGTTTTCAGTTTGTGTGATGAGTTGATAATTTGTTTACTGTTTCCGTGATGAGTTGATAATTGGTTTACTGTTTTCGTGATAAGTTGTTGTGTCGTTTACTGTTTATGTGATGAATTGTTGTTTGGTTTACTGTTTCTGTGATGATTTGTTGTGTGGTTTACTGTTTCCGTGATGAGTTGATGATTGGTTCACTTTTTTCATGATGAGTTGATAATTGGTTTACTGTTTCCATGATGAGTTGATGAGATGTTTACTGTTTCTGTGATGAGTTGATAATTGGTTTTCAGTTTGTGTGATGAGTTGATAATTTGTTTACTGTTTCCGTGATGAGTTGATAATTGGTTTACTGTTTCCGTGATGAGTTCTTGTGTCGTTTACTGTTTCTGTGATGAATTGTTGTTTTGTTTACTGTTTCCGTGATGAGTTGATGATTGGTTTACTGTTTCCGTGATGAGTTGTTGTGTGGTTTACTGTTTCCGTGATGAGTTGATGATTGGTTTACTGTTTCCGTGATGAGGTGTGTGGTTTACTGTTTCCGTGATGAGTTGATGATTGGTTTACTGTTTCTGTGATGAGTTGTTGTGTGGTTTACTGTTTCCGTGATGAGTTGATGATTGGTTCACTTTTTTCATGATGAGTTGATAATTGGTTTACTGTTTCCGTGATGAGTTGATGAGATGTTTACTGTTTCTGTGATGAGTTGATAATTGGTTTTCAGTTTGTGTGATCAGTTGATAATTTGTTTACTGTTTCCGTGATGAGTTGATAATTGGTTTACTGTTTCCGTGATGAGTTGTTGTGTCGTTTACTGTTTATGTGATGAATTGTTGTTTGGTTTACTGTTTCCGTGATGAGTTGATGATTGGTTTACTGTTTATGTGATGAATTGTTGTTTTGTTTACTGTTTCCGTGATGAGTTGATAATTGGTTTACTGTTTCCGTGATGATTTGATGAGATGTTTACTGTTTCTGTGATGAGTTGATAATTAGTTTTCAGTTTATGTGATGAGTTGATGATTGGTTCACTTTTTTCATGATGAGTTGATAATTGGTTTACTGTTTCCGTGATGATTTAATGAGATGTTTACTGTTTCTGTGATGAGTTGATAATTAGTTTTCAGTTTGTGTGATGAGTTGATAATTTGTTTACTGTTTCCGTGATGAGTTGTTGTGTGGTTTACTGTTTCCGTGATGAGTTGTTGTGTCGTTTACTGTTTCTGTGATGAATTGTTGTTTTGTTTACTGTTTCCGTGATGAGTTGTTGTGTTGTTTACTGTTTATGTGATGATTTGTTGTGTCGTTTATTGTTTCTGTGATGAGTTGTTGTGTGGTTTACTGTTTATGTGATGATTTGTCGTGTGGTTTACTGTTTATGTGATGAGTCCTTGTGTGGTTTACGTTTTCTGTGATGAGTTGATAATTGGTTTCATGTTTACCTTGTGGGTTGACAATTGGCTTACTGTTTACTTGATAAGTTAATAACTGTTATAGTTACCTGATGAGTTGAAGATAGGTTTACTGTTTACTTGTTGAGTTGATAATTTTGTTTATTGTTTACCTGCTATGTTAATGATTGGTTGACTTATTCATTGCTAAGTTAATAACTGTTATATTTACCTGATGACTTGATGATTGGCTTATTGTTCACAGGATAAGTTGATTGGTTTACTGTTTTCGTGATGAGTTGATGATTGATTTATCTTTTGCCTTAAGGTTAATGATGTTGGTTGAGTGTTGATTTCCTTGATGGAGTGGGGGGGGCGGTCGGGTAGCCTAGTGGTTAAAGCGTTTGCTCGTCACGCCGAAGACCCGGGTTCGATTCCCGACATGGGTACAATATGTGAAGCCCATTTCTGGTGTCCCCCGCCGTGATATTGCTGGAATAATGCTAAAAGCGGCTTAAAACCATACTCACTCACTCACTCACTTGATGGAGTGCATTGGAACTGCAGTGGCACTGTGGAAGTATGACTACATTTTCTTCTTATACTTTAACACCTCTCTCCTGGATTGATGGCATAACAATCAACATGGACTGTTCCAGGACCTGCCTGACCTAGCGGGCACCTACACCAGACCTGCCCCACAACTACACCAGAACTTTGCCAGAATTGAGCACTCCACTCAAGTAATGAGTACCGTATTTTCTTGAGTATAGTGCGCACCCATGTATAATGCGCATCCCCCTCTAGCAGATTCAGTATTTTTGCAAAAAAAATTTAAATACCAAGAGCAGAAAAAAATTACACCGTACCCCTTCAGCGAAGTCCGGCAAACGAACGGGTGAATTTGAGATAAAAAAATCACCACACATGTTGATTTACCGTTTAAATAGTATTTTTTGTTCTGCTAGGCATTGTTTTATATCCAAGGATTAAGATTACCTTGTGTATTTTCTCGTAAACTAAGCCGGAAACAGCAATCAGCTGTACACACGTTTTCTTGGAATCTACCGGTGATTCGGTCAAGACACACCCAATGATATAAACTTTACAGGATTTTAATTCAAGGATCGGCAAAAATTGTATCTGAAACTATTTTTTTTAATCAGGAATAATATATTGCATTGCAATCCTGTACCTGCATGCTAAAGATCTGAAGTAAATGTAAAGTGACCCCTTATGCATAGGATCCACCATGAAAGCAAGTCATTTGAGGGACATTCACGGCACCCATCCCGTCCCACCCACCATGTTAGAATTGATCCCATCTGATTGTGTGAGGCAACTCTCATACATCGGTTGGTCAAGTGTTCAGATACCATGTCATCATACTCTCAAGGAGTGGATTGTGGTAGAGCGTCCGCCCGGAGAGCGGAAGGTCCAGGGTTCGATCCCGGGCCGCGTCATACAAAAAGACGTTAAAAGATTGTACTTGTTGTTACCCTGTCTGGCGCTTGGCATTAAGGGGCTAAAACAAGGACTGGTCGGCTCGGAGTCAGTATACTGTGTCTGAGTGGGGTATTCATGTTAAACTGCAGCATGGTATCTCAGTGAGCTAGCACTATAAATCGGCATCAGTCCGGACTAGTACAAGCAGCCACACACACACATACACGTGCATGCACGTCGCTATATAAGTGCAATAATCTTGGACGCGACGTTAAACCCAATTTCACCTCACCTCACCTCAAGGAGTGGATCTTTGCTCACAATATCAGTCACTGGTTGTCTGGTCCAGATGTGATTATTTCCAGGTCACTGTCCTATAAGCTGGAATATTGGATGTGTGGCATTACAGACAAACAAACAAACACACACAGAGACACAGACACACACATAGAAAAATTCACACACATAGATACACACAAACAGGGGCGGTCGGGTAGCCTGATGGTTAAAGCGTTCGCTTGTAACACTGAAGACCCGGGTTCGATTCCCGACATGGGTACAATGTGTGAAGCCCATTTCTGGTGTTCCCCACCGTGATATTGCTGGAATATTGCTAAAAGCGGTGTTAAACCTCACTCACTCACACACACTGATGGTACTCTCCCTCATGTTCTCTCGTCCCTTCAATACATGGCAGGTCCCTACACCATTCCACTGACAGACTGGATTCTGGGAACAACAGGTCAACAATATGCAACTAAAGAATTGAAACATTGGTCCAACAATTTGATGACATGTCCTGTTTCCAGATGTTTTTTATGCATTTGGAACACACAAGGGGAAAGGAAAATAGTATATTTAAGATTTGTTGCACTATTTTAAAAGTTCATATTGTAATCAGGGACTGTTTCCCGTCTACCCTACATTATACAGTGAACACTTGTTGGACTGGACCCTGTTAATGTGGACACCTTGCCTGACAGACCACTTTATAATCCAAATTAAATTACCAAGAATGGTAACTGTCCAGATTACCAAGGTTCCATTATATTACAAATGTCCAATGTATCTTCTTTTATTTTGTATGAACAGCCTCTTGTGGTAAGTTGCAGAACATCGTTATCAGAATAATTATCATAATTATCATAAATATCATTGTTTCAACAGCTGTATTGTTTGGGCAAAGCTCGATAAATTACAATTTGCCGGCATACGGCTGAACTATTGCTAAGTGCGGCATTAAACAACAAACAAAACACATAGATACGACTGTTATCGTGTTCAGAACTCCGGTAGCTAGTTAATAAGACATTTGTTATCCGAAGTAACTAGTTAATGAGACATTTGTTATCCTAAGTAACTAGTTAAGGAGACACTTGTTATCCTAAGTAACTAGTTAATGAGACACTTATTATCTTGAGTAACTAGTCAATGAGACACTTGTTATCCTCAGTAACTAGTCAATGAGACACCTGTTATCCTAAGTAACTAGTTAATGAGACACCTGTTATCCTAAGTAACTAGTCAATGAGACACTTGTTATCCTAAGTAACTAGTTAAGGAGACACTTGTTATCCTCAGTAACTAGTCAATGAGACACTTGTTATCCTAAGTAACTAGTTAAGGAGACACTTGTTATCCTAAGTAACTAGTTAATGAGACACCTGTTATCCTAAGTAACTAGTTAAGGAGACACCTGTTATCCTCAGTAACTAGTCAATGAGACACTTGTTATCCTAAGTAACTAGTCAATGAGACACTTGTTATCCTAAGTAACTAGTTAAGGAGACACTTGTTATCCTCAGTAACTTGTTAAGGAGACACCTGTTATCCTAAGTAACTTGTTAATGAGACACTTGTTATCCTAAGTAACTAGTTAATGAGACACTTGTTATCCTAAGTAACTAGTTAATGAGACACTTGTTATCCTAAGTAACTAGTTAATGAGACACTTGTTATCCTAAGTAACTAGTTAATGAGACACTTGTTATCCTAAGTAACTAGTTAATGAGACACCTGTTATCCTAAGTAACTAGTTAATGAGAAACCTGTTATCCTAAGTAACTAGTTAATGAGACACCTGTTATCCTAAGTAACTAGTTAATGAGACACTTGTTATCCTAAGTAACTAGTTAAGGAGACACTTGTTATCCTAAGTAACTTGTTAATGAGACACCTGTTATCCTAAGTAACTTGTTAATGAGACACCTGTTATCCTAAGTATCTAGTTAAGGAGACACTTGTTATCCTGAGTAACTAGTTGATGAGACACTTGTTATCCCCAGTAACTAGTTAATGAGACACCTGTTATCCTAAGTAACTAGTTAAGGAGACACTTGTTATCCTAAGTAACTAGTTAATGAGACACCTGTTATCCTAAGTAACTTGTTAAGGAGACACTTGTTATCCTAAGTAACTTGTTAAGGAGACACTTGTTATCCTAAGTAACTTGTTAATGAGACACTTGTTATCCTTGCCTGTTATCGTCCATTCTGTGACAGCCTTCCTTGTGTTCAGTTACAGAGCAGTGACATTAGATTCCGCCGACCGACTTGTTGGGTAAATTTTGTGTCAATGTTTGTTGTTGGAGATGGGCGAATAATAAGCCATGTTGTGCATGGATCCGTTTGTCATTGCATTTTCAGATGTTAACTAACTGATTCCTTTTGCAGGAACTGCTCCGCTTAGCGTTCCATCTAGCTTCTAAATGATTGGCTTCTAAATGATTGGCTTCAGTTACAGTGATTTAAGATTCAGCTGTTTTTTTTACCTGGTTTACGCATAAAAAGTTATTTGTCAGAACATGTTTCTTTTTATATCTGTTTTCTGTTCACGATGTCTAAAAGACGTTTCGGTCGAGAAATTTCATAAACATTCATGTTGTGACTTTGAACTTTTTTTGTGTGTGTGAACAGTAAAATGATTTGTGTTACTTTTTGTCCGCTGGATCTTGATTGGCTTGTATGATGCACTGTATCTGAAGTCAGCTGCTGTATGTAGCTTGTTTGTCTCCTACGTGCTGGTAGTTCCATAGTTGTTTTCCTCTATAACCGTATCTTATATACATGTAATTGCATTATTAGCCTACTGCTAACCTACTTTCAATTCTTAAGAATTGTCAGCTGTGTAATGCTTTAGTTTAGAAAGGAAATGCAGGAATCTGGAATTGCTCAGTAAGATTGATACCTTGGCATGTCAAGACAGTCACATGTTAAAGTGCAGCGGACTGACTCTTGCCATTTCAGATCTATTCAATTATCTAGAAAATAATTCTTAACTCAAGCTTGGTGTATGATCCAAAGGCTCTGACTATAATAGTGTATACTACTCAAAAGAAGTAGAGGACCACCTGGTGCTTTCATACTACCATATTCGACGTAATAAGCGCCCACGGCAATATTTGCTAATATATTGGCAAGTGAACAATCCCAATTAGCACCCCTTCTGATTGATCAATGTACACAAGACTTATTTATTCATGTATAATACACACTTGTGTTTTATATACACCCTTAATTATGGGCTATTAAATTCTGGAAATATATATCTGTCGTATATAAACAGTTCAAACCGTCAGCATAAACCACAAAATTTATCATTCAACTCGGTTTTTTCCACCAAAATAATATTCTGATAAGAGCCCCCTATTTCTAATTTTGAGAGCGCCCTGGGTGCTTATTACGTCGAATACGGTACTATAGTTAATCTGACATAATTGTGCAATGGCTCACTTTTGCAATTTGTATTTCCCAGTATTTTGATTTGCTTGAGGTGCCTGTGGTATCATCTGATATTTCAATATGATGTTATCTCAAAGTTTGCATTTGGTCGATTTCAACTTTGAGATATTGGAAATCTGAAAGTCACTGCCAATGAGATTCTCTGCATTTCAAATTTGAAACTATCTACTGCTAGCTTTTGTGTCTTGACTTGATTATTTAAAAAAAAATGACACTCAAATTGACCTGCATTGTGACATTAATGTTTTAGTGGTGGAGATTTATTCTTATATATCATATTTTGCTTCTTTTTTTTCTGTTGTTCAACTTGCATAATCAGTTATCTGCTTGTGACATGGAGTCAGCATTACCTAACATTGCTTGTCTTAAAGATAATACATGCATGTGGTTGTCATGGAAACAGTGAACTGCATGTTTTGTTTCATTTTTATAAATTGTACCTTTTCTACAAAAGAACATTGTTAGCATAAAAAATATCCAAATGTTTGTGATTCACTGTTATTTTTATCTTTACAATAAGAACTTCAAAAGGGGCATCTTGTGCCTGAGCCTCATGAGTTGCCATGGTTACTGTTGAGTAAAATGTTGACCAAAGTGTAAGATTCATTGTTTTGATGACAATTTTCGTGGATTCTCTTTGGACATTATAAAATACCATAATCTATGTTAGATAAATGTGTAGTACCTATCACTTGTGTCTATAAGTACATACATTCACTATTCTCAGTTTAGGTCTTTGCTGTTCCTATCTAAATAGTTCCTAACTATCGATGTATAGCCATGCACATAGCTTTCACATGCACTGAATATACATGTTTCTGGAAATGATGAAGGGTTAGTGAAAGCCATTTTGAAGCATGGTTGAACCACTGGTTTCAGATGCTGCAATGTGCTTTGCAGAGTTGCACCCCTTTGCCATACCAGGATCCAATGATCATGGGTTTGAAACCCAGATTTTTATCTTGTTGTAATTCTTGTCTGTCAGTCATTTCTGGTTTCCCCTGCCGTGATATTGCTGGAATATTGCTGGAATATTGCTGGAATATTGCTGGAATATTGCTAAAAGTGGCTTAAACCTAACTCACTCCCTTGTCTGTCGGCACCATACCCAAGTGGTTGATTTTGTCAATTTTCTTTCCCAGGAGGTACTGGAGTACCTTGACAGTGATTCAATCGTACAAGCCATGGTGACAGCATATAGTGACATCAAGGTAAGTTTTCATTATCAAATGTTTAATTATTATTTTTTATTACATATATGTATTGTTCCATTTCATATGAAAGATAAAATTTTCGTCTTTCAGAAAAGATATTACATTCTATAAATGATATTGATTATTTTTATAATGTAGTTTCTATTACCTATTAAGTTTATTGTTTTATCATTTCATCTCCTGGTGTAGGGTGTAAGTACTGAAGTGAAAGTGATCTAATAATGTTGAAAATTCATTTGACTAAAAATATAATCATCTTGGCGTTGCACAGCAAAATTTGAATTTGATTCACTTTGTGATTTGAATGTTTATTGTTTGAAATTTTTGGTGAATTTGTGCTAATATGTCCTTTTTTGGCTGTACTTGGTGCTGGTAGGATTTAGAACTTGTGGTGGTAAGTCTGAGTGAATACTGGCATGATTTCATCATCATGATTGTTAGTTGTGAAGAAAACGTTATCTTGTCCTGACTCTCATTGATCATTGTGTGTATGTTTTTCATCATGTAGGATGCGTCTGCCATGCATGTCAGAGAGGTAAAAAATGTGGAGATTGGTGTATTTAGTTTTGTGTGATGCCATTTTCATTAGGCCAAATAATTTCAATTATTTGTCAGTATTCGAACTTGCGACAAAACAAGACTTGAAAAGCTGTCCAGATGATTTTTAGGTTCATTTCCTATCAAAAACCCTCTTGAAATAATACATACATAATATTTTGTTATTTCCTAGCCTTTGAAATTCACGCTGGTCCCTTAGCCAGAGTCAACTAATTGTGGTGAGGACAAATCAAAATGCAGGGATCTTAGTCCTCACTGACTTGAGGCATTTAGGGGCTATAATTCGGAACCAGTTCTCAATGCTTCAAGTTGGCTGCAAATTGAAACTGAATAAAACTGACAGAAAATGTAAACATAGTAAATGTTTTTTTCTTCTTCAAAATGTTCAAGCAGGACAAGCTGCAATCTCTGAGGACTGGTGAAATATGGTTCACACTCAATCTCATTAAAATCAGATCTTAGTTCTCGCCACCGCTAAACAAAGATCTGAGGACATCCCATTACGGGTCACGTCAGACCGACCTTGCGCGAACTTTGACTGACCAATGGAATGACCAATCAGAAGGCAGCTTTCTCGTGCGTTACGGCACTAATTTCAAATTGGCGACTATGCTTGGAAACATATTTTGACAAATTCTCGATTACAAATTTGAAACCTGAACAAAAGAACATTCTGGAATGGCTAACAGATGGTCTAGATTGTAAGGATTCAGTCGTTAAACCCGTAACTAACGTTCGGAATACCCCGTGTTAAAGTTTTCGAGGATGCATGAGTAGAAATCACATTCCAACTCACTTTCATAATCTGGTAAGCGACACTCTGATTGGTCAGATGATAGGTCGTCCTGACGTGACCCCTAATGGGGTGTCATCAGATCTTTGTTTAGCGGTAGCGAGAACTAAGGTCTGATTTTAATGAGATTGGGTTCACACTAGTCCTCTGAACTAGTTATAAAAAAGATGCCTTTCCAAGACTGATTTCATAAATCATTTACAATGATGAAATTGTATTTTGTTAAAACGAATAATTGCTTATTACTAATTCAGTATGAAGACTTGAAACAATTGAACATACTGAACTGGAACCAACACTGCAGCGTGAGGTTTCAAATGTTAAATTTAGCGTGGTTAAATCTACAGGTGAAATGCTCTACATTGAAAACACAGTCTGTCATATTCATAGTATATCCATTCTACCATGATTAAATAAAACATGAACTCTTTCGTGTCAGCAAATACATTGAGTGAAGCGGCATGGGTTGAGTCTAGAGTTTGAGTGGGTTGTCGATCAGAATTTACTAAATCACGGAGAGTGGTAGAATTACAGATAAACATTCCATATTGTTTGTGACAATGTTTCATCATTCACCCGTGAAGATCCGGGGTAGAATAGGTCTTCAGCAACGCATGCTTGTCTCCCCGTGAAGATCCGGGGTAGAATAGGTCTTCAGCAGCCCATGCTTGTCTCCCCGTGAAGATCCGGGGTAGAATAGGTCTTCAGCAACGCATGCTTGTCTCCCCGCGAAGATCCCGGGTAGAATAGGTCTTCAGCAATGCATGCTTGTCTCCCTGTGAAGATCCGGGGTAGAATAGGTCTTCAGCAACCCATGCTTGTCTCCCCGCGAAGATCCAGGGTAGAATAGGTCTTCAGCAACTCATGCTTGTCTCCCCGCAAAGATCCCGGGTAGAATAGGTCTTCAGCAATGCATGCTTGTCTCCCCGTGAAGATCCGGGGTAGAATAGGTCTTCAGCAACTCATGCTTGTCTCCCTGTGAAGATCTGGGGTGGAATAGGTCTTCAGCAACTCATGCTTGTCTCCCTGTGAAGATCCGGGGTAGAATAGGTCTTCAGCAACTCATGCTTGTCTCCCTGTGAAGATCTGGGGTAGAATAGGTCTTCAGCTACCCATGCTTGTCTCCCCGTGAAGATCCGGGGTAGAATAGGTCTTCAGCAACGCATGCTTGTCACCCTGTGAAGATCCGGGGTAGAATAGGTCTTCAGCAACTCATGCTTGTCTCCCCGTGAAGATCCAGGGTAGAATAGGTCTTCAGCAACCCATGCTTGTCTCCCCGTGAAGATCCGGGGTAGAATAGGTCTTCAGCAACCCATGCTTGTCTCCCCGTGAAGATCCGGGGTAGGATAGGTCTTCAGCAACCCATGCTTGTCTCCCCGTGAAGATCCGGGGTAGAATAGGTCTTCAGCAACGCATGCTTGTCTCCCCGTGAAGATCCGGGGTAGGATAGGTCTTCAGCAACCCATGCTTGTCTCCCCGTGAAGATCCGGGGTAGGATAGGGCTTCAGCAACCCATGCTTGTCTCCCCGTGAAGATCCGGGGTAGGATAGGTCTTCAGCAACCCATGCTTGTCTCCCTGTGAAGATCCAGGGTAGAATAGGTCTTCAGCAACTCATGCTTGTCTCCCTGTGAAGATCCGGGGTAGAATAGGTCTTCAGCAACCATGCTTGTCTCCCTGTGAAGATCCAGGGTAGAATAGGTCTTCAGCAACCATGCTTGTCTCCCTGTGAAGATCCAGGGTAGAATAGGTCTTCAGCAACCATGCTTGTCTCCCTGTGAAGATCCGGGTTAGAATAGGTCTTCAGCAACCATGCTTGTTTCCCTGTGAAGATCCGGGGTAGAATAGGTCTTCAGCAACCATGCTTGTCTCCCTGTGAAGATCCGGGGTAGAATAGGTCTTCAGCAACCATGCTTGCTGTAAAAGGTGACTATGCATGTCGTAAGAGGCGACTAACGGAATCGGGTGGTCAGGCTTGGTTGATGAACATCATCGTATCCCAGTTGCGTGTCTCAATGCACTTGATCAATTACTGGGTTGTCTGGTCCGGATTCGATTATTTACAGACCGCCATCATATAGCTGGAATATTGCTGAATGCGTTGTTAAACAACAAACAAACAAACAAACATCATCACTCACCTGAAGGGGCAAGAAGTGGCCCTGAAACGTCGTCACAACCAATACCGAGTTGTTTTCCATCAGTGTTTCATGTCTTCCAACTTTACGAGTTAGTTTATTTTTTTGACAAAATATGTTTTCATCATGAATGTGTTGTCATGAAATGAACAGAAATTATTTCCGAAAGTATTTCTTTCCACTGCTAGATGCCAATCCAGGAGATGTCAAAAGCATATTTTGACTCCAAATCATGTTGACACTGGAACATTTCTTTCTTATTACAACGATCCAAATGAAAATGGCATGTGTCTAGATATGTGTTTGTCTTATCATTGTGTGTTAATTGTGTTCTGTAGCCTCAGCCCTCATCCTGTTGCGTTCATGTTGTGTTTGTGAATATCATCTCTGTGTATGCCATGATGCTGTCTGTTTTGTCATGGAATGAGTGCTGTTCATGTCATGATCGTCCATGTGTTCCATTATATTAAATAAAGATGAGGTCAGTTAAGTACTTTATTTTTTAGCGAAGCAATATGAGCTACACTAGCAGAGCTACAGATAAGCAGCGTATTTGCGTAAAATACCCCCCAAATATTCAAAACCCAATAACTTTCAATTAACCTGCGTACAGAAATGCATGCATTAAGTGAAAAACTCAAAAGTAGAAAAACAGCTCGCGTAAATACCCATGAAGCTTTTTCAGCATGCGTTCAAAGGAGGTAATTTTCGAAACACAATTATGAACTTCAGTTAACTACCTTTATAATGAACACGCTTATAACGAGCTGACGGATATAATGAACTTACTTTTTTGTCCCGACTATTTGCTGTAGTTATGCTGTATATATGCTTGTAACGAACTACGGTTATAACGAACTAAAATAAGTGGTCCCTTTGAGTTCATTATAACCATAGTTTACTGTAATTTACTTTCTGAGTCAAGCCTATATATTTAGAACTGTTATATATATCTAAAACATTATTTAATTTTTTTTAAGTCTTAAAATGTTCACTAATTTTGGGAAAAACCCAATAGAGTGATGAATAGATGAGTGAAAAAATATTGGTTACCCAATGAAAAATGTAATAACCCAATTAAAATAGAAACACTGGAGTAAAAACTCAATTGCTCAAAAAGTTGTCTGGAGCTCTGGCTAGTAATTTTTTATATCACAATCATGTAATGTTTTTCGTCAAATATATTTATGTGTCAAGATGTTTCTAAATTAAAAAATACCAGTTACGCTGAAGTTTCTTAAAAATCTTGATCATGTAATGTTTTTGTCTCAAATATATTAATTTATCAAATTTAAACTACATATTTTTATCAATGGACACTGCATGACCTTCCCAATGGCCAGCATATCAATACCACGAACTGTATAGCACACCCCCTTGCTGCACTCATGCTGCACTTATGCTGCACTCATGCTGCACTTATGCTGCACTTAACGGTGCACATTGATTCTTACAATTTCCATGCTGCATTTCTGTTAAGGGACTGGTCATTTATAACAGGGAGTGTGGGCCGATGGGATTGGTCATCATATTTTGCCGTGATGACCCCCCCATAATTTATGTAACATTTTTTCATGATTCCCCTCAATATTATAAATGACCAGTCCTTAAATAAATAAATAATGTTAAAATTTATAAAAATATTATTTGAAAAAAAATAGGAACTTTTTTTTATGTCCTGTTGTCCCTCTCTCCCCTTCACATTGTTGTGTTATGTGGCAAATATAGGTTGTACCACAAATAGTCTGTTTTATACACCTGTGCATGCATGGAGTCTTTGGTTGCCTCTAACTCTCATAATCTCTCTCTTGATTGCAATGCTAGATTGCATTGAGCTGTTGAATGTGTTCATTGTGATGAAGAAGGTGGGTGGTGGGGTAGCCTAGTGGTTAAAGCGTTCGCTCATAAGGATGAAGACCACCATGATATTGCTGGAATATTGCTAAAAGCGGTGTAAAACCATACTCACTCATCATAATGAAATGAAGATTTCAGATGATAAAGTTTCATTCATTAATAATATTATAGTAAACTACATTTATAACGAACACGCTTATAACGATTTGATGAATATGACAAACTTATTTTTCAGTCCTGGCCATTTGCTGTATATTTGCTGTATCTATATGCTTATAATGAACTACTGTTATAACGAACTAAAATTAGTGGCTCCTTTGAGTTCGTTATAACCGTACTTTACTGTACTTAAATCGTTTACAATGATGTATGATCTTTATTCAATTGGTTGCCCTGGAGGATATGTGTACATAGGATTTACAAGCTTCAGAGACTTAGGGATAGGCTGAAATTGTCAACTCTATTGTCAGATATTCAGTACTTTTTGAAGGGTTGACAGATATGTTCCAAACATGAGCTACTCCATGTGAAGGTCTCTCAGTGTAAGTCTGCGATGCTCGGGCATCACCTGGCCTGGTCGCAACGTGAGACGATGTAGGCCAGAGTTGGACTGTTTGGGTCTGGGTATTTACCCTTATGATGTTCCAGAAGTTAAACTGGTCCCTGTGTTTGAGATTTGGCCGAAGCAAATGTAGAGGGTTTTTCAGAATATGCCCCACATCGCAGCACATTTTGCGGGGGATGTACCAGTAGAATGGACAATGTCAGACCATCTGTCTGTCCATGCATGATGTCGTTTCCTGAGCAGATCTTGGAAACTGTCACATATTTCTTCAACAAACTTGGCACATAGAAAGGTCTAGTGATGAACTAGTGGCTTTTGATAGTTTGGGATTTTTAAAAAGATCTTTTTTGAGCTTCGATGCCAATTACATATTATTATTATTATTTTTATTATTATTATTATCATTTAGAGAACACCTGAGTCTACTCAGCTAGCCAACCTGTTGAGTGATGTCGGCTTTGCTTACTACCACATCCTGTGTCGCAAGATGGATCTTCACGAGGAGATCACTAAACCCAGTAAGTCAGTGTCATGTCTCACCGCCCTGTCACCTGCTTCATTGCTTCTGTGATGGCCGCATTCTGTGAGTTGTGTATTCTGTGAGTGGTGTATTCTGTGAGGGGTGTATTCCGTGAAGGGTGTATTCTGTGAGGGGTGTATTCTGTGAGTGGTGTATTCTGTGAGTGCTGTATTCTGTGAGGGGTGTATTCCGTGAGTGGTTTATTCTGTGAGAGGTGTATTCTGTGAGTGGTGTATTCTGTGAGAGGTGTAATCTGTGAGAGGTGTATTCTGTGAGTGGTGTATTCTGTGAGTGGTGTATTCTGTGAGTGGTGTATTCTGTGAGTGGTGTATTCTGTGAGAGGTGTATTCTGTGAGGGGTGTATTCTGTGAGGGGTGTATTCTGTGAGTGGTTTATTCTGTGAGTGGTGTATTCTGTGAGGGGTGTATTCTGTGAGGGGTGTATTCTGTCAGTGGTGTATTCTGTGATGACTGTATTCTGTGAGTGGTGTATTCTGTGAGTGGTGTATTCTGTGAGGGGTGTATTCTGTGAGTGGTGTATTCTGTGATAACTGTATTCTGTGAGTGGTGTATTCTGTGAGTGGTGTATTCTGTGAGGGGTGTATTCTGTGAGTGGCGTATTCTGTGAGGGGTGTATTCTGTGAGTGGTGTATTCCGTGAGTGGTGTATTCTGTGAGTGGTGTATTCTGTGAGAGGTATATTCTCTGAGTGGTGTATTCTGTGAGTGGTGTATTCTGTGAGGGGTGTATTCTGTGAGTGGCGTATTCTGTGAGGGGTGTATTCTATGAGTGGTGTATTCTGTGAGTGGTGTATTCTGTGGGGGGTGTATTCTGTGAAGGGTGTATTCTGTGAGGGGTGTATTCTGTGAGGGGTGTATTCTGTGAAGGATGTATCCTATGAGTGGTGTATTCTGTGAGGGGTGTATTCTGTGAAAGGTGTATTCTGTGAGTGGTGTATCCTGTGAGTGGTGTATTCTGTGAGTGGTGTATTCTGTGAAGGGTGTATTCTGTGAGGGGTGTATTCTGTGAGGGGTGTATTCTGTGAAGGATGTATCCTATGAGTGGTGTATTCTGTGAGGGTTGTATTCTGTGAAGGGTGTATTCTGTGAAGGGTGTATTCTGTGAGGGGTGTATTCTGTGAGGGGTGTATTCTGTGAGGGGTGTATTCTAGGAAGGGTGTATCCTGTGAGTGGTGTATTCTGTGAGTGGTGTATTCTGTGAGGGGTGTATTCTGTGAAGGATGTATCCTATGAGTGGTGTATTCTGTGAGGGGTGTATTCTGTGAGGGGTGTATTCTGTGAAGGGTGTATTCTGTGAGGGGTGTATTCTGTGAAGGATGTATCCTATGAGTGGTGTATTCTGTGAAGGGTTTATTCTGTGAAGGGTGTATTCTAGGAAGGGTGTATCCTGTGAGTGGTGTATTCTGTGAGGGGTGTATTCTGTGAAGGATGTATTCTGTGAAGGGTGTATTCTATGAAGGATGTATTCTGTGAAGGATGTATTCTGTGAAGGGCGTATTCTGTGAGTGATTTATTCTGTGAGGGATGTATTCTGTGAAGGATGTATCCTGTGAGTGGTGTATTCTGTGAGGGGTGTATTCTGTGAAGGGTGTATTCTGTGGAGGGTGTATTCTGTGAGGGGTGTATTCTGTGAGGGGTGTATTCTGTGAAGGGTGTATTCTAGGAAGGGTGTATTCTGTGAAGGATGTATTCTGTGAAGGGTGTATTCTGTGAAGGATGTATTCTGTGAAGGGTGTATTCTGTGAGGGGCGTATTCTGTGAGTGATTTATTCTGTGAGGGATGTATTCTGTGAAGGGTGTATTCTTTGAGGGGTGTATTCTGTGAAGGATGTATTCTGTGAAGGGTGTATTCTGTGAAGGATGTATTCTGTGAAGGATGTATTCTGTGAGGGATGTATTCTGTGAAGGATGTATTCTATGAGGGGTGTATTCTGTGAGTGGTGTATTCTGTGAGGGGTGTATTCTGTGAAGGATGTATTCTGTGAGGGGTGCATTCTGTGAGGGGTGTATTCTGTGAGGGGTGTATTCTGTGAGGGGTGTATTCTGTGAGTGGTGTATTCTGTGAGGGGTGTAATCTGTGAGTGGTGTATTCTGTGAGTGGTGTTTTCTGTGAAGGGTGTATTCTGTGAGTGGTGCATTCTGTGAGTGGTGTATTCTGTGAGTGGTGTATTCTGTGTAGGGTGTATTCTGAGGGGTGTATTCTGTGAGGGATATATTCTGTGAGGGGTGTATTCTGTGAGGGATGTATTCTGTGTAGGGTGTATTCTGTGAGGGGTGTATTCTGTGAGTGGTGTATTCTGTGAGTGGTGTATTCTGTGAAGGGTGTATTCTGTGAGTGGTGTATTCTGTGAGTGGCGTATTCTGTGAAGGGTGTATTCTGTGAGTGGTGTATTCTGTGAGTGGTGTATTCTGTGAGGGGTGTATTCTGTGAGGGGTGTATTCTGTGAGAGGTGTATTCTGTGAGTGGTGTATTCTGTGAGGGGTGTATTCTGTGAGAGGTGTATTCTGTGAGAGGTGCATTCTGTGAGTGGTGTATTCTGTGAGTGGTGTATTCTGTGAGGGGTTTATTCTGTGAGGGGTGTATTCTGTGAGAGGTGTATTCTGTGAGTGGTGTATTCTGTGAGTGGCGTATTCTGTGAGGGGTGTATTCTGTGAGTGGTGTATTCTGTGAGGGGTGTATTCTGTGAGTGGTGTATTCTGTGAGGGGTGTATTCTGTGTAGGGTGTATTCTGTGAGGGGTGTATTCTGTTAGGGATGTATTCTGTGGGGGGTGTATTCTGTGAGGGGTGTATTCTGTGAGTGGTGTATTCCGTGAGTGGTGTATTCTGTGAGGGGTGTATTCCGTGAGGGATGTATTCTGTGAGTGGTGTATTCTGTGAGTGGTGTATTCTGTGAGTGGTGTATTCTGTGAGAGATGTATTCTGTGAGGGGTCTATTCTGTGAAGGGTGTATTCTGTGAGTGGTGTATTCTGTGAGGGGTGTATTCTGTGAGGGGTGTATTCTGTGAGAGATGTATTCTGTGAGGGGTGTATTCTGTGGGGGGTGTTTTCTGTGAGTGGTGTTTTCTGTGAGTGGTGTATTCTGTGAGGGGTGTATTCTGTTGCATCAGTCACCCCTTGACCACTGTGTCTGTACCCATCCCGACAAGTCCATGTGTTTGGTTGCAGTGCTGATCAAGACGCCAGAGAGTGAGATTGCATGGGCGTACTTCTTTGGCAACACACTCTCAATTGAGGTCCTCAAGAATGACATCCTTCAGAAGATCTATTTCCGGGTAAAAGACAAGGTAAGCAGTCACTTCAAGATTTATAACTATGATTGCTTGTTTGTTTGTTATTTAAACACTGCATTCAGCGATATTCCAGCTGTGGTCTGTAGATAATCAAATCTGGACTGGACAATCCAGTGATTGACATCATGAGCATCGATCTACACAATCAGGATATGATGACATGCATCAAGCAAGTCAGTGAACCCTGGGTGGTCAGGCTTCCGAACTTGTGTTAAACAAGTTTCGTTTGTTTGATGTTTAACGCCGCACTCAGCAATATTCCAGCTATATAACGGCAGTCTGTAAAATAATTGAGTCTGGACCAGACAATCCAGTGATTGACATCATGAGCATTTTAGATATGATGACATGCATCAACCAAGTCAATAAGCCTGACCACCCAATCCCGTTAGTCACCTTTTACAGCAAGTATGGGTTGCTGAAGACCTATTCTACCCCAGAATCTTCACGGGTTTGTTAAACAAGAAACATCAAAAGGGCAAGCCAGGGATAGAAAAGTGCTGTCTTCAAGTTGTATCACAGGGCACTCATTACGATACTGGGGGTCGGGGTATCACTCGTCATGCCGAATACCAGGGTTTGATTCGCCACATGGGTACAATGTGTGAAGCCCATTTCTGGTGTCCCCCGCTGTGATATTAGTGGAATATTGCTAAAAGCGGCATAAAACCATACTCACTGACTGACTGACTCACTCACAATGATACTTAGATGTGCCGTTTGGACGCTTCTAACAATGGCACTGACAAGAACTCATAAAGATGTTTAAAGCGGCTCGTTGAAATTTAGGTTTTCCAACAAAAACAATACCAGACTGACATTTAGTCCCAGAAATAAAGTTATTTAAAAATATAGATCTACCAAAAAATAAATAATTAAAATCCAAATGGAGCCCAGAACAAACTAAATTTCAGGCTGGGGCAATCTAGACTTGCCAAATCATTTTTTTCTCTAGCGTCTGGGAGATTGAGTAGAACAATACCATTGTTCCATCTATGCACTTGGCTAGCTTTGCCCCATTCATGACCAACTCGTGTTATTCTGGGACAAGCCAAATAGCGACTCGTGCCCTGCTCATGGCAATTTTTGCGCAAATGGGCATACCTAAAACAATTGTCAACTCGTTGCGTAAAAGTTCACTTATATTTCCCCATATATTACATATATTTCAGGGCTACATCGGGACATGCGGATTTATACAGTATGATTGAACACATTTTACTGTATCTTTGGTATATTTTTAGATGCAAGACATATGTAAAATCAAAAATTATTCTGAAGGATTCTTTGACGAAGAACTTGAAATCATACGCGCATTCTGATTGGTTTGTCGTATTTTCGCACATAACATTCATCGACAGGGGTCTTCTTGCAGGTTACGGAAGGGGCGAGTGGTTACAAATGGCTTTGCCCCTTCTTTGCAATGATTGACAGTACCCTTGTCTGTTTCCATTGTCTCCTGATTTTATCTGCTGCCTCGACAAATATACATGAATACTTGCCATTGTCTCCTGATTTTATCTGCTGCCTTGACAAATATACATGAATACTTGCCATTGTCTCCTGATTTTATCTGCTGACTCGACAAATATACATGAATACTTGCCATTGTCTCCTGATTTTATTTGCTGACTAGACAAATATACATGAATACTTGCCATTGTCTCCTGATTTTATTTGCTGACTAGACAAATATACATGAATTCTTGCCATTGTCCCCTGATTTTATTTGCTGACTAGACAAATATACATGAATACTTGCCATTGTCTCCTGATTTTATCTGCTGACTCGACAAATATACATGAATACTTGCCATTGTCTCCTGATTTTATTTGCTGACTAGACAAATATACATGAATACTTGCCATTGTCTCCTGATTTTATTTGCTGACTAGACAAATATACATGAATACTTGCCATTGTCTCCTGATTTTATCTGCTGCCTCGGTTTGTCGTATTTTCGCACATAACATTCATAGACAGGGGGACAAGTCTTCTTGCAGGTTACGGAAAGGGGGGAGTGGTGACGAATGGCTTTGCCCCTTCTTTGCAATGATTGACAGTACCCTCGTCTGTTTCCGTCTACCCAGGATTACTTTGTGAATACTATGTTTCTTCGTTCCTTTTCCATGTGTTTCTCCAGTTTACGAGTGTATGATCACTGCAAAGGTTGTGACCCCAGCTTTTTCTTCTGACTAGTCATAGTGACTATACCTCTATGACATTGGAGGCACGGGTGGCCCAGTCGTCTAAGGCGCCGAGATTTGCTGTGCGGAGTTGTGTCCCCTGGGCATGCCAGAAACCTATGATTGTGGGTTCGAATCCTGGTTTGCCCTGATTATGTTTCTAGTTTTGTCAGCATCATACCCGTGCTCGTGGGTTTCACCGAAGTGGTAAACGTCTGAGACCTGCATCACTTCGGGCTTTCCTCCCATATTAAGCTGACACGCCGTGATATAACTGGAATAATGTTAAAAGCGGCATTAAACCCAACTCACTCACTCACTCACACCCCGTGACATCAAGTCAACGTCCGCAACAAAAGATTTAGTGCTTCTTTTTGTATGTGAGGAGGCTTAGAACGTACCAATCAACCTTCATATTTTTATCACTGGCTTCATATAATTAACATTGATGCTAAAAAAATGTTTCATAAGTGTGCCCTTTGGGTACCAGGAACAAATGTGAACCAAGCCATTATGACTTTCACTGTGTATTAGCACTGATTTCACGATGTCCTGAAGTATTTCTTGTAAACGTTTTGTTTTCTATTTACACACCATTTTTCCATGTCCAGAACGTTCTCCGTGAAGAGATCAAGGAAAAGTTCAAGTACGAGGTGGACAGAACGTCGCCAAGCAACAAGCTGCGAGACTTCATGGACTGGTCGCAGGACATTATTTCGGACATCAAGTATCAGCGGAAGGTTCACGCAAACCCACTGGCCCGGTTCTTTGTCAAGTGCTGGTCAGTAATACTTGCAATTGTCTCATTGAATATGCTGATTCAACAAATACACATGAATACTTGCCATTGTCTCATTGAATATGCTGACTTAACAAATACTTATGAATACTTGCCTTTGTCTCATTGAATATGCTGACTCAACAAACACACATGAATACTTACCATTGTCTCAGTATTGTATCTGCTGACTTATCAAATACTTATGAATACTTGCCATTGTCTCATTATGTATCTGCTGACTTAACAAATACTTATGAATACTTGCCATTGTCTCATTGAAAATGCTGACTCAACAAACACACATGAATACTTGCCATTGTCTCAGTATTGTATCTGCTGACTTAACAAATACTTATGAATACTTGCCATTGTCTCATTATGTATCTGCTGACTTAACAAATACTTATGAATACTTGCCATTGTCTCATTGAAAATGCTGACTCAACAAACACACATGAATACTTGCCATTGTCTCAGTATTGTATCTGCTGACTTAACAAATACTTATGAATACTTGCCATTGTCTCATTATGTATCTGCTGACTTAACAAATACTTATGAATACTTGCCATTGTCTCATTGAAAATGCTGACTCAACAAACACACATGAATACATGCCATTGTCTCAGTATTGTATCTGCTGACTAAACAAATACATATGAATACTTGCCATTGTCTCATTGAATATGCTGACCCAACAAACACACATGAATACATGCCATTGTCTCAGTATTGTATCTGCTGACTAAACAAATACATATGAATACTTGCCATTGTCTCATTGAATATGCTGACTCAACAAACACATGAATACATGCCATTGTCTCAGTATTGTATCTGCTGACTAAACAAATACATATGAATACTTGCCATTGTCTCATTGAATATGCTGACTCAACAAACACACATGACTACTTACCATTGTTTCCTGTTTTATCTGCTGACTCAACAGATACACATGAATACTTGCCATTGACTCCTGATTTTATCTGCTGACTCAACAGATACACATGAATACTTGCCATTGACTCCTGATTTTATCTGCTGACTCAACAGATACACATGAATACTTGCCATTGTCTCCTGATTTTATCTGCTGACTTGACAAATATACATGAATACTTGCCATTGTGACACAATTCAGATTTTTGCACTCTCTGTAAATACTTATGTAATATTTTCTACCAACCTTACAATATGTACCTTGCACCTTCCAGGCCGTGGGTGAACATCCTGGTGATGATCGTGACTGTTGCGATCGCCTTCCTCGTCATGGTCACCTGGCAGGAGAACGCTCTCCAGGCCTCAGAGTAAGTGATAACACCCAATCTCATTCAAATCAGATCTTAGTTCTCGCTATCGCTAAACCAAGATCTGAGGACATCCCATTACGGGTCAGGTCAGACCGACCTGTAAGTTCAGCCATGAACTATGAACTTGTTGACATCTTCCTGTTAATATTGACGCATCTATGTATGATCACCGTGATGGAAGTACTTGTTCAACTGATGTGATTGCTTCGCTTCCAGTCCAGTTCCCTACTTGAACAACTGGCCCGGCGCCTACTACATGACCTTCGTTCTCGGCGGCATCCACAACATCCTCTCCCTCATGATCGTCGTCAGCTACTTCCTCTCCAACCACCCAACCTTCCCCGGGATCAAGGACATCAAGAACCTGTTGAAGTAGGTTGAGAACTCACCATGTGCTCAACTGAAAACAATTTCAGCAATGAAGGAGCGGAAAGCCATGTATGAGAGGAGAGTGATGTATGAGAGGCAAGCGATGTGATAGGAAAGCGATGAAAGTTAGGAAAGTGATGTATAAGAGAAGAGTGATGTATTAGAGGAAAGCGATGTATGAGAGGAGAGTGATGTATGAGAGGAAAGCGATGTATTAGAGGAAAGCGATGTATGAGAGGAGAGTGATGTATGAGAGGAGAGTGATGTATGAGAGGAAAGCGATGTATAAGAGGAAAGTGATGTATGAGAGGAAAGTGATGTATGAGAGGAAAGTAAAGTATGAGAGGAGAGTGATGTATGAGAGGAGAGTGATGTATGAGAGGAAAGCGATGTATAAGAGGAAAGTGATGTATGATAGGAAAGTGATGTATGATAGGAAAGTGATGTATTAGAGGAAAGTGATGTATAAGAGGAGAGTGATGTATGATAGGAAAGTGATGTATTAGAGGAGAGTGATGTATAAGAGGAGAGTGATGTATGATAGGAAAGAGATGTATGAGAGGAAAGCAATGTATTAGAGGAGAGTGATGTATTAGAGGAGAGTGATGTATTAGGGGAAAGTGATGTATTAGGGGAAAGTGATGTATTAGAGGAAAGTGATGTATAAGAGGAGAGTGATGTATGATAGGAAAGTGATGTATGATAGGAAAGTGATGTATTAGAGGAGAGTGATGTATTAGAGGAGAGTGATGTATGAGAGGAGAGTGATGTATGAGGGGAAAGTGATGTATTAGAGGAAAGTGATGTATTAGAGGAGAGTGATGTATGAGAGGAGAGTGATGTATGAGAGGAGAGTGATGTATGATAGGAAAAGGATGTATCAGAGGAAAGTGATGTATGAGAGGAGAGTGATGTATTAGAGGAGAGTGATGTATGAGAGGAGAGTGATGTATGAGAGGAGAGTGATGTATTAGAGGAGAGTGATGTATGAGAGGAGAGTGATGTATTAGAGGAGAGTGATGTATAAGAGGAGAGTGATGTATTAGAGGAGAGTGATGTATAAGAGGAGAGTGATGTATGAGAGGAGAGTGATGTATGAGAGGAGAGTGATGTATTAGAGGAGAGTGATGTATGAGAGGAGAGTGATGTATAAGAGGAGAGTGATGTATGATAGGAAAGTGATGTATGAGAGGAAAGTGATGTATGAGAGGAGAGTGATGTATGAGAGGAAAGTGATGTATGAGAGGAGAGTGATGTATTAGAGGAAAGTGATGTATTAGAGGAAAGTGATGTATGAGAGGAGAGTGATGTATAAGAGGAGAGTGATGTATTAGAGGAGAGTGATGTATGAGAGGAGAGTGATGTATTAGAGGAGAGTGATGTATTAGAGGAGAGTGATGTATGAGAGGAGAGTGATGTATGAGAGGAGAGTGATGTATGATAGGAGAGTGATGTATTAGAGGAGAGTGATGTATGAGAGGAGAGTGATGTATGAGAGGAGAGTGATGTATTAGAGGAGAGTGATGTATGAGAGGAGAGTGATGTATGAGAGGAGAGTGATGTATGAGAGGAGAGTGATGTATGAGAGGAGAGTGATGTATGAGAGGAGAGTGATGTATTAGAGGAGAGTGATGTATGAGAGGAGAGTGATGTATGAGAGGAGAGTGATGTATGATAGGAAAGTGATGTATGAGAGGAAAGTGATGTATGAGAGGAGAGTGATGTATGAGAGGAAAGTGATGTATTAGAGGAGAGTGATGTATGAGAGGAGAGTGATGTATGAGAGGAGAGTGATGTATGATAGGAAAGTGATGTATGAGAGGAAAGTGATGTATGAGAGGAGAGTGATGTATGAGAGGAAAGTGATGTATAAGAGGAGAGTGATGTATGAGAGGAGAGTGATGTATGAGAGGAGAGTGATGTATGAGAGGAAAGTGATGTATTAGAGGAAAGTGATGTATTAGAGGAAAGTGATGTATGAGAGGAGAGTGATGTATGAGAGGAGAGTGATGTATTAGAGGAGAGTGATGTATGAGAGGAGAGTGATGTATGAGAGGAAAGTGATGTAATAGAGGAAAGTGATGTATTAGAGGAATGCAATGTATATTAGGTAAGTGATGTATTAGAGGAATGCAATGTATGATAGGAAAGTGATGTATTAGAGGAATGCAATATATTAGAGGAAGGTGATGTATGAGAAGAGAGCAATGTATTAGAGGATAGTGAGGTGAGGTGAGGTGAGGTGAAATGGGGTTTAATGTCGCGTCCAAGATTATTGCACTTGTATAGTGACTTGCATGTACGTGTGTGTTTGTGTGGCTGCTTGTACTAGTCCGGACTGATGCCGATTTATAGTGCTAGCTCACTGAGATACCATGCCGCAGTTTAACATGAATACCCCACTCAGACACAATATACTGACTCCGAGCCGACCAGTCCTTGTTTTAGCCCCGAAATGCTGAGTGCCAGACAGGGTAACAACAAGTACCATCTTTTAACATCTTTTGGTATGACGCGACTGGGGATCAAACCCCGGACCTTCCGCTCTCTGGGCGGATGCTCTACCACTGGACCACGGAGGCGGTCTAGAGGAAAGTGATGTATTAGAGGAAAGTGATGTATCATAGGAAAGTGATGTATTAGAGGAAAGTCATGTATTTAAGGAAAGTCATGTATGAGAGGAAAGTGATGTATAAGAGGAAAGTGATGTATAAGATGAAAGTGATGTATTAGAGGAAAGAGATGTATTAGAAGAGGAGAGTGATGTACTATTGATGCTACTGAGATGACACGTGTGAGTGTTGTTCTGTTGCCAGGCGAATCACACCACAGCGACTCCATGCGAAGGTCGAACACGATGAGGAGGAACAGAAGGGCGGCCATCTTGAAGTGAAGTTCTTCGGCTTCCTCACTTTCTACTACATTGTAAGTGTGCGCAACTTTGACCTGCCTGGTTCCACAAGGTGATAGTAGTATTACAGCTGTTGTAAATGACTGGTAGAGTATCTCAGTTGTCAGATCATTATGAATTAGGTCAAGGTCATGGGTTCAATGGCTGTGTTATTAATGCAGGGGCCCTGCGTGAAGATGGACATGGGGCGTTGCTATGGAGCCCATGGGGACCTGGGGACAGAGGAGGTAGCTCCCCAGCAATTTAATGCTTGTCGGAATCGGTGGCCAAATGGATTGGGTGGTCAGGCACAGTAGCCAGACAGCCGTGGTGATATGATTTTAGATTCACGGCTAATTCTTGGACTAATACAAGAGCCAGCAATGGTTAAAGGTTCCACATTTTTCATCAAAGTATTGAGTTCACACTGTAGTATTTAGTATTACAGTATGAGTATTATGGTATCAGGATTCTAGTATGACATTAAGTTTATCATATACCTATCAACGATATGAGGCATTTGCATGTTCGATAGCGCCAACATAGAGACGGTCTTCCGTCAGTTCACAGTATTCTGGTATCTCAGAATTCTAATATAAGTATTACAGTATCAGTGTTCCAGTATATTAAAGTTTTCTAGTTTCAGTATTCAAGTATATTAAAGTATTTCAGTTTCAGTATTGCAGTATTAGTTTTCTAGTTTCGGTATTCCAGTATTTGTATTCTAGTGCCAGTACACAAGTATTCAAATATTAGTATTCTAGTGTCAGTATTCCAGTATTAGTATTCTAGTATCAGTATTCCAGTATTGGTTTTCTAGTGCCAGTATTCCAGTATAAACATTCTAGTGTCAGTATTCCAGTATAAGTATTCTAGTGTCAGTATTCCAGTATTAGTTTTCTAGTGTCAGTATTCCAGTATAAGTATTCTAGTGTCAGTATTCCAGTATAGTATTCTAGTGTCAGTATTCCAGTATAAGTATTCTAGTGTCAGTATTCCAGTATAAGTATTCTAGTGTCAGTATTCCAGTATTAGTTTTCTAGTGTCAGTATTCCAGTATAAGTATTCTAGTGTCAGTATTCCAGTATAAGTATTCTAGTGTCAGTATTCCAGTATTAGTTTTCTAGTGTCAGTATTCCAGTATAAGTATTCTAGTGTCAGTATTCCAGTATAGTATTCTAGTGTCAGTATTCCAGTATTAGTTTTCTAGTGTCAGTATTCCAGTATAGTTTTCTAGTGTCAGTATTCCAGTATAAGTATTCTAGTGTCAGTATTCCAGTATAGTATTCTAGTGTCAGTATTCCAGTATTAGTTTTCTAGTGTCAGTATTCCAGTATAGTATTCTAGTGTCAGTATTCCAGTATAGTATTCTAGAGTCAGTATTCCAGTATTAGTTTTCTAGTGTCAGTATTCCAGTATAAACATTCTAGTGTCAGTATTCCAGTATAAACATTCTAGTGTCAGTACTCCAGTATTAGTATTCTAGAGTCAGTATTCCAGTATAAGTTTTCTAGTGTCAGTATTCCAGTATAAACATTCTAGTGTCAGTATTCCAGTATAGTATTCTAGTGTCAGTATTCCAGTAAAAGTATTCTAGTGTCAGTATTCTAGTATCAGTATTCCAGTATTAGTATTCTAGTGTCAGTATTCCAGTATTAGTATTCTAGTGTCAGTATTCCAGTATTAGTATTCTAGTGTCAGTATTCCAGTATAAGTATTATAGTGTCAGTATTCCAGTATTAGTATTCTAGTGTCAGTATTCCAGTATAGGTATTCTAGTGTCAGTATTCCAGTATAAGTATTCTAGTGTCAGTATTCCAGTATTAGTATTCTAGTGTCAGTATTCCAGTATTCTAGTGTCAGTATTCCAGTAATCTAGTGTCAGTATTCCAGTATTAGTATTCTAGTGTCAGTATTCCAGTATTGGTATTCTAGTGTCAGTATTCCAGTATTCTAGTGTCAGTATTCCAGTATTAGTATTCTAGTGTCAGTATTCCAGTATAAGTATTCTAGTATTAGTATTCCAGTGTTAGTATTCTAGTGTCAGTATTCCAGTATAAACATTCTAGTGTCAGTATTCCAGTATAAGTATTCTAGTGTCAGTATTCCAGTATAAGTATTCTAGTGTCAGTATTCTAGTATCAGTATTCCAGTATTAGTATTCTAGTGTCAGTATTCCAGTATTCTAGTAACGGTATCCCAGTATTCAGCATGTCTCCCCTGTTCCAGTGCTTCCTGGGGTTCTCGGTGAGCGGCACCGCCCTGTACGGCTACTTCTTCTCCGTGCACCTGCTCCACATGGCGATGCTCAACCAGCTGCTGAAGCGGGTCATCCAGGCAGTAACACGCAACGGTCAGCCATACGTCACACACGTCACACACGTCACACACGTCACACAGATCACACACGTCACGCACGTCACACAGATCACACACGTCACACACATCACACACCATCACACACGTCACACACACATCACACAAACGTCACACTTCAAACACGTCACACACGTCACACAACATCACACACGTCACACAACATCACACACATCACACACTTCAAACACGTCACACTTCACACACATCACACATAACCCACATCACACACACGTCACACACACATCACACGTCACACATCACACATGTCACACACATCACACACATCACATGTCACACATCACACAAACATCACACACGTCACACACATCACACACACATCATACGTCACACACATCACACATCACACACAACACACGTCACACACATCACACATATCACACACGTCACACACGTCACACACGTCACACACATCACACACGTCACACCTGCTTTGTTGAGTCAAATCAGACAGTCACAGGCTTTTTTATGATGACTTGCCTTACAACTGTTAAATAAGTGGTTGGCATTGGCGTTGTTTTATGTAGAGACTTTAATCTTGAAATTAGCATTTTTTCATACATTGGGATAAGCCAGAGACTGTGACTGAATGCCCGTTCAAGAATTTCCTTGCTGTGACCCATCCTAGTGTAATCAAAACAAAGAAATACACATCCAAATAAATTTGACACATCTTTTTTGATCAGTGTAAACAGTTTGGCCCTCACTCTATGAAGGTTCATACTCCAATGAAATAACACTAAGAGAACTTATAAACCTACTGGCTTTTTTGTGTAACTCGATATGGAGTTTTTGAAATTGTGGTAACACCTCGCAGGAGGCATAACAACAATTGTAACACCTCGCAGGAGGGCTTACAATCATTGTTAACCCTTGATAGAACAAAAACTACGAACAGCCTACAAGACGCACATGCAGATTTTCGTGCCATTGCGAGACGCACGTGCAGATTTCGCACCTTTGCGAAACCCACGTGCTGAGGTCACCGGTTTCATTAAACCGAGTTCACGACTGCAGGCGATATTTCATCTCCGATACAGGTACTCGTACATTTGAGAGTTTTTATTACAGCTATTTAATTCAAAACGTTGTCTATGTGATGAGTCGGTTTATAAGTTAAACAAACCATTTCTCCTCGGGATTACCAGCGATTGTACGGCCCCCTCAGTATGTCACCTCATGTCCGGGATTATAGTCGCTGGTAATCCCTTATAGAAATGGTTTCTCCTATACGTAAATTCTTACATAAATGCAGAAATCTTGAATGCCCCACGAAACCCAAACTCACCTGTTCTTCTGTTACAACAGGTTGGTCGCTGGTGCTGGTGGCACTGCTCGGATTAGCCATCATGTACATCTTCTCCTTGATCAGCTTCGCTTTCTACAGGGAAGTCCTCACCGCAGCCGACGGACGTCACTGCCGCACCATCTACGAGTGCATCACCACCATGATTCACCATGGTCTCATTGAAGGACTGTACAATGTAAGTGATGGACCATGCTGAGGTTGAGTGGTGCACAGCGCTGAATTTGTTTAGAGAGTTATGTCCCCTTAGCTGTTAGGATCTGCTGTCAAGGGTTGAATCCCATATTAATTAGTCCAAGGGTGGATGTAAAACTTTAAAAGGGGAGACACATACATGGTCTTAACATGGGGTGGTTTGGGGTGTTGTCCAGACTGAGATGAGTGAGTGTAATGACTTGTTAGTGTCAGAGAGTAGGTTAATGTAAAGTCAATATGCTGCTAAGAGTTGCCTCCCTTAGTTACAATGATTATATCTTTTTTCCCCCTCCCATCCCCCCCGTCCCCAAAGGGAGGAGTGACATAATGTCTTTTGGCTCGGTTCCCATTGGCATTGGTGTTGGTGTTCCTATCTTAGTCCGAGCCATAACTTGAAGACCGTTCTATGTTTTTAATGAAACTTGGCATAGCCATTGCTCATCAGCTTAACTGGTGCCATTTACTATTTTGAAATTTATTAAGTGTTTTTTTTATGTTTCAGTTGAAACAATTTCAACTAAGTCTCAAATGAGCGTAGGGTTTGTTTCCAGGCCATAACTAGAAAACGTTTCTTCATATTTCCGCGAAACTTGGCCTATGCATTGTTCATTAACTTACCTGGTGCCATTTGCTATTTTAATTTTTTTTATCTTGTTATGTTTCCATGGAAACAATTTGGACTTAATCTCAAACAACCAAGCCATAGATCTCAAACTAATGAATATTTTTGCATGAAACTATGCAGGTGCAATGATCAGATGCTCAACTATTGCCTTTTTATATTTTTGAAAGTTTTAATTGTTTCAATTTCTATTGTTTCCATGGAAACAATTTGTAAATTCTTAAGAGTCTTTCTACCTACATAAAGCTTCTGATGATTCATTATGGGTAAATCTACTTGCACAATACAATCTATCATCCAAACTGCTGTAACAAGCTCAATAGTCTTATCAGTGCCATAAAGAGTCAGCATGACATCGACTGTCATGCTGCTTCAATAATTCATTAATCAGAATCTGTACTAGTATTGTTTTGCTATTATTGTTTTTCGGATTTGCAAACGCATTTATTTATGAGTAAGAAAACATTGTAGTTTCTGTGGGGTTTTGTTTGCCCTGAAGGGGGCTCGGGTGGCCCAGTCGTCTAAGGCGCCGCGATTTGCTGTGCAGAGTTGCATCCCTTGGGCGCGCCAGAGACCTATGATTGGGGGTTCGATTATGTTTCTAGGTTTGTCATCACCATACCCGTGCTCGTGGGTTTCACCGAAGTGGTAAACGTCTGAGACCTGCATCACTTCGGGCTTTCCTCCCACATTATGCTGACACACCGCGATATAACTGTAATACTGTTAAAAGCGGCGTTAAACCCAACTCACTCACTCACTCACTCACTCACTCACTCACTCACTCACTCACTCACTCACTCACTCACTCACTCACTCACTCACTCACTCACTCACTCACTCACTCACTCATGTCCCGCCAGGTGATGGAGCCTTCCTTGGCTGGAAAGTCATACGAGTTTCATCTGGGTGTGACTGTGTTTGACACAGTCTTCTTCATCATCATCACCACCATCGGCCTCAACATCATCTTCGGTATCATCGTGGACACGTTCTCCGAGCTTAGAGACAATAAGGTAACTGTTTTATCATCTCTACAAGACCATTATAAACATCTGTCCTAACTATCAGTATGCATTGGGAAATGTTGAATTTCAATTTGGGAAATTTTTACTGACAATTGCTTCTGAATTGGGGCCAAATATCGGCCTCTAATCAGTGCAGATAAATCTCTGAATGAAGTACTTATCCTTGGCCGAGAATATTTTGAGTTCATGAAATTCAAGCGGACAAGGTTTCACAGTTGATTAATGTTTGTTAATCAGGATAATATGATTAGAAGACGAGCGGTCTGGATCGAGTGTTCAGACTTGCTGACTTGGTTCGTATCCCAATTTGCGATTGGTGCTCGGGATGTTAATCTGATTATCTGATTCAGATTTGAATATTTATGATCTGTCATTGTTGAAATTGGTGTTAAACAACATCCAAACAAACAAATGTTATTTCTGATGTCATCTTTAAGTTCAATCTTAACAATCACTTCCCATTATTAATTAAGCTATTTATTAAAATAAAATAAAAAATATGATGTAAGATCAAAGTCTGTGCAATGTCAAATGTATTAATTAAGTATGGTCAGAGGCTGTATTGTCATTAGATTACTTCTCTTTGATTGCAGCTTAAATGTTACATCATTATATAAATGAGCTCTTGACAAGCCAGGAAAATTATTTAGGGTGCTCAAAATACATATAATCTTTATTGTGACTCATTACTGAAGCCAGGGTGGATCGGTAGCCTAGTGGTTAAAGCGCTCGCTCATCACGCCGAAGACCCTGGTTTGATTCCAAACTTGGGTACAATGTGTGAAGCCGATTTCTGGTGTCCCGGCCGTGATATTGCTGGAATATTGCTAAAAGCGGTGTAAAACCATACTCACTCACTCACTCTTTACTGTAGCCATTGATTTGTAAGGTTTGAAGTGAGAAAGCTGCTTTCGTGAATCATGGTGTCGGTACTTCCTTGGTGTTCAGTAATACGATGTAATGATAGTCAGGAAGATAACTTTGTACCTCTGCTGTACCCCACCATGTTAGAGTGAACTTGGAACCAACTTTTGTGTTTTCTAGTGGCAAATTGACCATGACATGAAGTCCAACTGCTTCATCTGCAGCAGGGAGAGCTACGACTTCGAGCGCCAAGCAGAGGTAAGTGTCTGTTAGTACGATCAAAGATGTAACCAGTGTTTCAGTTGTATTATGTAGATGAACTGTGTTTTTATTACTCCTGTGCAGTTTGCAGAAAATGTCCGTGTGGTGAAGGATCTGGTTTTGTAATAGAACCATCACGTCAGTTACGTGTGGTCAGCAACGTTTGAGAGTTTCTCACCAACTGCCCGCTACCTATCCCTCCAACAAACTACAATCTCGTCGCCCATTTTAACAATCTCGCAAGCCTGAGCCCTCCCTCTAACAACCAAACCTTACCGTCGCTCCCTCCCTCCCCATGGTACAATTCAGCTGGCCTGACCCCTTCCATCCTGCAACAACCAAACCTGTCCACGCCCCACAGCCTTCCACCCTCGGCCCGTCAACCACTTTCCCCTTCTCTATCTATAACAGCCACATCTGGCCTGTCGCCCCTCCCCATCAACAATCTACCTACCTCTCAAACCTAGCCCCCCTGCCTAGCCTATACAGAAGTCCCCATCCTAACTGGCCCGTCACCCCTCCCCCAACGATCTAGCTACCTCTCAAACCTAGCTCCCCTGCCTAGCCTATACAGAAGTCCCCATCCTAACTGGCCCGTCACCCCACCCCCATCAACAATCTAGCTACCTCTCAAACCTGGCTCCCCTGCCTAGCCTATACAGAAGTCCCCATCCTAACTGGCCCGTCACCCCACCCCCATCAACAATCTAGCTACCTCTCAAACCTGGCTCCCCTGCCTAGCCTATACAGAAGCCCCCCATCCTACCTGGCCCGTCACCCCACCCCCATCAACAATCTAGCTACCTCTCAAACCTGGCTCCCCTGCCTAGCCTATACAGAAGTCCCCATCCTAACTGGCCCGTCACCCCACCCCCATCAACAATCTAGCTACCTCTCAAACCTGGCTCCCCTGCCTAGCCTATACAGAAGTCCCCATCCTAACTGGCCCGTCACCCCACCCCCATCAACAATCTAGCTACCTCTCAAACCTGGCTCCCCTGCCTAGCCTATACAGAAGTCCCCATCCTAACTGGCCCGTCACCCCACCCCCATCAACAATCTAGCTACCTCTCAAACCTGGCTCCCCTGCCTAGCCTATACAGAAGTCCCCATCCTAACTGGCCCGTCACCCCACCCCCATCAACAATCTAGCTACCTCTCAAACCTGGCTCCCCTGCCTAGCCTATACAGAAGCCCCCCATCCTACCTGGCCCGTCGCCCATCAACAATCAACCTACCTCTCAAACCTAGCTCTCCTGCCTAGCCTATACAGAAGTCCCCATCCGACTGCCGAGCTGGACGCATGGTAGTTTCATGGAACTCTAAAGCAACAAATCACGGCCCTGTTCCACAAATCAATTTTAGGGTTGCGACCATTGTAAGCCAATGTTAAAGTATGGGAGTTCCAATCACCTTAGTGCTAAGATCGCTTTGTGGGACGGTGCACTGGTGCCTGCCAGTAGAAGAGGAACTAAGTTTGCAAACATTTTGTAATAGCCTGGAAAAATCTACATACTCGTCAAAATTGACCTGCTGTCTTATGGGCTGTTGCAGGCATCAGTTCTATACAGGACAAAGCTGTGGGTGGAGGAGGATTTTTGATTACTTGATTTTCAAATACTTTCTGTAATATCATTGCTTTGTCATAGCAACCTGTAGAGCTAAGCCAACAGGGTAGGATGGACTACACTTATGCCAATGCAGCAATATCACAGCTTTGTCACAGCAGCCAGTGGACGATTGAGTCGATCCAGCTGTCATTGTTGGGTTTTGAGAGTACATTTATGCTTGCTGATGTCAGTGCTGGGTTTTTAGAGTACATTTATGCTTGCTGATGTCAGTGCTGGGTTTTGAGAGTACATTTGTGTCTGTTGATGTCATTGTTGGGTTTTAAGAGTACATTTTTGTCTGCTGATCTCATTGCAGGGTTTTGAGACTACATTGGTGTCTGCTGATGTCATTGTTGGGTTTTGAGAGTACATTTATGATTGCTGATGTCATTGATGGGTTTTGAGAGTACATTTATGCTAGCTGATGTCTTTGTTGGGTTTTAAGAGTACATTTTTGTCTGCTGATCTCATTGATGGGTTTTTAGAGTACATTTGTGTCTGCTGATGTCATTGTTGGGTTTTGAGAGTACATTTATGTCTGCTGATGTCATTGTTGGGTTTTGAGACTACATTGGTGTCTGCTGATGTCATTGTTGGGTTTTGAGAGTACATTAATGTCTGCTGATGTCATTGTTGGGTTTTGAGAGTACATTTATGTCTGCTGATTTCATTGTTGGGTTTTAAGAGTACATTTATGTCTGCTGATGTCATTGTTGGGTTTTGAGAGTGCCTGCAGGTGACATTGTGAATAGATTTACTCATTTATTATGTCCTTGCAGGGTTTTGAAAAGCATGTGAAAATGGAGCACAACCAGTGGGCTTACCTGTTTTTCTTCATCCATCTGGACGAGACGAGACCCAATGACTACACAGCCCTTGAGCTTTTCATTGCAAACTTGGTAAGTTAAGGACCTCACTACATATAAGAGCAACAGTTTTCTTATACATTCTGATAGAGTACCTATATTTCAGTTTCCTGTAATAAATAATCACATTTCTTTATCATTTTATGATGGTTCAGTGTTGATATTTTTTCAGCGGCCCAAGATTGATTGTTTGTTGTTTAACACCACAGTCAGGTCTAGTGGTGAACTGGTGCCTTTTGATAGTTTGGAATATTAAAAAAAATTAGTTTCAATGGCAACAACTTTGACTTATTTGCTCGTTTCTGGAGCTCATCTTGAAAGCTTCTCACTATTCCTTCAACAAACTTGGCACAGGAATGGGTCTAGTGCTGAACTGGTGTCTCTTAGATAGACACAATTTTTATGGATAACAACTTCTTTAATACTCCGACTCATGTATACTATTGTTGTTACTGTTAATCCTCTACTGTTAACCCCCCACCTACTATATAAACTAGTGTCCAAAAGAAACGATACCACCTGTTTGCAACGACATAAAAGAAAAACTAAACAATGCAGAAGTTTAGGATTGGTGTTATGCTCTTGAGAAATCCTTTCACAACATCTGTACAAAAATTTCATTTCAATAAAATCTGTACAACCAATATGACAAGCCTTTAAAGATGGGTGGGGTCAAAAAATGAACATTTCGTTAGAGCACTGATCACAGAAACAACGGGAAATGTCACACCACACGTCTCAAAGTCAAGTCAGTAGCGGGTATGTCCACCGTGAGCATCAATACATGCCAGAACACGCCTATGGACTGATGACGTCAAACGTCTGATGACGTTGGGAGTGATGCGTTGCCATTCCTCGAGGAGACATCGTTCCAAGTCCTGAACGTTGACTGGAGGCACACGGCGACGTCGGATTTGCCGATCGAGGTGGTCCCATAAGTGCTCGATGGGATTCATGTCCGGTGAACATGCGGGCCATGGCAAAACCTGTACGTTGGCGTTGGCGTTGGCGTTCTGTGTCAATCTTGCTGTGTGTGGCCTTGCATTGTCATGTTGGAAAAGGAGTCCACGAGGCTGTTGCTGAATAAAGGGCACCACAACAGGCCGTAGGATGTCATCAAGATAACGCTGTGCATTCAGGTTTCCACGAATTACGACAAGCATCGTTTTGACGTCACCACATATGCCACCCCAAACCATTAACCCTCCACCTCCAAACGGCCGGACCTGTTGGATACAGTTAGGCTCCAAACATTCACCAAATCGTCGGGAAAAAAGCTGCCGTCCATCGTTTCTGAAGATGAGGAATCTGCTCTCATCAGAGAACATAACACGTGCCCAGTCCCGCCGTTGCCAACGTCGAACTCGCCTGGCCCAGATCAGTCTGTTGTTCCGGTGTCAAGGCGTCAGGAGCGGTCCGCGGTAGGGATGACGTGGCCGGATACCATACTGCCGTAGTCTCCTGTAGACGGTCTGTCGACTGATCCCGTGTCCCAGTGCTGTAGCCGCCGTGGACGTCGCTGTTACGGTGCGGTTCCTCAGGTGTAATACCCGGATGTAACGATCTTCACGGGGCGTGGTTACTCGTGGTCTTCCACTCCTGGGCCTGTCTGACGTCTGACCTGTCTGACGTAACCGCTGCATCAACCTGGTGATAGTGATGCGTGCGCAGCCCAACCTTCTGGCGACGTCGACGTGTGACGCTCCTTTTTGGACCATTCCAACGGCTCTCTCTCTCTCGATGGCTGTCAAACGTGGCATATCTTGTGTTCTTTTTGTTGCTGTGATATCAACGTGTCTGATCAGCCGTTTTATACAGTTTTTCTGCACGTGCAGAACATGCTAGAGAGGGAAATGTCACTTTCACGAAATTTACGTTTTTTCCCCGAAGTGGTTACGTGTTCCCGGTATTTTTTATGGACTATGCTGTGTTTGGGATGTGCAATACGAATTGGCATGTTTTCATACTTGACAATTCACTTAGTAAAAAAAAATTTTGAAAATAAGTTGGTGTCGTTTCTTTTGGACACTAGTTTATATTCTGCACTATGTCCCCCATTCAGTCTTGCTTGACAACGGTATAAGGATCTATACCGAAACATCGCTTTTCACAGTATTAAAGAAGTTGTTATCCATAAAAATTGTGTCTATCTTGTCTTCCGTCAACTTCTAAGTAATGCCTATCAAACAATTTGGTGTCTCTTAGTTTGGGATTTATTGTTTTTTTATTTTTCGAGTTTCCGTTGCAACAAGTTTCATATATTTATCACTACAAGTATTTACCATTGTGAGGTGATATCGATGACTTTGTCCTCTAGTTGTCACTTGCCACGAGATATTTGTTTGTTTGTTGTTTAACGCCACACTCAGCAATATGAGTTATATGACGGCGGTCTGTAAATAATCGAGTTTGGACCAGACAATCCAGTGATTGGCATAATCAGCATCGATCCACACCATTGGGATACGATGACATGCATCAACCGAGTCAGCGAGCCTGACCACCTGATCCTGTTAGTCGCCTCTCACGACAAGCATAGTCACCTTTTACGGCAAGCATGGGTTGCTGAAGACCAATTCTAACCCAGATCTTCACCGATCTGCCATGAGACATGATGATCGAGTTTTGGTATTTCTTGATGAGACGTGATGATCTAGTGTTGGTATTTCTTGTTGTCACTTTCCATGAGACATGATGGTCTAGTGTTAGTATTTCTTGTTTCAGCTGGAGAAGGACAACTTTGACTTCTTCCCCCTGAACCGTGCGATGAGTCTGCGTCATGAGGAAGACAGCAGTGAGAAGAAGCTGGAGACGCTGATGGACCAGGTGGACTACCTCGTCAACAAGATGAAGGAGGAGGTTCGTTTGCAACTTATGTTGTGTGTAACATGTCGCATAGCCACACAACAGCAATATACATGTCTGATTAGCAATATACGTGAAGACTTTACTGACTGCAGTAGAATTCATGTGTGTCATGCCGATCAGTTAAACTTCTGTGAAGACATTCAGGTATGCAAGTTGCTTATTATGCAGAGTGTTGTAATACTTTGGGGATTTATTTTTTTATATTTTTTTTTAAGTTAGCAAGTGCACAGGATGTCTTGAGCTCTGTTAATTAATATTTCATACTTAATACAAACAAGCATCCTCATGAAGATCCCGTTAGAATATGTCTTCAGCAACCCATGTTCGCTGTAAAAGGCGACTATGCTTGTCGTAAGAGGCGACTAAAGGGATTGCGTGGCCAGGCTCATTGACTTGGTTGATGCATGTCATAGTATCCCAGCTGCTTAAATCAATGCTCATGTTGTCAATCATTGGATTGTCCAGACTTGAGTATTTAGAGACTGCCATCATATAGCTGGAATATTGCTGAGTGAGTGAGTGAGTGAGTTTGGTTTTACGCCGCTTTTAGCAATATTCCAGCAATATCACGGCGGGGGACACCAGAAATGGGCTTCACACATTGTACCCATGTCGGGAATCGAACCCAGGTCTTCGGCATGACGAGCGAACGCTTTAACCACTAGGCTACCCGACCGCCCCATTGCTGAGTGAAGCATTAAACACCAACCAAACCAAACAAAACAAAACAAACATTCTGATATTGGAAGTTAGTTTGTAAGTGTATTTCCGAATGACTGCTGTTGTCCTAAAGTTTGAGAGCTAACTGGGTGTGTTTTGCTGGTGTAGGAGGCGACCAAAGAGCGAGACAAGGAGAAGCAGAGACAGCTGGAGTGGGAGGCAAAACACAAGACAGCCAAGAAGCAGTAACAGCACACACCGGGAGATAGTCATGCTGAGATATTGCCATGCTGATATTGCCATGCTGAGATGTCATGCTCAGATACTGTCATGCTGATGTAATATCATGCTGAGATATTGCCGAGATATTGCCATGCTGAGATGTCATGCTCAGATACTGTCATGCTGACGTAATATCATGCTGAGATTTTGTCATGCTCAGATTTGGTCATACTGAGGTAATATGCAGACATTGTCATATTGCGATATTGTCATGGAGAAGAAATGTCATGCTGAGATAATATAATACACAAATAAGGTCTGTTGATTGTTATCTCAGTCAGAGATAGTCATGTTGAGAATTACATGTCATGCTGAGACACATTAATTATAAAATAATGTCATGCTGTGACACGTTAAGTGTAAAATAATGTCATTCTGTGACACATAAAAAAATGTCATGCTGTGACACGTTAAGTGTAAAATAATGTCATTCTGTGATGAGTTCAGTAACAATTATTGCCATGTCGCTATTATGTTGAGATATTATCCTGCTTAGAAAATGTCAACAGTTATTTAATGCTGAAATGGTTTCATATGTGACACGCTGAGATTTAGAAGGCATTTATAACTCCATGTGTATGCCATTAAAATAACGTTTGGTACAGCGAGGAAAAAAGTCATGTACAGAATAACAGCAATATGCAGAAGTTAGTGTTCTCTCTAGGAAGTCACAGATGGGTATTGTTTGAGAAAATATATCTGCCGAGTTTGGAGAAAAAATGGTAGAAATAGAATTTGTAATGACACTTTTATTTATTGTTTTTAAGCAAACGAAGGCATCTGTGTCAAAATGTGATTAACAAGAAGGATGAATATTTGTAAGAATTCAATTCATATATATTTTATTATATAAAGAAATACGGGAATGCATATTGTGATCCTCTACGTCTTTCTGTACCGGTGGACAGTGATCTAAGTTGAAGTGATGTAATTGGTTGTGATGCACATGGGATGACAAGCTAATAATTGATTCATTATGGCCAAAGATAGAAGAAATACAACATCAGAAGACTTTGTGTTGTAATAGTGCTGAATATCCATGTTATGTTTCCATTGAAATTATCCAATCTTCCCAAGAATCTTTCTACGGTCTCTGTTCAGGTTTAACATCACATGTTAGCATTGTGAGCACCCCTCTTGAGATGCAGTTTCTTTGTCTCTTTACTTTTACAATGTTTCCAATAATTTATTGTTGTTGTCAGAAGCCATTGTTAAATGTGTATACATTTATAGAAGTATATGATATATGTATATTATTTATATAAGAAGCATGAAATTCACATATTTTGTTTATTTTCTTACTTTTAACAAACTGACAACTGGATACATTTCTAGATATTTAATAGGGATACAACTTTTTAATTTTTTAAAAATGTTTTCTCAAGTCTTTCAGAATGAGTGAGTGAATATGGTTTTACGACGCTTTTAACAATATTCCAGCAATATCACGGCGGGGGACACCAGAAATGGGCTTCAGACATTGTACCCATGTCGGGAATCGAACCCGGGTCTTCAGCTTGACAAGCGAACGCTTTAACCACTAGGCTACCCGACCGCCCCCTTTCAGAATGATGTGTGGATTATGTTATGTGTAGGATCTGTGTGTAGATAAACGGAGTTGGGGTATGTGTTGTGACCACTGCAGTCAACCAGGCTGAAGCTTACTGTGATATACAGCCCGTTTTACAGTATATATTCTTCTATGCTGAAGTGTTGTTCTTAGAGGTGTGTACAAGGACCGAGTCAGTAGGGTAGCTTTAAGTGCTTTGAGCAGTGTTCAGTTAGGTCCTCCATGTTAGCGTGATGTGAAAGTCAAAGTAACTCAGGTCATAGATGTTTGCCATGAGCTTGTACAACCAGACAATGGATGCTTGGCTTCAAACCAACATTCAGCAAATACTGGCATGGCAAAGGGAGGCAACTCTGCACAAGTGTTTTTCGGTATGAAAGCTGAATAGTTTTGTGTGATGGAACAATGAGCACGTGCTAGATAGGGAATGTATGTTCAGATAAATAATACTCTATACTGATGTCGTGGTTGTGTTTCTGCTTTCTTATAACCACACTTATGATGTTACTTTTTTATATTTAAAATGTCATGTTATAAAGACCTCTATGTATTATGCATGTCTATATATTTGTATTGTGTATATATGGTGTATAGTGTTGGTATGTCCTATGCTACATTGCAGGTTTTACTGAGATGTGATATATTTTGTTTTCATTTAATGAATTTAATCATATTTTAATGCATGTGATATATTTGTTTTTATTTAATGAATTTAATCCTATTTTAATGCATATGATATACATGTGTATTTGTTTTTATTTAATGAATTTAATTATATTTTAATGCATATATGTGATATATTTATGTATCATTGTGATCCCTTCATATAATTTTCACTAATATGCCTTTCATGTCAAGTGGAATCAATTTCGGCAGATAATCATGTTTTATGTAATTAGTTAAAACTGTTAATGTTAATATTGCCAAAATGAATACTAACTCTAAACTTGCTGTGAATGTGGTTGCCTTGTTTTTGCTACATTAAAATCCATATAAATGTCTGTGATAAAATGTGGCAGACTCTTTCTTACTTTGGCAGAAGTTTTTCTTCTGCAAAGGGACCAGGTTAGGTTGTATTTTTTATAACTTTTTGTTTTGTTTTGTGTCGATTGATTCAGAATATTTTTCTATAATTTTATACTGCTGTATTTACTCAGTGACATACCTATCAGGAAGGATTGTGTGTCCAGTTTATTTCTGTCTGTTCATCAACAGAGCTGAAGCTGCATAGACATCACTCCTTTGAATCAGTGTATCATATCCCAACACATCTTCCCGAGGCAAGAGAGTTAACTGACTTTAAAAGTCCAGTTTCCACCCTTGCCGAACTAGGCTGGAATTCCTGGGCTCGATCGTATCGCCAACGGTGGCTATAACATTCATAGTCAGTTAACTCACTTGCCTCGGGAAGATGATCCCAACAGAAGGAGGATGGAGAAGGGCCAATTTTTACTCACTAGAAATGTCAATGTTTAAGGTTATACGAGACTATGAAATATTGGATTGAACTAGCCAATTTTCTTTCTCCCACTTACAAGTTTTCGACTTCCTGACATGATCAAGAATATAAGCATGGCGAAATTTGGCAAACAGTCTGATTTATCAAACTTCAGAGAAAATCTAACTACATGTATCAGCAAGTCTTTGGCCCAAAAGGATTTCTTGAACTATAAGCAAGAAACTCACCTTCGGTACAAAACTTGGTCCTGCCTTTCACAAATGCATGTATAAGAAACCCTTCCTTGAACAACTCCAATAGAAACCATTTGGATACACTGTATCCTCACCCATTTAGTGATGTCCAAAGTCCAAAACATGCCAGTGCTGCCCAAATGTCATGTCATCGTATCTGATAAACTTTTGTAATGATTTCTAAAAGTTTTGCTCCTTTCTTAAATAGTGCGGATCTGGTTGACCTTGTCACACCTTGACCTTTGATGTTGGCAATACTGACCATGGCTAGTTATCCTTATGCTAGTTTGCTATGCTGCTTTAGCCTGTTTGAAGTATGTGTAGGTGCACTTGATGTGCATATGGAATCTGTTCGTGTTCAGGGCCTGTTGCATTAGCACTTTGACAACTCCGATACTTATAACATAGACTTAATACTTCAACTCCCATACGTTGACATAGACTTTATACTTCAACTCCCATACGTTGACATAGACTTAATACTTCAATTCCCATACGTTAACATAGACTTAATACTGCAACCCCCATATGTTAACATAGACTTAAGACTGCAACCCCCATACATTAACATAGACTAAAGACCGTAACTCCCATATGTTAACATAGACTTAAGACCGTAACTCCCATATGTTAACATAGACTTAATACTTCAACTCCCATACGTTAACATAGACTAAAGATCCTCCCATACGTTGACAGAGACTTAAGACCGTAACTCCCATACATTAACATAGACTTATTACTGCAACCCCCATATGTTAACATAGACTTAAGACTGCAACCCCCATATGTTAACATAGACTTAAGACCGTAACTCCCATACGTTAACATAGACCTAATACTTTAACTCCCATACGTTAACATAGACTAAAGATCCTCCCATACGTTGACAGAGACTTAAGACCGTAACTCCCATACGTTGACAGAGACTTAAGACCGAACTCCCATATGTTGACAGAGACTTAAGACCGTAACTCCCATACTTATAACATAGACTTAAGACCGTAACTCCCATACGTTAACATAGACTAAAGATCCTCCCATACTTTGACATAGACTTAAGACCGTAACTCCCATACGTTGACAGAGACTTAAGACCGTAACTCCCATACTTATAACATAGACTTAATACTTCGACTCCCATACGTTAACATAGACTAAAGATGCTCCCATATGTTGACATAGACTTAAGACCGTAACTCCCATACGTTGACAGAGACTTAAGACCGTAACTCCCATACTTATAACATAGACTTAATACTTCGACTCCCATACGTTAACATAGACTAAAGATGCTCCCATACGTTGACATAGACTTAAGACCGTAACTCCCATACGTTAACATAGACTAAAGACCGTAACTCCCATATGTTAACATAGACTTAAGACCGTAACTCCCATATGTTAACATAGACTTAATACTTCAACTCCCATACGTTAACATAGACTAAAGATGCTCCCATACGTTGACAGAGACTTAAGACCGTAACTCCCATACGTTAACATAGACTTATTACTGCAACCCCCATACATTAACATAGACTTAAGACCGCAACCCCCATATGTTAACATAGACTTAAGACTGCAACCCCCATACGTTAACATAGATTTAAGACTGCAACCCCCATATGTTAACATAGACTTAAGACCCTAACTCCCATACTTATAACATAGACTTAATACTTCAACTCCCATACGTTAACATACACTAAAGATCCTCCCATACGTTGACAGAGACTTAAGACCGTAACTCCCATACGTTGACAGAGACTTAAGACCGAACTCCCATACGTTGACAGAGACTTAATATTTCAACTCCCATACGTTGACATAGACTTAAGACCGTAACTCCCATACGTTGACAGAGACTTAAGACCGTAACTCCCATACGTTGACAGAGACTTAATATTTCAACTCCCATACGTTAACATAGACTTAAGACCGTAACTCCCATACGTTGACAGAGACTTAATATTTCAACTCCCATACGTTAACATAGACTTAAGACCGTAACTCCCATACGTTGACAGAGACTTAATATTTCAACTCACATACGTTAACATAGACTTAAGACCGTAACTCCCATACATTAACATAGACTAAAGATCCTCCCATACGTTGACAGAAACTTAAGACCGTAACTCCCATACTTTGACATAGACTTAAGACCGTAACTCCCATATGTTGACAGAGACCTAAGACCGTAACTCCCATACTTATAACATAGACTTAATACTTCGACTCCCATACGTTAACATAGACTAAAGATCCTCCCATACGTTGACATAGACTTAAGACCGTAACTCCCATACTTATAACATAGACTTAATACTTCGACTCCCATACGTTAACATAGACTAAAGATCCTCCCATACGTTGACATAGACTTAAGACTTCAACTCCCATACGTTAACATAGACTAAAGACCGTAACTCCCATACGTTGACAGAAACTTAAGACCGTAACTCCCATACGTTAACATAGACTTAACACAGTAACTCCCATATGTTAACATAAAATTACAGCAGTCATAGCGCGCAGATCATGGTTGGATGGTCCCTACATGAATGCTGGTATGTTGTCCATAATTCCTGGATTATTAATATGTAATGTCATAAACATTTGTACTGATGGATGTTTGTATATAGTACATGATTATCATGTTACATTGACCAGTATTACTCTTGTGTCATGATACTGAATAAACTACTCGGCCAGTGTTCTATGCTCCGACCTTCTGTAAGTACAGAGGCTGTATTGGGTGTATTTCATCCAGTACCATGGTACAACTTCCTGTGGCCCAGACTGGTGGTATCAGTGAGATGCATGAATCAAACAGTGAAGCTTTACTGATATATGCTGCCTATTATTATGTGTTGTACTTTCTTATGATGTGGGATATATATGCAAACAACAAGGGTAATTGTTAAATCACTTTAACTCAAGTAAGGAAGATGGAGGGTAATGCAGCGGCCATAAAGGGTATTACCAAGTCAACTTGGAGGTAATCAAATTAAAATAATATATTTTTCTCTCAAGCAATACATTTTTGTGTGACAATCTGACAAATACTCTTATTTCTAATCAGCCAATCGGTCAATGGTCGTAATTTCTTGGTACAACCTAGCAAAGTATTCAGTGCAGTGTCTCATTTATGTATCTTGAACATGAACCAGCAGTTCCAAATGGAGATAATAAATGCTGCGCTGTTTTAGCATCTTGGATATTTGATACACCCCGCCGTGATGCTATGGCATCTATTTTCCAAAGGGTGTACTTTCAAGGGTATATTTGTGTTCCATGTTTTCATTTGTTCAGATAATGTCCAAATCGTGAAAGTAAGAAAGTTAAAACGAATCGTGTAAATCCTTTTTCAGCAAAAGTTTACTCAGTGTTCAACAGCACAACCATTGTTTGTCCGATCTCCAAGCAAAGACTATGTTATGGAAGTAAAAGATCTGATTTATTTCTTTTACGTTGGAGTTATGTCATTGGTGGTGATTTTGTGGATTTAATTCGCTCCATGACTATAAAGAAGTATTTTGATGATACAGTGTAACCCCAATATCCTCAATATGTTAGTCTTGCTCCACTTTTTTGCTTGTTGGATGTTAAAAAGGAACACTACTCAATACCCATTATCCGTTCATCGGAATATGTGTTGATTGGGAGGATTTCCCTGGAAACATTGGCGTCTGGATTAGCAGGTTTCTGAGGATCTGTTGATTAAGGTGTATAGTGACGTCACCATGACGTCATTGCGTGCTGCACGTTACCAGACAACTTCTTCTCAGACTCAGTGAGTTGGCAGTATTAAACACAACACTATGTTAATATTGAGTAATAATAAAACCACGTGATATTTGGAATTACACATCACCGTGAGACCCAATATATACCAGGCAGGTAATGTGTAATTCCTCGTAGCTTGTGTGTATGAATTATTTGATTTTTTTATCTACTTTAGCACTGAGTGTCTATATTTTTCATATTGTTATTATTGAGATATGGATTAAAATCATTTTCAAAGACAAGTGTGTTGTCATTCTATGTACAATTACGTCTGCTACAATTATGCCGGATGTCACAGTCGCTGGACGAAAGGGGAAATAATATGAATCAGGGACTGAGACAGACTACAGTGAGACCGCCTCCGTGGTCTTGTGGTAGAGCGTCCGCCCGGAGAGCGGAAGGTCCAGGGTTCGATCCCGGGCCGCGTCATACAAAAAGACGTTAAAAGATTGTACTTGTTGTTACCCTGTCTGGCGCTCGGCATTAAGGGGCTAAAACAAGGACTGGTCGGCTCGGA